TATTCTAGCTTTGGCCTAACAAAAGTCATGAACAATTTCTTTAGTATATCGCCATCCATGTATTTAAATGCAATTCTGAAGTTAGAAAGCATTGCATAGGCTCCTTGCACAATATTCTTAATGTGGTCCTCAGGTGATAGTTTTCTATCTAGAACCACTCCTAGATCTCTTTCTTTATCAGAATTCTTTAAAGATTTCTCACATAATATATAGGTTGTGTGGGGTCTATGTTCTCCTATTCCACATTCCATAACATGACATTTATTAACATTAAATTCCATTTGCCAAGTGGTGCTCCATATACTTATTTTGTCCAGGTCTTCTTGAAGGGCATGACAATCATCTAAATTTCTTATCCTTCCTATTATCTTAGCATCATCAGCAAACATGTTCATATAATTCTGTATACCAACTGGTAGATCATTTATGTACACAATAAACATCACTGGTGCAAGAACTGAACCCTGTGGTACTCCACTTGTGACATTTCTCCATTCCGATACATTGCCTCTGATTACTGCCCTCATTTTTCTATCAGTCAGAAAATTTTTCATCCATGATAGAAGCTTACCTGTCACCCCTCCAATATTTTCCAGTTTCCAGAACAACCTCTTATGTGGAACTCTGTCGAAAGCCTTTTTTAGGTACTCACCTAGTTGTGCTTGCGGAGGTTGAGCTTTGTTTCTGTCCTCACAGGGATGTGTTTACCATTAATGAGTACTTGTTTCGCTCGACTTAAGAGTGATTTTCTTAATGTTTGTGTTTCATCAATTGCTTTTAATGACACTCCTCTGAGGAGTGTCAGTAGAATAGATGTCAGGTAACCATAGACGCTTTGATTTTCTTTATGAACTTGTATGCGTCTGTTAAGAAAGAAAACTTCCGTGAAGTAAAGGGGATGAGGGAGGTCTTATTTAAATTGCGAACAATTCAATAGCTTATAGTCCGATGTTAATTATAATGTTGTGTTAATGGCTTACACAATAGGTTTGGATTACTGTGTTAATAATGGAACTAAATAATTAAAAGTTGTAGCAAATTGATTATGTAGCAGTGACTCCTGGCGTCACAGACCGACTACGCTGTAGCAGTGACTCCTGGCGTCACAGACCGACTACGCTGTAGCAGTGACTCCTGGCGTCACAGACCGACTACGCTGTAGCAGTGACTCCTGGCGTCACAGACCGACTACGCTGTAGCAGTGACTCCTGGCGTCACAGACCGACTACGCTGTAGCAGTGACTCCTGGCGTCACAGACCGACTACGCTGTAGCAGTGACTCCTGGCGTCACAGACCGACTACGCTGTAGCAGTGACTCCTGGCGTCACAGACCGACTACGCTGTAGCAGTGACTCATGGCGTCACAGACCGACTACGCTGTAGCAGTGACCTGCGGAACAACTTGGCAACGTTTCAGAGCTCTTAAACTGTTTAAGAATTACGAACAAGTCGCCATGTTTGAGGAAAGATGTAGAAGTTTCGTAAATTAACTCGTAGATACCAATTGAATTTTGTCCTGGCCGAAACGTGGTCACTTTCCGTCCTCTCGAGCGTTTCCAACGTCACTAAACTGACGTACTGAATTGCCCGAACCCAACCTAACCGAGGACCCTCAAATAGAAAACGGAACGTCACGATTATTTTATGGGCCACTATGATATTTAGTACATTAGTTTTTAGCCTTAGGGGGGGATTTACACGTTAAAACGCGATGTACTACTCGAGAATTTCATCTAATTATGTGTATGGCTGAGTTAATTATTTCTGGCAGGCTGTTGTGACTTGCTCCTTGCAGTGTGAAGCTGTGTACCGGAGGAGCGCCAGAACACCGTCAGTGAGTTACCCTATACCTATAATAGGTTAAGTAATAATTGTAATTACGAAGCAATAAGATGCTTATCTTAACATACTAAGAAGGTTAGGTAAGGTCGGTGTTTTCTATGAAGCTTTTCAAGGTAAACTAAAATATTCACAATAAATTAGTATGTCACAAATGCACGTATTTAATAAGTCAATATTGACTATACGAAAGTGCGAGAACGGGTTGCAACAGCAAACTGGGGATATTTGGCTAAAATTTCTGGTTGCAGATAATTGTGAATGAAACACATGTCTTGTACATTTGTTATATAGTTGTCTCTGAATTCACGTATCTTTATTTATTGATTCATTTATTTTTTTTTACAAGAAGGTACATTGGGTTTATGAGAGTACCATAAACATTGAAGTTTTATATTCTTATAAAGCCACTAGTATGCATAACGTTTCGGGCAGTTCTTTAATCTAACATATAATCTTAAGAAGGTAATTTCTAACAGAATTAAAAATTTTTTACAGGTACATTGTAAGAAGGTGTAAAAATACATTGTAAGAAGGTATAAAAATACATTGTAAGAAAGAATAAAAATACATTGTAAAAAAGTGTAAAAATACATTGTAAGAAAGTGTAAAAATACATTGTAAGAAAGTATAAAATTACATTGTAAAAAAGAATAAAAATACATTGTAAAAAAGTATAAAAATACATTGTAAGAAAGTATAAAAATACATTGTAAGAAAGTATAAAAATCCATTGTAAAAAAGTATAAAAATCCATTGTAAAAAAAGTATAAAGAACACATATTCGTGTTTCGTTTCGAAAATACGAACACGTTTTCACGCGAAAATCTTTTCGCACTCCATCACACAGTGACGCTGGGTGGACAAAGTGGAATTTACACTAACAGTAGTTATGTGTCACCATACTACCATACATAATGAACCATATATATCTAGGTCATCAAATAAGGTGTTATATGATGACCTAGATGTTACTACTGCTAGGCTTAGACTGGCTGATAAGTATCTCTGGTCATTTTTCACCCCCCAAACTGCTCACTAACGTACCCAACATCAACATGTAATTAAGTGTGACAATTGCGACTACCAGTAATGTTCAAAAATGTTCATGTATATAATGCTGGATGACACATTATCCCAAACTCTAGCCACGTATCCCAGTTTAGTTTGTCTACTGTGGATATATTACAATATGTACTGTCTGTAAAATTGCATTCTTAAATTAAGTTACAAATCTTATTTACGTAATGACTGCTGGTTAATTAATTACAGTACTGTAATTAGACTATAATTTTTTTAACTTCCTAACAAACTTACTTAGCCATTAAAACGAACACTGGTCGATTGTGGCTGTATATTTAAACAAACTCTGTAGTAACTATATAATTCACCACAGTGCTGTAACCTAGTATTAGGTTATGACTCGCTTTCATTAAATGAATGTGGGGGTGCACGATAAACAAACGCTAACCTAATGAATACCGGCAGCTAATTCACCACAAATGTAAATTGTTCAGCTGAAGACACACTGGCGTCCATTTCCTGAACCCATTATATGACTGTATAATGGTCACCGCCCTCACTATGCTCATTCATTGAGTCCATAATTAACTAATGACACTAGTTAAGTTGCATAATGCCCAATATTGCGTTAAATTATTGTCCCGTCTCTCTCGGAGTTTTTTTTCATCTCAACTATTGTTTAATTTTCACCTATGTGTTTTATTGAAAATAAGGGTAAATGTAAACGGCGTTATCAACATGAAGAGATTTCAAATGACGTCAACAGGTTCCAAATACACCTGACTGATACCTCGTACGTGAGTCTACACGGACTTCTGCATTACTCACAGCTCAAGGTTTATTTGTACAAACATAAACTGTACAAATGGTTTCTTGTGAGGTCATTAGTTTATGAAACACTGTAGGATAACAAACAGTAGATGCTTCCTCGCCCATAGCGTAAAAACCTATGGAATCTCTTATCCGCTGAAGCCGTAAATACTAAAACAAGAGCAAAAAAATCCTAAAAAAAAAAAAAAAAAAATGAGCTAGGGGACCTTTAACAAGCATCTGGCTTTCAGTCCCCGTCGAGACCATTGCAGAGGGTTAAGCAGACCTGAGGCAAAGGTTTCAATGAGATAACTTGCAAACAGAGAACTTATCCAGTGTAAAGATACTGACAAAATCAGCTTCATTAGGAGCAAATGCTTAGACTAAATCATCATTTTATATTATGTAGTCTGAGGCCAATATGCGATGGAGCACATATTTGAAGGTTATGAGACTCTGCAAAGAAACAGAGCAGTGTACCAGGCTTTTAATGTGTTGATTGTGCCTGGCTTACCCGTCGAGGTGATGTGAATTAGTAATTATAAAGCACAAGAACAACATTTGTATGTTCACTTTCACATTACTCAAATTTTAAGGGATTTACGATACAATTGTAACATCTCTTGTGTCTGAATTAAGCTAGACACAGATGCAACATAATGACTAATGTGGTTATTGTGGTTAGCAATTTATATGAGTCTCGTTGATAACCTAATACTTCAATGTTCAAGTTATGGAAGGCCTAATTTATGTCTTATTTGTAATACCAGCTGCGTATCTTTGAAATCCTCTCTTATTGTGGTGCACTCAGTAGCTCAGTGGATAATATATATATACAAGCTATCTGACCCCCGACAAAACGAATGATATATTATCTCAGTGTGCATGTACCGAGTTATTAATTAAGCACAATTAAGAACATACTTGCGCTTCTCATAGCTTATATGCATAGCAATACTGTGCTAGTTAGTGCCTTTGCGATTTATTCCCCCTCCCTCCGATTTATACAGAAAATTCTATCGTACCGTCTTTAATATAATACAACAAATAATAAAATGTGTGTGCAATGTTTGAGAGGCCGAGAGCAGCCAGAGTGGCAAGTCAGCTGATCCCGGAGCCTGACAAGCGTAGTAACGCTGCCATATGCCAAATGTCCTACATAAACAAATCTAACCTGCCGCCAAGAGGGCACCTATGAGCCATAACGTGCGTCTCGAGGCGGTTCCACAATTACGCAATAGTTCCAAAAGATTATCTATGCCGGGGTGGGAGGGTAGGCGAGGGGGAGCGATGGGTGCGGGGATAGGGGAGAGGTGGCAGCGGGGGTGTGTATCAGCTGGGCCCCGAGCCCTCATCACTCCCTCACAAGACGCCGCCTCATACACCCCTACGCTGCCTCATACACATATACTGTATATATATATACTTGTATACGCACTACCACTTATTTCTGGAGACTCCCTCTCGCTGCTGAGACGTCTGGGCTGTAAGTCTGAATACTGTTGTCTTGTACAGTGAGGCTAATGTATGCCTAACTTACACATTCATTGAATCATTATAATACAGTAATTCAATAATAATTATGGCATTTATAGTTTGATAGATCGCTCTAGTATACAGTCTACATGTATTGTGAGTCTAACGTGTATTGTGAGTTTACCACAGATAGGTTTATTAGATTTAAGATGGAGGTGTGTTATTATATACTCCAATGTGATAACGGGTTAACCTAGTGAAGGAAGGGTTATAGGCTCCTTATAGGCCTATGTAGTAACGAGTAATAATAGATTTTGTTAGTTATTACTTAAAGTTAATATTGTATTACCATCTTTAACGGTATCAGGGGTTTATCATTGAGCGATAAATATGATATTAATGAAAATATAACTAAAATATCAAGTTTTAGAAAATATTGTACTGTACTGTTTTTAAGCTTAAGTACTATAATGCAGTACATTAATGTTTTTATAATGCTCTTCGATACACCACAACCAGTTGTATGTCTTCAGTCCTGTGGATTTGCTTTTTATTTTACAAAAGTAACATTTTATAATGATGGAAGTGTTTACCCTGGAAACACAAACCGTAACTGACCCTATTTTCCGCTTGTTACAACTTGTAATAAAGTTGTTACATCTTGGCTTAACGTGTTTTTGACGTATTAGAACATTGTTACAACTTGTTATATTGGTTCTTATAACTTGTTAGGTGGTGTTATATCTTGTTCGAACGTTGTAGCAACGTCGTAGTTTCGCTGAGTGTTTGGCGGGTATAATGATGTAATTGACCTGACTGAAACAGTGTGTGTTTGTGGGATTGCAAGAGTGTAAGAACACCAATGTTATGTACTCTCACAACCCAATGCACCTTCTTGTATATTAATAAATAAATAAACAAATAAGTTCACCTGAGGGCCAATAACACTAGTGTTATTAGGTACATTGGGCACACCAACTACAATGATTGTTTGCCACATACCTTTGGGTACCTAATTTTTCTTCAAGTGATTGCATGTTTTGTTACACTCATAGTTTCTAATTTTTTTTCTTGGTTTTAAGTTGATCTTTGATCCCTAAGCTCCACTCACCTCACAGAGCGCCAGACTTAAATTCCCAGTAGGAAAGGGTGTCTCTCGGAGGCCTGGTGCAGTTTCCTATGACCAGTGTTTAGCTTTGAGAGCTACTGAGGACCCACCAAAAATCGGTGTTTCTTTACATTCAAATCTTTATTTTTTTGGGGGGGGGGGGGTCAGGGGAAGATAGACTATGCTTGGTAGGTATGTTCTACACTGCTTTGCAAAGGGACTCATATTGAAAAAACTGTACAGTGCTTTTCGACTCGTAACTTAAGAAATGTTTTGAATTATTAACTTGTATGTAACACAGGCTAAGGATTGTGGCTATGTTGAATACAGGTCTACGGAGCACTACACTGTTTAGATACAGGTGCATGTAGCACTTTGGTATTGGAATACATTTTAAATTAAAATGAAGTAACTAAGTAAATTCAACGATTGTTGTTTTCCATGTATCCAAATAATACAGCATCCCATGGACTTGTATCTAAATGTGCAGCACCGATAATTCTGTATCCACAATATTCATAGTACTGTATGTAAGTTAGAGTGTACAGTACCTTATGGTTTTGGCCCTTGTATGTTGTTGATTTCATGCTGATACTTGGCAAGGGTGTAGAGAGATCATGAAATGGTTAGTCTATTAATATCTAAATACTGTATGAAATAAGAGTGGCTTTCCTAACACATTCATGAACACTAATCTCAGTAATTTTAAGCAAAAAGAGAATGTTTAGAATAGGTTAGAATGCCAATTTAATTAAATATTGTTTTCCAGAATTATGAAGGTGAAATAAATACTGATCAAGAACTATGGTGCAATATCAGACGCGAGAGGCCAAGGTTATGACAGCTGACAACCTCCTAGTGAAACTTTTGCACCCTGATGAAAAGTCAGTTAAGGTTGGTTTGCTGATGTAGTATTTTAGTATTTTTCTCTATGCAGTATATTTTTTCTTTATGCAGTGCAGTATTTAATTTAAAAATATGTTGGTTATGTAATAGGTTCATCTTGTATCTATGATACAAAAGATTAAAGCTTAGCTTCCATCTATAGAACAATATTGTGAGTGCGGGGGTCAGTAATTCGACCTTGGAGGAGGGGACCTCGATATAAGCCTAACGTGTATGAATACACTCTGGTTGCCTGTCCCCCGACACAGTGAATTATTAATTTAATTACAGTATTACAAAAGCTAACCAGTCTATGATCTGGGGATGAATTAGAACCTGCCAATAGGCATCATGTAGGTCCAGGGACTCCATCTAGCAGAGCCCAGAAAGGGGTGCTTCTTTACTCTTGATGATCTGTTTTTCTATGGTTAGTATAATTTGCATTTATATATATTAACTGAAGTCATTTCCCCATAATTGACATTTAACTAATTGGTCAAAAAGTTTAACAGATCACAACGTGCTGATAACAATGTAGAGAAACACCAAGCTAGGAATAGGCTATATTGGAGATAATATTTTACATGTAAGAGCTTTGTCAGTTTATCAACTCAAAACTTCATTTTCAATAGAATCTACTCTGAACTTTGTGTTTCTCTTCATGATCGAACATTAGTTCGAGGCCACTGATCTACCTGGTATATTGCCTCATTTGTGATTCATTGAGTTGATTTCCCTTGGGTCGGAGGAGCTGGTCGGCCGAGCGGACAGCACGCTGGACTTGGGATCCTGTGGTCCCGGGTTTGATCCCGGGCGCCGGCGAGAAACAATGGGCAGAGTTTCTCTCACCCTATGCCCCTGTTACCTAGCAGTAAAATAGGTACCTGGGTGTTAGTCAGCTGTCATGGGCTGCTTCCTGGGGGTGGAGGCCTGGTCGAGGACCGGGTCGCGGGGACACTTAAAGCCCCAAAATCATCTCAAGATAATTTGGGTAGACTGAGCTCCTAGTCACATTCTTTTAGAACAGTAGCAAATATTACATGGGAACAGATAGATTGATAAGATTTAGGTTCCAGGTCATGTGGTGAAATCCACGAGTCATTCTATGCTACAACATGGAGACTTATTTGGCTTTGGTTTTATAACTTAGACTTAATTTCTTTTTTAGCACCTCTAATTATTTGTTATATTGCAGAAACATGTATGGCACATCAGGGTGGCTGTGGCACTACTCGCAGGAGCCTTGCTTGTAGCAGGTATTTTTGTCTTCGTCTCAGGCTTTCCATGCAGTGTAAAAACTGGCATTACCAATAGACAGCCTGAATATACTGTCACCCCTAATGATCTGGAAAAGGCCAAAGATTATACCAGATGGGTCAAGAGTCTGCCCAGTTTAATAATCTGCGGTATTGATTGTTTGTTCTATAATTTGGTACCAGAAAATGCAAAAGATGAGAAGCCAGAGTTTTTGCCCATCTCCAAGAACTTTCATGTTAAAGTTAATGAAAGTCTGTGTACTGACATTCCAATGACCATGAGGTTTGACTGTCACCCAGATGCTCTACCAAGTCAGTCATCGTGTGAAGAGAGAGGGTGTTGCTGGCGAGAGGAGAAGGTACGAAAGTCTACATTATATTTTTAAGATGGAATTATACTTATGCTCTGTAGATTATTATAATCTTGCCTATACTGTACAGTGCTTCTCTGTACTGTGAATGAACTGTTCTCCTGGGTATTATTATAATTATTTTTACAGATGGTCTTTATTAAAAAAATTATACAGTATCTTTCAAGTCCTATTTTCTAATGCTATTTGTGCACATTTTCATTGATATATTGAAAAGTCTATTTTGTAAGTCTTGAAGTTAGTAAAAACAAATTTTTAATGTAAATTATAATATAAAAGAATGAAAAGTAGTTTCATGTGTAACGCTCTGACAGATTCCAAAGAGGAAGCGGCCTTTCCCTAGTCTTCGCTTACACCAACCAGCTCATGGCCCATCTCTCGATGATTTACCACTCAATGTACCATTCTGCTATTATCCACGGGACTATAAAGGCTACTCTTTCATTAATTTCACTTCTGAAATTTATGGCTTTAATGGATACCTAAAGCGAGAGACTGCAAGTGGATATCCTGGTGATATTGATACTCTCAAGATGGATGTCTACTTCGAAACTGAGACCAGATTAAGAATCAAGGTATGTTCTTGGGTGGATGGATGGATTGATGGATGAATGAATGAAATTTAGGCCCAAATCCAAGTGCAGGGACAGACACGAATACTAATTGTATGTTCTTGTACCCGTTTTATTTGATTAATTTATGATTTTTTTTACAAAGATATATTATAAAGTAAGATACTATAGTTAGCATCTCTGTATATCATGTACAGCACATCTTGTAGTGTGCAACTTCGTCCTTTCAACCAATATAATTTGTGTTTCTGCTGAAGTATTTTCAGTTTTATTCCTAGTGTTTGGGAAATTTTCAAAATCAATGACAAAGTATCCAAGATATTTTTGTGGCACATATCATGAGGCACAATTGAAATTAATCTACCATATGTACATATTAAATACACATTATTGAAAAACATGTTCAAGCTCACACTAACCTTTCATATGGATATAAATTTGTTCATGTTGTGTACACACATCAGTTTAATATGTTCCAGTCTAATCACTGTAAGTTGTAATTATGATGATTGTGATCTGCCTGTCTACTCTTACCTCATGAACATTTTAAGTATGTTAATTATGATGAACATTTATTCCCCTTAGATCACAGATCCCTCTCGAGCACGATGGGAGACTCCAATACCTGTTGTTCCTGAAGTAACTAAGGGGACAAATAGCACACAATACAGCTTTGTGGCTCATTTACAAGATGGAACCTTCACTATTACACGCAAAATAAATGGTCTCCCAATGTAAGTACTGCATGGAACTTTTTCCTTATGAGTGTAGCAAGTAACTCCTCGAGGCAAAGCAATGGAACTTACAAGCCCTTGGGAATCACACCAGGCCTCTGACATCTACTCAAGCTTACTAGGGACCCCCAAGCTTCAATTGTTTATACAGGGAATTGGAGGTTGGGGATCAGAGATCAACCCAAAACAGAAAAAAGCAAAAGCACATCAAAACAAGCAACAGTATGAAGAAAATTTGTAACAGTTTTGAAAACAATGCAAACAATTGGCTGTTGTTCAGGCTTGCATTTTCTTTTCCTCATTAGAGACATGGAAAATGTGAAATGTGTAGTATAGGTGACCCTCACTACAAGCTGACTATTCTTGTCATCCTACTTCAAAGTTATGGGTTTCTTCCTCATTGCAAGGCCTCTTGATGGGGAGTGATAGTAGTTAGCTGTATGCTTGTGTGGGTATTGTGCCTAGTTCTGTGTGGTCAGGCCCAGTGGTTTAACTGAGGATACACTTTGGTCACGTAAGTGGTTGTATTTGTCCATGGCTGCCTGTGCCTTCCCTCACTGGGTGGTTAAGGATGAGGGTCAGTGTTCCACCAAGACATTTTCCCAACTCTTGGTCTGCCTGCTCGTCTGTGGGTGTTCCAGATGGTCAGTCCCTCTCGCCCACATGGTTGGGGGGTTTGATCAGGTTTACTGGTTTTCACGAGTTATGGCTGTTCCCAGGCTGTGCCCTACGGTCTACTCATGCCCCATGCCAGCTTTTGTGGTGGCTTAATCTTCATCAGTCAATCAGGCTGTGCATTCAGCCCTGCTTGGTCTATGTACCCGAATCTGACTTGAGTTGTGTGCCCATCTCTGCCTGGGCTGTGTAACCAGCTCTTTTTGGGCATTTATGTCTAGTAGGGTTTTTCTTGGTCTTGGGTTGATCTCTGATCCCCATGCTCCCCTCACCTCAAAAAAAAGAGCCACATTCTGGTCCTGATTTCCAGTAGGCTTGAGTATGAGAGGCCTGGTGTGATCAGTAAGGCTTGGTAGTTCCAGTGTTGTAACTTGGAGGGTTACTGAATGACCCACCAGAAAGGGGTGTTTCATTACATTCAATGCTTCTTTCTTTTGCTTTTAGATTACAGGTATTTCATAGTCAGCTTATATTGTGCATGTTTCTTACAGTTATGTATATACAGTATATATATGGAATATGTATTTACATGTGTTAATAAAATTAACTTTGTATAGTAATACTTAGCTAATTTCATAACATTGTGTTTGATAGATTCGATACAACAGGCATGGCTCCCTTGACCTATGCAGAGCAGTTTTTGCAGTTGTCTACTAGCTTACCTTCAGACTATATATATGGACTGGGTGAACACCTGGAGGGACTCCTGCTCGACACTTACTGGAAGCGTCGTGTTCTCTGGAACCTGGATAATGTTCCAGAGCCTGGGGTTGGTGCCATGTCCTAACCTTCAGTCTATCATTCACACTCTCATATATGCCTTAAAAATTATGGCTCAGCATCTTAAAAGCAATCATCTTATAGCACTCACCCTACCTATCTGTGTGTTCATTTGTCAATAAACCACCATGTAGTTATTGTTGTCATGACGTATTTCTTGTTAATTAGTTTCTGTTAATATCCTCTTAAAGTGATTAAACTTATTTTGCCATCAACCAGTTATCCAGCACCCTATTTAGTTGCTTCAACATGAATCATTTGTTCTCTCTCATGCATATATATTTGCAGTTATCCCTGTAGGCCTTGATTTAAGTTGAAATAAAATTTCAAATTTTAATGCAGAAAAATGTAACTTGGCAATACTTTTTTTTTTTTTTGAAAGTAGTGGAACTGTTGGCATATGTTGCAAGTAAAATTAATTTGTCACAAATTTATTCGTTTACCTGAGAAGGTCAATGTGAAGTTCCAATTCAGTTTATAGTAGGTCCTGGAGTATGATCATTTCCCCACCATCTTCATATAAAAATTGACTGGGTCACAAATAGCCAAATGATGAAAAATGCCTTCAGATCTCATTTGTGTGTAGGTGTGATTGCAGACAAAAATAAGTAGACATAAATACTTTCTGGCTTCTCTCCTAATAGGACAAGTTGCTTAACAAGCCAAGTATTCCTGAAATGATATATTATTCAGTGAGGATGTTGGAAAAGATCCTTGCTGTGCTAAGGAGTAAAGATAGACATAATCTGGTTTGTCCTTAAGAAAAGCAGGCCATTTCTTACAAGAATAACCATGAGCTTGCATATACAAGAAGATTCCATCTTCATCCACAATCTTAGTTTTCTCATTTAGTGTGTGTCAGAACAGTAATTATGTATGCTTAGATTGTGAGTTTAACCAAGAATGGTGCACAAATACTGTGTTAGTTTTTAATATAATACGTTTACCCATTGCTATAAACAATGAATTTTAATTTCAGACCAATTTGTACGGGAGTCACCCATTCTATATGGTGTTAGAGCCAGGTGGCAATGCCCATGGCGTATTTCTTCTCAATAGCAATGCTCAAGGTAAATTCTAGTTCTGTAAGAGGAATTATGCCATGTTTGATCACAACACCATGCTTCAACATACTTATTGCATTGTTTTATACAGTAACTCTATATTGTTATGTACTATTATACTTTGTTTTACATTGGTATAATGTTTTAGCATCATCATCATCATCATTACTGTACAGTACTTCATTTACCACTTTCACGGGAAGGCTCCTTGGGAGGCGCCTGTCTGGGAAGGCCCCTGTGTGCTTTTTGGCACTCAAAGGCACTCAATCCATGTAGTATACATGGATTTTGCTAAAGCTTTAGATAAGATACCACATGAAAGACTGGAAAGGAAATTACAGGTGCATGGAATAAATGGTAAATTATTAGAATGGATAAAACAATGGTTGAAGGAAAGAAAACAAAGGGTCATACTAAATGGAAACGAATCTGAATGGAGAAATGTGACAAGTGGGGTGCCATAAGGGTCCATTTTGTGACCTACTCTTTTTGTCATATCAATGACAGATGAGAATATTATAAGCCATATCAAATTTGCAGATAACACAAAGATTTATGGTAAATTGGGAAATGATGATATTGAAGCCTTACAAAAGAGTTCAACATGAACTCGACAACTGGTCAGAAGACTGGCAAATGCTTTTTAATATCGACAAATGCAAGACCATGCATGTGGGGCAAAACAATCCATGTCATGACTACCAAAGTAATAGCATTACATTACAGTAGATTGATGAAGAAAAGGACCTTAGAGTCAAGATCCACCACTCATTAAAAGCTGCACAACAGGTGGGTGCAGCTGTCAGAAAAGCTTACCAAACTCTTGGGATAATCAAGCATAATTTTGACTATAAGGGAAAGAAGGTAATGATTCAACTGTTTAAATCTCTGGTTGATTACTTGATCACTTCATTACTGTTTCCAAGCATGGAGTCCTCATTTTCAGAAGGACATAGCTGCTCTGGAAAAGGTGCAACACCTGACAACAAAAGTCATTCCAGAACTAAATCATCTCCTGTATCAGGAATAGTTGAAGGCCACAGGACTAACAGCACTGTAAATCAGACATGACAGGGCGGATCTCATTGAAATTTTAAAATACTGAACAAGTTAGAGAATGTTGATTTGGATATTTTCTTCGTAAGGTCAGATGTAACACAAACAAGGAGCAACGGTTTCAAGCTCAACAAGCCACAATGTAGGACTGAGAACAGAATAGGCTTTTTCACCCACAGGGTTATTAACCCATGCAACTGCCTACCCACCAAAGCCGTAACTGGGAAAACTGTGTTGAGTTTTAAAGTACAGTATACCTAAAAAAGGTCATAAAGGCAAATGGAGGGACCTTTGACAAGCGGCCAGCTTCCTGACCTTATCGAGGCCACTAGAGTTACTGGCCCTCAGGTAAAATCAGGTAAATCAGAGGCCTAGTTCGATACTCTAAGCATTATCACCCCAATGCTATAGCTCGGGAGCTACCAGGTGCCTTACCAGAAAAAGCATCTTATTACATTCAACTTATAAAGATAAATGTAATAAAATGCCTTAAAATCAAAGTTTTTTCACTGAGCTGATGCCTCTCCACACATCATGAATGTGGGATTGGAGCAATTACTATGTACTGTTTGTGTATACTGTATTTGCATATATAATAATAATAATAATAATAATAATAAAAATTATTTATCCATTCATGATTCTGTTTTTGTAATATAGTTACATATAAATATTACAAATATAGTAATATTTATCATTTGATCCAATACCAACATTAGACATTTCCAATGTCATTCAGTTATTTGAGTGTGTCTGTGATGTCATTGATCATTTATGTCAACATTATTGTGTGTGAATTATTCTCTTGTAGATATTGTGCTGCAGCCTCATCCTGCCCTTACTATACGAGCCATTGGTGGCATCATTGACTTATATGTGTTCTTGGGTCCTACCCCTAATGCTGTAATTAGCCAGTACACTGAAGTGATAGGACGTCCGTTTCTGCCTCCATACTGGTCATTGGGTTATCACCAGTGCAGGTCAGTTATTCTTGTGTTTGGGAGGTGTGGGTGTTGCTAATGGGAAATTGTGTATCCAACATAATATCTTGCTCAAAAATTGAATACAGTATAACCTAAATAAACTAGTTGTCACTTATGGTCTCATAAGTCTCATTGTTCACTGAATCAGTTGCATATATAACAATATTTATTTAATTATTTCAATGCTAAACACTATTTCTGTGGGCTAGTCATTCTATTACTTTTAGAGGTATTCTGTCTGGTGTTCTAAATGTGTGTGACTTCATTTAGAGAAGAGGACTTAGGGTAAGGGAGAGAGCTATCTGGAAAGCGCCAAGCCATGACGACTATATAGCACTTGGGAGGGGTCAGGATAAGGATTTAGGATGGGAGGGGGGAAGGAATGGTGTCCAACCTTTTGGATGGTCGGGGATTGAACGCCAAGCTGCATAAAGCGAGACCGTTGCTCTACCATCCAGTCGAAGTGGTTGGTAGGACATAGGGTAGTCATATAAAGTGGAAGTTCTGAAAAGCCTAATATTCGGGCCACAATTTTTCCCTACTCCAGTACCACCAGGTAGCAGTACCTTCAATTTAAGGTTCACCTACCCATAACCACCTTACTCATCTTAACTGTTATTTCATGCCTATTTCAAGTAGGGCTAAGTTACTTAGCTAGACTCATTTTGATTTCCAAGAGACTTCATCTGATGTCCAGGGCACTCACCAATAATGTCTGCGGAGTTTGTGGTTTTTGCTGGTACGGGTTCTGGTTTCATGACTGTTTCCTTGTCAGAGCCAGCCCCTCACCCTCCCCCAAAATAGCTCCCTCTTGTCTTATGTTTCTGGCACGGACAGGATATTTTGAATATTCGTGGTTTTTGGTGATTCTCGGTCCATTATACCAAGTGGCAAGTGCCCATAAAAATACTGAGAAGCATCAGAACACTAAGCCTCCTTCAAAACAATGTTGGGCTGCACCAAAACATCAAATAAAACTCTTAGATGTAATAGTCTTAGAATGTGACTTAATTCTAAAGTATGATGACTGCTAACTTGCTTATGAAGAGTTTTCTTTAAACCTAGTGAGGCTTTGAAAGAGGTAAATGTTGTCTATGCTCAATGACTTTCCCATGATACCAGTTACTTTCTCCAAGGTTGTGCCCCATTGAGGAAAATAAAAAAAATTGACATCTCTTTCAAAGTGTGATTATGCACAAGTAACAAACTCTAATCCAACTTAGGATACTTCCCCCCTTTTGGGCCCTTTAACTTTTTAATGAGTATTTCATGAGGCACAGTATGAAAGGCCTTATTAGTCAAGACATAGAATGTCACATTTCTTTCTGCTATCAACATTTCTCCATTAAATGTGACTGATTTGATGAAAACGAACGTGTGATCTCATTCCATTGACAAGTGTCATTGGGGGGGGGGGATTGAAATGTTTGAGAAATACCTCCCGACTTTCCTTTTAACAATGTCATGGTGTAGCGATTATCATACTGGTTATGCCAGTGTGTGTGATGCACCTAGCTTCCTAAGGCTCGAGTCTTTCACAGGAGAAGAGTTCTTGGTGTTACATATAACTTGTGCGTTTATGCAAGTGTGTCGTATATTTCAGGCTCGCATTTTCTCCATTAAATGTGACTGATTTGATGAAAACAAACGTGTTATCTCTTGCCATTGACTAATGTCATTGGGGGTTGAAATGTTGTGGAAATACCTCCCGACTTTCAATCCAATAAATATATACTGTATATACCTACACACACACATACATACATACCTGTATATGTATGTATGTATATGTATATATATAAAAAGTGTGTGTGTGTGTACACACACATGTTGTATGTAATCATACTTGTATTTTAGATTTGGCTATGGGTCAGTGAATAGGACTAGAGAAGTTTGGCAGCGGACTCGCAATGCAGGAATCCCGTTTGTGAGTTCTAGATGCTTAGAATCTTGTTCAGTTATTTTGTGTATATGATGAAGTAATATTTTTTACATGTTATAAGTTTCATATCCACTGCATGCATATTTATAATCAACTTTTGTTTTGCATAGGATGTACAGTGGAATGACATAGACTACATGGAAGGCAGTAAGGACTTTACCGTTGATCCCATCCACTATAGTGGTCTTTCAGACTTTGTCGGTGAAGTTCATCAGGTAAATAGATTTGTTTTGTGGTCATATGTTTTGTCATTGAAATATCATTCAATGTAGAATTTGATGTAACTAAGGGCATTGAAGAATCTATTAATTTAGATTTGCAAAATTTGATGAATGTGTATCATTTCACAAATGCCCATTTTCTGGCAGGATTCCCTCAGTAGAGGCCCAGTTGTTTCATTGAAACATGAAAAGGTTGTTTCATTACCTTCAACACTTTATTTTTATTTAATGAATACAATATTCATAATTAGCACTGAATGTTGATTGATAGTCTTTAATGTTGATAATTTTGTCCTGCACAACAGGCTGGGATGCATTATGTTCCAATTATTGATCCAGGCATCAGTGCAGCAGAGCCGTATCATACTTATCTGCCCTGGGATGAAGGTGTGCGCTTCGCCATTTTTGTCCGGAACTCGTCCAATTTGCCTTTCATTGGCAAGGTAAGGGTTGTAATTAGTTGTCTTCATTATGGGTGCCATATGTGTTTTAAATTTTGTCTACCTCTTGATTCTTGCATATTTTTTATGTTCATAAAATTAAAACTCTTTATTGAAATTGAGCAGTGCCATCCTCCTTGTGGTTATTTTGGGAAGTAATATTTTGTTTGTGATCTTTATCTGCTCTGTTGCAACATGCAGTTGCAACATTTACAGCACACATTAGCTAGTATTACATCATATGGATAATAATTGACAATATCCATTGAATTTCATGGGCCATTTTTTCACTCCACTAGAACCATTTTTCTGTAGTTTTACTTTGTTCACTACAATTTGTATAATATTAAAAAAATAATATTTAAATACAGGAAATTGCTACTTATCCATACCTGTTATTTTTTTACAATACGATTCCTGTAACAATGTAACATGGTTTAATTAATTAGGTGACATTGGTAGATTGTGAAAACAGTGACTGTAGCAGAACAGCTTGCTCCTGACAAAGGATAATCTCCCTGCAAACACAAACCGAAACTGTCTCTATTTTCCGCTTGTTACAACTTGTAATGAAGTTGTTACATCTTGGCTTAACATGTTTATGATGTATTAGAACATTGTTACAACTTGCTATATTGGTTGTTATAAATGGTTAGGAAGTGTTAAAACTTGTTCGAACGTTGTACCAACGTCATAGTTTCGGTGTGTGTTTGGCGGGCTGCTCCCCTAGTAGGTGACCCAAAGCACTCACTTATGTGTGAGAGATTATGGAGAATGGACTTCATAATCACACTTAGCCCTGGTTTTTCAATCATTCAAAGGCTCATCTTACATGTAATCATTATTTTTATAATTGGTTTTATGTAATTGAGAGAACATTAATAGACTTGTGAATTACTGTACTATTGAAGGTTATCTTGAGGTTATCTTGAGATGATTTCGGGGTTTTAGTGTCCCCGCGGCCCGGTCCTTGACCAGGCCTCCACCCCCAGGAAGCAGCCCATGACAGCTGACTAACACCCAGGTACCTATTTTACTGCTAGGTAACAGGGGCATAGGGTGAAAGAAACTCTGCCCATTGTTTCTCGCCGGCGCCCAGGATCGAACCCGGGACCACAGGATCACAAGTCCAGTGTGCTGTCCGCTCGGCCGACTGGCTTCCTGATTTGGGGCAATTAGGGGCATCATAAATACTAAAAATTCTAAATACACACACTTGAAAGACTTATGAATGGTGATACCTACAAGGAATATTCCTATTATTAAAGGCCAATATTGGTGGCAGATTTTAGGATTAGTTTACATGTAGCTACATTATACTGGCTAACATTATTTTGCAGAGCAAAATCTGTCCCATACAGTATGATGCTGGTCATGGTAATGTATAAAAGATTATTTTAGCTGCCAGAATAGTTGTAATTAATGTTCTTATACTTTACAGGTGTGGAATCCAGTGGCTACTGCCTGGCCAGATTTCACGCATCCTTTGGCTGCGTACTATTGGGGTCGTCAGTTGCTGCGCTTCCACAACACAGTACCAGTGGACGGGGCTTGGATTGTTAGTACACTATTACATTCCCGTGCAAAATTATATTAAGATGTGACTCGTCCAGAAAGTGAGAAAGATTATTACATAAGTAGCAGTAGGTGTAGTGGATGATATTGCCTTATAAATAGCTTGGAGGATAAAATTCATTATAGAAAAATTATCATTATCATAAAATTCAAAATTAAAAGAGGTAAGGCATTCATATAACGGACCAAGAAGATTTTAACCCTTGGACAGTGGCTATGGTCATACCTGCTTATGTGCAAAAAATAAACAAATTTCAAAAAATACATTTTCATTATAGAATTATTAATTCGTATGCAAAATGTAAGAAAAAACACGAAAATAAGGGAATGTTTATCATTTCACTGGGTGGGAGCAGTTTGGAAAAGTGTGCGGTGGGTGTGTGTGGCATCTGTCACACACAATAAGTGCTAAGCTACCTGGCCTCAGAATATGTAGGGTTCTTTAGCTTCTACAATTGTTACGTAATTGGCTTAAGTAACAATGTGTAAACTGAATGAGTCACATTATGTAACCTTAAGTTTCCATGCTTCTCTGTGGCTAGAGCAGCATGTGTAGCATTCCTGCATACATATGATCAAACCCTGGCTACTGCTCTGATGGATGAATATATGTATAGAGTTCAGTATAATGAACTTCTTTTTGGCGGCTCCTTAGCAACTCCCCAGAACTTATACACTGGTATTCCAAGACAAATACCATCTCACTGTGCATGTATACAGTATATATTTTTACAGTGGTGTTTTAATTTTATTACAGGATATGAATGAGCCGTCAAACTTCTTGTCTGGCAGTGTCGATGGTTGCAAAAGGAGCAACTTTGAGAATCCCTACTTTTCACCCGCAGTACATGGTGGTGATCTCTTTTACCACACATTATGTATGGGTGCTAGACATCACCTGGGCATACACTACAATCTGCACAATCTCTATGGATTTACAGAGACTATTGCTACAAATGCGTTAGTATCACGAAGTTCTTTAACACGTTTTATGATGTGTAGTTTTCCACATCATCCATAGTCATTGAACTGTTAAGTACAATTATCATATAATAAATTGATATTAATTATAATAGAGACAATAGCGTGTTGAATTTCATTTGGCAAAAACTCATAATGTGGAATGAAGTAGTATTATAATGAGTTGTAGGAAAATTATTTGTAAATCGTACTTTATTCATCACTCATGAAGAATTTTTCCTTAAGTAAGTTTCTACTATGGGGTACATTTTAGATACTTAACCTGAAATCACAGCCATTAAGTTATTATTAAATTGTGAGTTAGAATGTTTATACAATATGTTCAGAATTAAAAAGGTTATTTTCTTGGCCTATTGGTTGATTCCAAAGTGATGAGAAATGGTTACAATGTAACTTCATAATACTATATTAAAAAGGTTAAAGACTGAAATATTTCTACTTCTGAGTACGAGCTGCATCGTTTGCTCTTTATTGCACATGCTTAGCTAAATGGGTTCAATCCCTGAACCCATTATGTGCCTCTGTAACCCTTTCCACCACTGCCCATAGGATGGGTATGGGGGGTACATACTAAATCGATAAATAAATGAATGAATGAAATGAATACAGTATTACCATATTGTATCTCTTATATACTCATTGCATTTACTATAGACACTTACCATTTAGTAATTGATCTTGGTTGTCAGTGCTTTACAGATAATTCGAGCGAAGCGGCCGTTCATCATATCCCGGTCAACGTTTCCTGGACAAGGTCATTATGGTGGCCACTGGACTGGTGATGTGTGGTCCGACTGGTTTAATTTGTGGCAGTCCATTTCAGGTAGGCAATAGACTTTATTATATCTTTTAAAATACATTTATTATTCGGGATTGACTGGAACTTTAATTGAATAGCCATGATTTATTTATTTATTATTATGACAATGATTGTAATTATTTTGATGGTGATTTCATGGTAGATACAGTCATGCTGTACTGACTCAGGGTAATTCTTGTTCTGTTTCTTACTATAGTACAGTATACTATTTAATATCTAAAGCCTCAAGAGGTAACAAGATCTTTGTTTTAATGTAAAAATTATTAATTTATCTAATTTTGTTTAGGCAGTTCCCTCAGTAGTTTTCCCCTAGCTACATACACTCACCTCTTAAAACCTACACTGACCAACCAGTAGCCAGAATCTAGCTCTCTGTATGAGGCAAAAGGAGTTTGGGGATCACAGATTTACCCCACAACAGGAAAGTCACCAGAAATTTTAAGCAAAACAAAAGAAGCTACTACTGGAAAAATATAAAAAAAGAATGTGAGGCAGATACAAATTCTAGATGATAAGAGGCGATCAACCCTAATGTTGATGCTCTCAACTGCCACCAGATGGCAGCCTTGGTTACTTAGGATTCCCAGTCAGCCATCCACCTCACTTAAATGGTGCAATTAAGAGTGTATTCTTCAGCTGGTACCTGCAAGCTACTACTACTTTCAGCTAAGTGGGGTTGGCTTTCCTGTGAAACAGAAGTACTGCAAGGGGTTATTGCTTTTTGTTCCATACATATGTTTCATGATTGTATTTAGTTCCACTCAAATTGTGTTCCCTGTCTGTTATTTCAACCCATCCTCCTGTTTAGATAGTAGTTTTTGTAACTATGTGCACCATTGTACAAAGATTGCCATTCTAAGCAATTAGATAGTAGAACTTTGTACTACTAGTACAGTATTCACTTTATTGAGTCTGAAAAACTAAAACTAAAAACAAACAAATATTCCTAGGCCTAGTATAGCACATGTATGTTCTATATTAGGCCTCAGATATTGTGTATTAACCTAGAAAGGTTAGTTTGGTTTAGTTTCGTTTGTCTTTGAAACATAAATAGAAAATCTTTTCGGGATTGTCCAAATTCAGTAGAGCCGATTTCTACTTTGTAATTGCGTTGTACGTTGGTATATGTACTGTGGTCCTCATCATTACTATAAGTACTGTACTACCAAAATAGGAGGATGGGCTGGCTATTTCATTGTCAGATTGAAATAAGGGTTGCCTAGGCAACCCTAAAGCTACCCTCAGTATTAGGGTTGGGGAGTTCCTTAGGAATGCACTGCATTCCTGTTTTGTTGGGGAAAGCTCTGCAGGGCAAAGATGCAAGGACCCAAAACATACATGAATTAGAAACAAACACAATACACACACCAGTGCACAGCGAACCTCTTCAACTCCCCATCAACAGACCTCACAGGTGCAGGCATCTTCTGCATGTTACCTGGAAGCAAGGTGACTGAAGAGAAGTCAACTCATAGAGGAGAAACGCAAACCCCTCAGAGCATGTATCTTTAGAGGAGCAAGACAAATTAAAGCTGACCAACAGGGAAGGTAAACCTGGTCCATAACCAGAGTGAAATAATAGCCATAACTCCCAATATGGGTGGTACAAAACACAACTGTGAAGCATAATTGGGACAAAACAAAGTACAGTAATTGACCCAATTGGATCAGATACCACTTACCTGATGAAGGTGCAGCTCAGTGTTGCAAGGAGAGGAGTGCAACTGCCGTGTAACCAGGCAAGTGAGGGAGTTGGGCTTATGTGAGGGACAGCAGGTGACTTCTGCCACCATCTGATGGCAGTCTTTAGGTGGTTTAGATGAGGCTCTCCTCTGTGTTTTCAAGGCCCTCTGGTTTTCTTCCTCCCAGTTATTTATTCCCCAATTCCACAACCATTTGGTAGTGGTGGTGTTTTGCTTGTCTCAGGTGACCTGAGCCGCCATCTGGTAGCGGGTCTGGTTCACAGAGGTTCTGGTTGTTTGTCCACGGCAGTGATTGTTCGCCTTGTTTATCTCGGGTTTATTTCTTTCTCTCAAGAATTGGCTAGTTTAATTTTCATCAAACATTTCTGGTAGGTTTGTATCCATCTTATGTAGGTCTTTGATCCTGTAACTTCCTTAGACATGTAGAGAGAAATAGTCTGGTCCTGGCTCCTGGTAGGCCAGTGTGGATATCAGCTTTGACTATACCAGTGTGTAAGCTCCATGAAGCATCTTGACAATTCAGCAGAAAAAGTTTCATTATATTTATTATATGAAATTTGTTTATTTCACTTGATTTATTTGTAATTTCTCTTATTTATTTTAATTAAAGTTTGTTTATATTTTTCAGGAATTTTAAACTTTAATATGTATGGCATACCAATGGTTGGTGCCGATATATGTGGGTTTAACGGCAACACAACAGCGGAACTTTGTTTGCGGTGGATGCAGCTGGGGGCATTTTATCCATTCTCTAGGAACCACAATACCGATGATTCTATTGTGAGTATGATGTATATATGTCTCTTGTGCAAGGGAACTGTAATGTTTATAGTGGAGGTCTTTATTATTGCCATACAATGCTTTTACCTTCATGAGATTAGGTAAAAACAAGTTTATTCCTTGTGTAATAATAAATACAAATAATTGATAACTGTTTTCCGTTGCATTTCTGAGCTACTTTGCTGCTCTCATAGGTATTTTCTCGGGTTTTGTGGAGGGCACAAACTGCAGTCAAATAGATAACATACAGGCATCCTCACTGGGTCAGTAGAAACAGTGTCAATCAAGCCCAAAAAACTGCTGCTGAAAAGTCTTTTCACAAACAAAATCCTCCAGCATTCTCAGTGACAGCACCTTTATGGCTGCCATTGTAAGCCCAGGTCACCTCTGTAACCTATCATAGCCTGCACTCACTACCCTCAATGCCACCAGTTGGCAGCATCTCACAGGACACATGCTCCACTATCCTTCAAACCCACTTTATGTTCTTCATAACTGTTATGTAATTGCCTTGAAATCAGTGCTCAATTACTGAAAATATGTTAAACCTATTATCCAAGTCTAGTGATCTCTGGGATTAACAGTTACCCTTCAGCATATTATATGTGTTCTGACTATTGGGGGTTATTGGTATGTTGAGTGTCCCTCGTGTTCTCCAGACTATTGTCTCTGGTCCTCATAAGTACTAGTGTCAGAAGTTGACTAGCAGTGGGCAGTTTTCTGCTTTAGAGACTGGTATTTATTTTATTTTTTATTGAGTTTCTCTTCAGTGTTATCTGGGAGGATCCCATGTTCTTGACTGGTTCACGACATCAGGTTCTGCCCCTGCTTCGGCTTAGAGTTTTGGACAGCATATTCACATCCAAGAGGTACAGGAATAGGTCAGGGCCTCACCTTGGCCTACGGGTTGTCTTGCATACAAGTGACCTGGTTATAGGGCAAAGGTAGATCAGGTATTGTTCCCTGACATCTTGACTTTCCTGAATTTGCTAAAAGTTTTGTAGATACAAACATAAAATAGTGTTTGGTGTCACTTCTCAGGGTGCCTCCTAGATCCTGCAGCACAGATGCACAATTATGCTTTCAGTAACAGTATAGGAAAAGCATGTTTAATTTTAAGTATTATTATGTAAATTGTGACATATTAACTTGAATGTATTGTTAATACAGTATGTTTGAAGAAACTCTAAGGAAAACATTTCCTGAGGGAACAAGGCATCAGACATATATAAACAGATACCTGTAGAGATATATCTCATGATGTAGATTTGCATGCACATATACTTTCACTTTCCATTTTTCTCTTTGCAGGATCAAGACCCAGTAGCCATGGGAGAGGATGTTGTGATTGCATCCCGTAATGCATTGACTCAGCGCTACATGCTGCTTCCATATCTTTACTCTCTCTTCTTCAATGCACATCTCACTGGAGAGCCAGTAGCAAGGCCACTTTTCTTCCAGTACGTAATTCGTTCATTTCACTAGTCATTTTCTTTTGCCAGTATCACTCATCGTTTTTTATTTTACATCGTATGATGGAACATATTATATAATTGTAATGTGTGTCTTACTTTCTACTTCTTCAGATGTATGTGCTTGCTTGGGAAGTCTCTCTTCATTCTCTTCATGTGCTATAATTTCTCAGTACACATGCACATTAAGACAGAATGATGTACTGTCCTACGTAACTACTGCTCTCTGTGCCAATGCTTATTAATATTATTTGATACTGAAAATCTTTCCCATATTCCAGGCATTTAGCATGTATAACATTTTGAACCAGACTAATTTTTTTATTAAATATTCCTCTGATTTTCTTTACCGGCAGATTCCACAAAGATCCCAAGACCTATGCCATAGATACACAGTTTATGTGGGGTCCAGCACTTATGATAATTCCAGCTCTCCATCCGGTAAGGCAACAAGAATTTTGACGTGCAGATTAAAATTCACACAGCTATATTCCTTTGGATATAAATCCATAACTTAAGAAATACACCAGACATCTGGAGACCAGCCAGTATAGTACAATATACTAGTTTTTATAAAATCTAACTTTTGAGTGTGTGAAAAGCACTTTTCTGATTAGTATACTCAGTCACTTCCTAAGGCAAGATCCTACTTTCCATTGGATATGATCTACATCAATTAAGGCAGGTTGGTATTCCACACACTGGTATTGTGGGGAACTTTTCAACCTGTACCTGTCAGGTCATACTTGTACTTGGAAGACAGAATGTAGACAAAAATGCTGTGTAACACACTGAAAGCTTATCTCAAACTCAAATTGGCTTACTTCCTAAAAACTAACAGTGGCTTCAACACCTTACCTCTACCATTCAATCAAAACCTCGCTTACATTTCCTCCTGAGGTCAAGGTTAAGAGATCTAGGGCCAGATTCACGAAAGCACTTTCGAACCTGTACATCTTTTCTCAATTTTTGGCAGCTTTTGTTTCCAATTATTAAACAGTTAATGAGCTCCAAAGGACCAGGAGGATGTTCATAACAATAACAGCAGTTGAATGGGAAGTTTTCATGCTTGTAAAATGTTTAATAAATGTAACCAAAGCCGTCAAAGATTGAGGAAAGATGTACACGTTCGTAAGTGATTGTGTAAGTGCTTTCGTGAATCTGGCCCCTAGTTGCCAAGGTAATAACTCCAGCAATCCAAATGTAACCTTAATGACACAGATAAGGAAGGGCTTGGTAAGCTGGTCTCCAACCAAAGTAACAAATAGACACACTAGTTGTGCCATGAGGTGACTGAAGGAAAACAAGCTTTTTTGTTTTCAGGATGTAAGAAGCGTGAAGGCATATGTGCCTCATGGTAATTGGTATGACTGGTATCTCGGTTACCCAGTAGAAGGAGAAGGGAATTACATAGATCTGGACGCTCCTAAAGACAAGATTCCTTTACTGGTGCGTGGAGGTCACATCCTACCAACTCACATACCTGCAAATACTACTACTGAAAGGTAAGAACAATATACTGTACTTTTATATATAATACTGTGTAATTAAATTTCACAACCACTCACTCTCTGGTGAGGTGAAAGTAATTTAGTAAAAGAAGTTTATTGATATTAATTTAAATTAAATAATAAATTTTTTAAAATAGCTCTTATCCATTTATTATATTGACAATATTTAGGATCATGAATAAACAAGCTCATAAAACCAGATGAACAGTGCTTCTTGTGAATTTCATATAGTTTATATATAAATACAGTCACCACTTTCTTGCAAACCTATTTCACCTATTCATGTCCCTTACCATATCCCAAGCATACTGTACTTCACACTCACACCCGACTTCTATACACATTCCCTTCCTACTTCTTCACTCACTCATGAAGTCCATCTACCTTCTTCCTGGCTTTCCATGAGAGAGCTCAACTAAGGGAGCAACTGAGTGGATTACCTCGGAAATGACTTTTATTGTAATTTTTCCTAATAGCCGCAAGAATGGTATTGGTGTCATCGTGGCACCAAGTCAATTTGGCCGAGCTTCGGGGGAGTTTTACTGGGATGATGGAGACTCCCTTAGTAAGTACAAGATTTCATACAGTATTAATTGTGACACATTTCTTGATTTGCATCAATAATAGCTTTATAATTTGAGTTCAAATATTTTCTTTGGCACTGTTTAGTTTTAAAAATTCCATATATTGAGTAAATTGTTCTTGAATCATTTTCTCTTAATCTCTTTAGCATCCAAAATTTTAAATTCAGTACTTAATAGTTACTACTATTTATTTGTACTGTGTATACTCAGATGTTGTGGAGAATAAGGCCTATACCCACGTGCAGTTCATCTCTGGCCCCGGCATTGTCAACTTTAATTGCACGGTAACTGGCTATACAACACCTATCAATCTCAGTAAGTAAACCTTCTTAGTAAACTGGGTATTTTTTAAATCTCTTCCCCATTATGGTATTGAAATTACAGTGTAAAATTGTCATTTGAATTAAAAGTAGATGCCACCAGACTTTAAAGTTTTTAAAGTCTTCCTCTTTTATTAAAGTACAGTAATGTAGATATTCTATGCTAATAATATGCCCAAAACTTGTATTTCAAACAGACTAAATGTTTTTAGGATCATTTACTGCTTGCATTGACACAATCAGCTCTTTATTATTTGAAATACAGTACATGTTTGGGGAAAACCAATACTCCAGTGACGACCACACCGCCATCCATTATATTTAATTCCCGTTGATGCAGGCAGGAAGCATGTATTTAGGCTTACTGAAGTCTTCCTAAGCCAACTATTGACCTTCCTCAGGATGCAACCCATAATAGCTGCCTAACCCCATGGCACTTATTTATTGTTAGGCGAACAGATTAGTTTCGCGTGACATCCATTCTCCATCTGAGATGCAGCGAACCTTGGTGCTTGCTCTCACATGATTTGTCAATTGATAGCCTGCAAAGTGACCACCAATCCCGTGACCATCATTGGGATTGATACTGTTGCATGCAGTTGCAGTAAATTATACCCTCACAGTAGGACACAGGTGCAAGTCTAATGTGCTGGGTTTATGGTGCTGGTGCAGTATGTCCAGTACCTAGATTGAGGTCTGAATACCTACACAGATACAATTTATCCTGTCCTATGGGTATGATGGATCTTTCTTTAGTGAGCAGCAGAATGATCATCTCAGAAAGGTCCTTTTCATTAACTCAAGTCTGATTTTTCCTTAAGAAATTTAGTAATTTATTTCTTTGACAGCTTACATGCACATCTTTAATGTGGTCACCAACATAACAGAAGTTGTTGTTGCTGGGAAAAAAGCCAGATTCCAGTTTGATGAAGCAAATAAGGTAAGGCTGTGAGACGTATTTACCCCCAACTTGTTATAACCTTTCAGGGCAGGGCAAGCCAGTAGTTAGGAGTGTAAGGAAGAGAACCATAAAGCAGCTCTTGTTTAATTATAGCATTCACACCTATGTTTGAGCCTTGTACTAAATTGCTTAACATTACAAGCCATATAGACACAGCATTAACATTTATACAGCAAGGAACTATATTCAACTCTGTAAACATTGAAAGACAGTTACTGCTCACCACTCACTTATGCAGCCAAATGCAGCTACTGACTCCATTACATTAACACTTTCGCTGGCCCGGTGGGAAACCCGCCGTGCACCTCAAAGTAGGCTGAGCGGTGCGCGCGAACTCACCACCACCCACGAATGTTTATACTCTTTTTAGTTTTCTCACTTCAATTTTTGTGCTACATTGTTCAATATGGTATCAAATTGTTCACAATAGAATGCGCTAAAGGAATATGTGCATATAAGAACAAATGTCTCACTTTCCTATACTTTAGACCCACCGCGCACTGCAAGGTAGGCCGAGAGCTCACCACCATGCAGATTTTTTTTTACTATTTTCAGCTTTCTGACCTCAATTTTTGTGCTGCATCTTTCAGTTTGGTATCAAATTGTTTGTGATAGAATGTTGTAAAGGAATATTTGCATGTAAGAACACATAAGTCTCACTTTTCTATAATTTTGATGAAACTCTTAACTTTTCCCTCATACTGTACATGTTTCTTTCAATGCTTTCATCATGCATTGGCTCTGTTCTTAGTCAGTATCCATCTGAAAGTCAATTTGTCATGTTTATAAACCCGATAACAATAAATACCCGAGATAAAATAACCAGAATGGGAAAACTTTTCGACTTGATGGGAGGCCGGTGGCTTGAGTGAGGTCATGAGAACAGTGAGGCTCCAGCGTGGGTGGGCACCCACACGGCAGAGTCAGGATGCCACGTGGGGTATATACAGAGAATGGGCAGAAACTGGCGCACATTTTAAAACTAGTCCCATAGTATTCGGACAATAAATGGAATTTCTACAAATTTTTAAATTATTTACGCCTATTTGCATCATCTGGCATATTTCATATTTTGGTTCTATGCCGCAATATGCGGCATCGAGCAGCGAAAGTGTTAATATAGTACACAATAATACAGTATTACCATATTTAGGCTAAGTAGGCATTATTACATTTAGTCTAACCTAGTGCTACCTCACTTGAGTCTAACCTAATGCATGATCACAATACACTTGGTGTAACACAATACTGTACTATATAGCTTAATACTTAATACTGTACTCTGATTTGGGGCTCCTCAGTCACACCAAGCTTGGTGCTTGTACTGTCATACCCAGCATAGTACAGTATTATCAAACCCAACATAAAATGCTACTACTGCCACAATTAACCTAGTGTGTGTTACACCCAGCCTAATACACTGTACAGTACTGCTATTGTCATACCCAACCAAGTTTAGTACTGCTCATGTCACAGTCAGCCTAGTACTGCTAATGTCACAGTCAGCCTAGTACTGCTAATGTCACAGTCAGCCTAGTACTGCTAATGTCACAGTCAGCCTAGTACTGCTAATGTCACAGTCAGCCTAGTACTGCTAATGTCACAGTCAGCCTAGTACTGCTAATGTCACAGTCAGCCTAGTACTGCTAATGTCACAGTCAGCCTAGTACTGCTAATGTCACAGTCAGCCTAGTACTGCTAATGTCACAGTCAGCCTAGTACTGCTAATGTCACAGTCAGCCTAGTACTGCTCATGTCACAGTCAGCCTAGTACTGCTCATGTCACAGTCAGCCTAGTACTGCTCATGTCACAGTCAGCCTAGTACTGCTAATGTCACAGTCAGCCTAGTACTGCTAATGTCACAGTCAGCCTAGTACTGCTCATGTCACAGTCAGCCTAGTACTGCTAATGTCACAGTCAGCCTAGTACTGCTAATGTCACAGTCAGCCTAGTACTGCTAATGTCACAGTCAGCCTAGTACTGCTCATGTCACAGTCAGCCTAGTACTGCTAATGTCACAGTCAGCCTAGTACAGTACTGCTAATGTGTGAACATATATTTGATTTAGTTAACATTTGAATGAATAAAGATATATAGTAATAATTAACTAGCATTTATGGTGAACACTGCTTGATAATAACAATGGAGCAGGCAGTATTCAGCTTGTTCATTGTACTTTTTGGTGTATAGTGAATTTCTACATCCTAAACTGTAAGTTATATTCAGTATCAAGATAGGTTAGATGATCTAAATTATGCTTTAATGTATTTGTATTATACAAAAGGTATTTGTTATTAAAATGAAAGGCAGTTATTAAATTTTTTTTATTATTGCTAGTGATAGCAAGCAATTAACAAAAAACTGGGCAGTATATGGTATACAGTTTTCTCACTTGATCAAAAACCCACTTTCCGTTTACAATATTTAATGTGTATTATATCAAATTGCTTTAGTATAGATGCCAGGAATTTGTAAGATATTTGATGTTGTTTTTACTTGTTCTTATAAGGTTTGATTTTTACTATAGCAATTAAGTAATTTAAAGCCATTATTAACATAATACACAATGGTGTTTGTAAAGTATGTATATTGTATAGTAAAAGTGTTACATGTCCTCTTCCAGGTACTATCAGTCACTGACATAGCCCAGAGTCTTCTGCAGTCTTTCATTGTGACATGGAAGTAACGGAATAAGAAAATTCTCGCAAACGAGTCTTGAAGAATTGCAAATGTTGTTTTTCAGTATTTTATGGTTGTGATTTCACTTGGCTACTCTGTTTTCTACATAAGTCAGTCAATACTTTGTGGAAAAAAATGATAAATATTTTATATTAATAAATATTAATGTATATAACAATTTTATTTATATAGCATATACTGTAGTACTATATATTATGTTATTAATACAGAGGGGGGTCAGTTATGGTTCAGTTATGATAATGTCATATAGAACATTCTCTAGCTGCCCACACCCAACATATTTATGTTCTTTAGTGTGTGTAACAAATTCTTAAATTCTAATTAGTATCTTGCTCTACTAATAAACAACAGGACTATCAGTGGCCTCGTATGCAAACAAACTAGCTGTAGATCTTATATTCTGAAAAGATATCTTTTTCAGTTGATTGTGTGACGAAAGACTTTACTACAAATGTATATTCTGAAATGCATATCTAGGGTTGTTATGGTATTTTAGGTTCTGCCATTTCTCTGTCACAAGAATGGTCTATGTATTTATACAAGGCATAATCCTTATATCATTAGTACTACTGGAGATAAGACCAAATCATTTTTTACATTAACAAATTTGTAATGAACTTATTTGCATACCATAGAATTGTTAAAGGTCTTGTATAATTGTATTGGACCTTGGTTTCTGTGTATTAATTATATATAGTATGTTTTATTAATACAGCATTTGAAATTATTTACCGGTGAAAATATCCAATAGTACAAGCAAATAGTTTGATATTTATAGATCTTTTTTTAAACCAAAGAAACTTGCCATAGTAAGTTCAAAATGTAAAGACAGCTTTGCAGTGAAAATAAATTAATGATAACTGTATATACAGTATACAGTACATGTATTATATGTATGTATGTATGTAGGATGCATAAGTATCCACATAGGAAAAATGAAACAAAAATGTTTATAATTTTTGTTTCATTAGATACATGCAACTGAAGCAACTGTATTTTGTGATTGTTTTATTTTTATTTACAGTATGTGTGTGTATATTATATATATGTATAATACACACACACACTTTGAATTTTAAATTTTAATTTTCAGTGTCAGAGTAGTTACCAGATGGAATGCATTAGACAGTGATATGGTGGAGGCTGACTCCATACAGTTTCAAATGTAGATATGATAGAGCCCAGTAGGCTCAGGAATCTGTACATAAGTTGATTGAGAGGCGAGACCAAAGAGCCAGAGCTCAACCCCCGCAAGCACAATTAGGCGAGTACACACACGTATACACTTCGTATGCACACATATATATACATACATACATACATACATACATACAGCTATCTGAATAACTGAAAATCCAGATAATCATACAAAAATGTTGAGAAATAATATTTTGGCTATTTTATTGGTTATTTTACCAAAATATAAATTTTAATGTTAAAAATTTTCCTAAAAATTCCAGTAAAGTTATTCTAATTGAAATGCATCAAAATAAGTGTACAAGTGAGAAACGAATGAAATTTTTGGTGTAATTTTGAGTATACCTGTACTCTACATGTGTTGTTCTTTCAATAGCATCGATCCACTACAAAGTTGATATTGAGCCAGTGACAGGTCAATAATGTTGGTTCAGTATTATGGTTTGTAAGATCTAGAAAATTCACAAATCTAGAATTCACTTGCTCCTGATCAGTGAGATTTTCTAGACTGCTGTGCATATACCATACCATAAATAATGTGTGTGTAATACAGAGAATTGTTATTGGTTGTAATTATGCATTTGCTATTTATATAGTGTATGCAAATACAGTATACATGTTGATGTAGAATTATACTGTACAATCAATTAATTTGCAGAACCACAAAGTTTCGTATTATAAGGAAATTCTGGTTAGAGGCTGATGTTTGGCTTCTATGTACTATTATTATAATAAATGTTTTTAAAAATATTGTGCATTGGAATTAATTCTCTCGCCACTGGTTAAGATATAATAAATATGATTAAAATGCAAGACACAATGAAGTTAATGGCAGTATCAAGAAGACTGTGGAGCCTTGCCACAGCCCAGTGCCCAGCAAAGAGAGAACCTCATTTTCTCAGGTTCAAATGGGAAAACCTTTGACAAGCTGCCGGCTTCTTATCCTCAATAATGCAAGACCTGGTCAGGAACCGAGCCACGGGGACATTGAGCACTCAGATTTTTGTCAAGGTAACCCGTTCTCAGACCAGATTCGGCCAAGCAGTGGCAGCCATCCCCGAAATACATTTCTAAATTTGTAAGTACAGTACTGTACTTTTGTATTAAAAATGTTTCTCCTCATATATAAATAAATACTATTATGTACGAGAATATTTTGTATATTTAGGCATATATTAGGTGTTTAGGTTCTGTTATCAATGATTTGTATTTGCAGGTACAATTATTTGTATGTGGATATCCTGTACCGAGGCTAGGATCAACCAGGCGGCAGTTGAACCCAAAGGCACATATGGAGTTAAAATAAATTTTAACGCACTGTATATTCAAAATGAGTATTTTCTCAAAGTAATATTTACTAACGCTAATATTTACAGAGTAATATTTTACTAACGAAAATAATGAGTATTTTCTCAAAGTAGGTTTAATAAAATGTGTTGAATATTTAGGCCCAACTTAGGTGGTTAGGTTCTGTTGTTATTATTTGCAATACATGAATGAAGCATTTATAGAGGTGCGATTCGAGTAGAGGGCGTGGACGAAGCAATGCTTGAAAAAATACATAATCAACAATTATGAGTCTTGTTTAGTGGGAAGGGGAGATTTTTAGTAGCTGGATTAACGAGCATTTGACGTTTGTTTATCAGGAGTAGTTGATGTGGGTGAAGCATTTAAAAGGTGCTATTCGAACAGAAGGTGATAAGCGAAGCACTGTTTGAGAAACGCTGGAACTTCATTGCACAACAGAAAACACATTTGTAACCTCGACATCGACATTTCATCATGATTGTTCGTCCTTGCAACAGAGGTAAGTGGAGTGCCTCAAGGCTCTGTCCTGGGACCTCTGTTATTCATAATACTGTATATATAAATGATTTAGATTCAGGTTTGAGCAGCAATATTTGCAAATTTACCGATGATACAAAAATCGGGAGGGAAATTAACATGGAAAAAGACTTCTCTTCAAGACGATCTACATAGGATTTTGAAATCGACAAAAGATTGGCAGATGCAGTTTAAATGCAGACAAATGTATGGTTTTGAGGCTACGTAACGATGATATAGTTACAAGATACGATCTAGATGGTTTTGAGATTGCGAAGTCGGATTGCTTAATTAGATGGTTTTGAGATTCGGATTGCGAAAGGGATATGGGAGTTATGATAAGTAAGAATTTAAAACCAAAAAATCAATGCACAAATGTTCGTAATAAGGTAAATAGGACACTGGGATTTATTTATCGAAGTGTTAGTAACAAGACACCTGGTGTTGTTATTCACCTATATCTTGTTCTTATTAGGCCCCATTTAGATTATGCAGTTAGGTTTTGGTCGCCATACTATAGAATAGATATAAATTCACTAAACTGCATCCAGCGTAGGATGACAAAGTTAATCCCGCAAATTAGAAACCCGTCATATGAAGAAAAAATTAAATTATCTAGAAAGGCGAAGAATTAGGGGTGACATGATAAAGGTGTACAAGTAGATGAATGGCTTAACATAGGGGGATATTAGCAGGGTATTAAAAGTATCAACACAGGACAAACACGAAATAATGGGTATAAATTGGATAAGTTTAGATTTAGGAATGATCTGGGTAAATACTGGCTCGGTATCAGGGTTATTGATTTGTAGAACCAATTACAAACATAATAGAAGTAGGATCCCTTGATGGTTTCAAGCGTAGGTGAGACATTAATATGAATGAGATTGGATAGATATAAATAGGAGCTGCCTCGTATGAGCCAATAGGCCTTCTGCAGTTACCTTCATTCTTATGTTATAGGAGCTGCCTCGTATGAGCTAATAGACCTTCTGCAGTTACTTTCATTCTTATGTTATAGGACCTGCCTCGTATGAGCCAATAGGCCTTCTGCAGTTACCTTCATTCTTATGTAATGCCACCCAAAGGCATACGTTGCTGTATGTTGACACTTAACAGCAACGTTATCGGTGAGGATCATTTATGCAGTGATACTAGAAAGAGTAGAAATACAGCTAAGATATTTTATTAATTTTTTATTTTTCTGTTACACGCCTTATATATGCCATACTAGATTTCTGCAGGAGCTTATACTTACAACATTTTATGTAAAAACAACAATATTTATACTCCTCTTATCCTCATTAAAATAAATACAACTACCATAGCATTATTATATATAATAACTAATAGGAACAAAATAATCAACATTGCCATCCCTCTCAAAGCATAAATGAAATTATAATGATTACGTTCTGCACTGCCGTTTATAATGCTATCCGTCTTTCATGCAATAAATGCAATCTTTTTTATAATACTGTACAGTATTATAAAAAAAGTATAATTTTAAAATCCCTAAAATTTTAGGGAAAAGAATAAATCCCCAACAATTAATCTGTTATTAGACAGCTTAGGCTATCTAATAATAAGGTAATATCTAATAATTAGATAGCTTAGGCTGTATAATAATATCTTAGGCTCGTGCTATTAAGTACCTCTTTAGTTTGCATCGTCTGCTGATCCTGATCTGAAAAAAACTGTAAACGGTCTGTTGGACTGTTCGTACACACCACATCACTATGTAAACGAAAGTAAAAAAAAAAAAAAAGGAAATTAGATAAATTTTATTACCATTTATCAAGATAATTGAAAACATGTAATCCTAAACGACATATTACCACTAGGCAATCAAAATATTCAGGGTTAACAAACTGTAACTGGTCTATAAACTTCCTGAACTTATTATGTAACTAATCTTTTAATGTTTAACTCGCTACCCACTGGATGGGAGTGGGCTGCATGATAAGCAAATTAAAACTGAATTTAATGTAACTAATTATCACATGTAACTAAAAATTCTGAGATTCAGATTATGTGACTAACCCTTCCACCACCACCCACATCACTCCACACTGTGTGTGTGATGTTACCGGTAAGCATTATATTAACTCTTACTGGATGAACTTATCGCATTAAACAATCTGCTACCCTCCTAATTTTCTAATATTTTTTGAGTAATTTTATTTAGGAAAAATAACTTTAAATGCAATTTTAGTATATCCTTTCGACAGTTTTCTTTAATTTCTGAGTCCGTTTAACTTGAGTATATTTGGGGAAGAGGGAGTAGAGACTCAGTAGTAGGTGAAGTCTTCAACGAAGCAGGAGCAGGCGGTGGGGATCTGGAACACGTCCACCACTGGCTTGATGGACGGGTGGTACGGGTCCAAACACAGCAGACGGACGTAGCTGTACCGTTGTACGCACCTCGACTTGTAACATGGTGGCAGGTACTCGCACCTTTTCCCTCCGTACCTGCAGATCCAAGGACGTAGTGAGGGAGGAATAACGACACATTAGGTTCATTTTTAGACGTTCTTATCGTTATAAACAAAATCATATCTTCACTGGAGTGATTAACTTGTAAAGCTGTTAGAGATAGGGGTCAGTCCCACGATATGAGAGGCCACACTCAACACTACCTTCCTTGCCGGGTACTGTACACTCAACTGATAAACATAATGTTAAACAAATTCATTATACGAAAAAATAACTCTAATAAATACGAATCAGAATTAATTTGTTTGAAAATTCTTTATAGCCATTTCACTAAACCCATTCATTCATGAAAGTTTGGAATTGACATGATTCATTTGTCAAAATGAAGGTTTGCCAGAGTGACTATAATGGTTCACCCTCCAACACGCTCTATTATTTTTGCTCCGTTTGTATAATTTTGCAGGCTAATAATTAAGTGCGGCGTAGGAATCTCCATTTCCCGATACTATAAGTTCTACACCAGGAAAGATGACTGTACGGCCAAAAAAAGTTCTATGGTGCCGTTTTCAGGACAAATGGGGGGGATCTTTGACAAGCCACCGACTTCCTGTCCTCATCGAGGTCATTAGTGTTAATGGCCCTAAGGTAAATTTAGGTAAAGTCAGGTAAATAAGCAATAGGAGTGACATAGGTATCAATATAACCAACGAGCCAAAGGGGATCGATTTATGGGAATGGTTCTTTGCGGGTAATGTTAAAGCTAGTACTGTATATTGGTGTTGCATTCTCCTATTGCTTTATTAATAGCAATATAATTATGAACCTTAAATGGCTGGCACTTTGAGCTTATCATATCATATCTTCATAGCAACCTAACTTATTGCAAGAGAAAACAAGGACGAGGTAAATATAGGGTTAAAGAAACGTCAGGGAAGATATGAACAAGTGCTGAAAGAGCAATGAGTGAGGAGAGTAGATAAAAACAATATTTGTTAAATCTGTTTAATGGATAACAGGAGGAAATCAGGAATATGTAGCCCAAAATATGAGTCGCATTAACACAGCAGTGACGAGATGTACAAAGACTATCAGTGTTTTCATTTTTTTTTGTTGAATAGCGTGTATGTCCTGACTGACGAAGTACCATTATACAAAGTAATGAGAGAAGAAATGATAGAGTATCTCACCTGCAGGTCTCGACGCGCATGGTCTGCGGGAACTTGTCAGTGTTGAGGATGGCCACCCACTCTCCCCTCAGGTTCTGGGCCCAGCCTGGCCTCACATACTCCACGCTGCTCTCACACACGAAGTTCCCCTCCCTCCTGCTGTGATGACGAGCACCGGGTGAGGAGTTGTGCGTGAGGTGGGTTGAGGAGCTGTGCGTGAGGTAGGTTGATGGTGTTGCAGTATGGTGTAGTAGTAGTGACGTAATGGGTGCAAGGACATGGTGCTAATAGTGGCAAGACACACCAGGGTGGTGTGGAGACGCAACCCGTTCTCGCACTTGCTTACTGTCAATATTGGCTTATTTAATAAGTGCATATGTGACATACTAATTGATTGTGAATAATTTTGTTTACCTTGAAAAGGTTCATAGAAAACACCGACCTCACCTAACCTTCTTAGTATCTTATAAGCATCTTATTGCTTCTTATTTACAATTATTACTTAACCTATCAACGGTATAGGTTAAGTTCCCGAGTTCTACTTCCAGAGACGACGGGAAGGTAGTCGTGCCGGGAACCACTTGGCAAGGTATGTACACTGAGAACACCAAGGTTATGCACGGCCACGCTCGTGTGTTGTTTAAACATGTAACATAATCTTATAATTTGTGAGACAACGTCATGTGTCACAACCTCACCACATTTTGTAAATCAAAGAATGAAAAGAATTTCATATATTGAATAAAACTAAATCATCTTCCAAAATGATAGTATGCTTATATATATAGTGACTGAGAGTCATGTGTACAAAATATGTCCTGTTGCACAGAAATAATAGTTCACATTTTGTTTTATGACTTTCTAAACCGCAAAGAAACTGAAGACACACATAACTAAACACCCTAACCTATCCCAGCCCTAATTTAATGTATACTAGCCCTTACATAACGTATCATAGGCCTAAATAAACCATATCAACATTTTACTTGGACTAGGATAAGTCAGGTTGTTGCTTTCGTTATTTTTCCTTTCATTATCTTTGAGTTTACAAATATTTATAGTACGAAATATGAACTGTTGTCAGTGTACTCCAGGAAAAAAATTATGATTTATTTAGATATGCTACCTATGTATATATATATATATATGGACAGCACAAACCGTTCACCAAACATTGCAACATAGTGGTCGCCAGGATCAGGCTAGGCTACGGTTACCTGGGGCCAGATTTACGAACGCAGTTACGCAAGCACTTACGAACGTGTACATCTTTCTTCAATCTTTGACGGCTTTGGTTACACTTATTAAACAGATTATAAGCATGAAAACTTGCCATTCAACTGTTGTTATTGTTATAAACAGCCTCCTGCTGCTTCGGGGCTCATTAACTGTTTAATAATTGGAAACAAAGCCGCCAAATATTGAGAAAAGATGTACAGGTTCGTAAGTGTTTGCGTAAGTGCTTTCGTGAATCTGGCTCCTGGCTACTAGTGACGAATCTTCCAATCTTGAACACTAGGTGAAAAAACTTTTGTGAGCAGGAACTGGGTCATGACATCACACACACTATATTATTGAATGTTCAGTCCTAGACCCTTTAGACCCACCTCGCCATGAGGTACTGAAACCCTTATGGCCTCATGTCTGCATTTCCTTGGTAATGTGGTGAAACATGAACACGTTCGGAAATTTCGTTTCATTTTCTTAGTGGATACTTACGTACACACGATGTTGATGGGGGTAGTCAGGGTGCCGTACTTATAGTGTTGTCATGTCAGGATGTCGGGAGTGTTGCCATACCTGTAGTGGTGAGTGACGTTCTCATAGTAGATGATATCGTGGGCGGGGAACCGGTAGAGGTCGCTGTAGATATGGTGGATGTCATTATAGAAGCGGTCGATGATGGAATTTACCTTGTCTCTGGAGAAAGGAAAGATGTACTGAGATGTAGGTATATAAGATGTGGCGCAGATGTAGGTATTTAAGATGTGGCGGAGGAGTGACAACTCCTAAAATAAAGATAACAAGACAAGACTTCACTCAGACATGATATGTTTAACGCAAATAATAAAGTAAACATCGATAACTGTTTTAAGAGATCTAACGTCACAGCAAGCAATTTGAAGGTTAGCAGAGATAGAGGAGAGATGACGGCTGGAAGCTTATACTCACATTGGGTAGCTGCGGTCATAGAGGCAGTATGTACCAGAGCCTGCACACTGGGGGCGCTGCCCCCTCACTGATCCAGTCACTACGGGGGCGTGGACCACATCTGTGGCAAGGAGTTCATGTCACACCCGTACATAAGTACATCCGCACCCCTACACACACCCGTACATAAGTACATCCTCACCCCTACACACACCTGTACATAAGTACATCCTCACCCCTACACACACACACACAACCTTACATTTTTTGTATTGTTGCCGCCGGAAGCGGCTAGTTTATTGCGCATCCCATACTCACACTGAGCGGTAGCCCAAAAAAAGAATTACAGAGGGCACAAAAGATCTTTATCATACCTCAATGGAGAATATTACAGTAACAATTACTATATATATCCTTCACACCTTATGATGCAACATATCCCCCCCCCACCCCTACACACACACACACACCCGTTGGGTTCCATTCTAGACTTGCGATAACCATCTCAGACTTCAACTGACTCCATACACCACTTTCTCCTTCGTCACCCCAGCCACAACACAGTTACTGCACTATCCCGCTACTCCCTTCACTTTCATATCCAATATACATAACCAGTTAATAATAAATAACAACTACTGTATATCTAGTAATCTAATAACTATACCTCAAAATACAGCAATGTCTATTATAATGAGTTAATATTAATAATAATAATGCAGAGAATAAGACACAATCCACCCAAATGAAAATTAAAGTGACAACGTCATCAAGTTGCTACCTTCATTAGAGTCCAGGACGGACCGATACGTTGTCACATAAGGATGTGCCCAGTTTTATGCATAGGTTTTGGAAGAATAATTTGCCAGGAATCTGATATATGAAGGCTATGAGAGATTATAAGAGATGGCAAGGATTAGAATCTCAACTGTTGGCAGAGAATGGAGTACAAGATTAAAAACTATATACAGTATATGCAACTGAATATTGGTTTTGGAAGCAATGAAAACTAATATATTTTCTTATGCCAATGTAAGCAAGATCCGGACACAGTGATTATGCTGTCTTAGATCTGAACCCTTAACAAGAATGACGGGAGACTAAGTAGAAGCGGGAAAGAATGAGCGGCGAGGGGCTACAAAATGGCCATAATCATGGGGCCAGAGATATGAAGAGCATAATAATGTCTCACCTGGTATTGAGTAAGGCGGCCCTGCAAGAGGCAGACCTAGGTCCACGGACACCCCGACGGGTCCAGCGACGGATCCCAGCGCTGCCTCAGAGGAAGAAAAGGCTACAGTACTTGATATTGGACATTCGTCTCGTCACGTCGGCAGCTTCTGTTTAAAAGTGTCGTGGGCTGTAGTGTCTCCTCGGTCTTCTGGGGGCAGCTGGTCGGCGGGGATTGTTGTCGTGTGTTGGGAGCGTTGATTGTTGTTATGTGTAGTGTCAGCGGTGATTATCAAGTGGTCAGCAGTGATTGTCATGTGGGGTCAGCGGTGATTGTCAAGTGGTCAGCGGTGATTGAAATTGAAATAAGTTTATTGAGGTAAAATACACACAAAGGGATGAGGTAGCTCAAGGGATGAGGTGACTGGGGTCTGGTGGCAGAGTGGTGACCGCACAGTCTCTGCATCTGTTATAATCTCACTGTAATTTCCTCACTGTAACCATATTTCCCTGAGCTAAACTGGGCTATTCATGACCATCAAACCAAACACTTACCAATAGTCGTAGGCTATATATTAGGTTACCTTACTTTAGATTATTTGAAAGTTTTATCATGGAATGTGCACGTGTTAAGGAGCTGTACAGCTCACTAATTCATGACTAGTGACTAGTTCCTCAAGACTGTATGGGTGTGGAGCCTCGTCTTGACACAGTGAGCAGCAATCCGCCTCCACTTCTGCACAGACTTGGGGACAGTGACGAGCTCCACGAGTCTGTGTAGGTATGTTAGGAGCGCTTGTGTTATGAACGTTGCTCCTGAAGTCTGTAGCTCCGACGGGACACAAGGAAGCTCAACCAGCACATCATGATAACTCTGGCTTCTGGTGAGCCTCGCCGTGTGCTCTTACAGAAACACCGTCAGCTTAATTTTAGCTTATCTCTGGGTGAGGGAGAAACCATCTACTTAGATTTGATCTACCCTGATCTACCCAGATCTATCATCTGGGTAGATCAGATAGATCTACCCAGAGCTTTCCTAGCTCTGGGAAAGGGAAAAACCATATACTTAGATCTGATTGAAAGATGAAACATCTACTTAAATATGATGGAGGCAGGAAGCCACTTACTACTTAGGTCTGGAGGAACCACCTACTTGGATCTGATGGAAGGATAAATCATATATTTAAGGAAGAATAAATAATTTTCTTAGGGTTGAGGTCTGAAGGTGGCATGGACCATTTTTTTAAGTCTTAAGGTGCTATGGAGTGAATTAGTCGTGGGGGTGGAGGGGAGAACATCTAAATAGATCAGAGGAAGGGAAGGAGACCATCTACATAGGTTAGAGGGAGGGACGGAGGGAGACCATCTACACAGGTCAGAGGGAGGGAGGAAGACATCTACTCAGGTCAGAGGGAGGGAGGGAGTGTGAAGTAGTTACTTACATCCGATGTAACGCTCTGGTAGGAAGTGAAGAATCTTACTGGATCTCAACAGGGGCTCGCGATCTGTATAGGCAGGTGGGGCACCAGGTGGGCGAGGTACCAGGTGGGCGAGGCACCAGGTGGGCGAGGTACCAGGTGGGCGAGGCACCAGGTGGGCGAGGCACCAGGTGGGCGAGGTACCAGGTGGGCGAGGTACCAGGTGGGCGAGGCACCAGGTGGGCGAGGTACCAGGTGGGCGAGGTACCAGGTGGGCGAGCCACGACAGGTCACAACCACCGCAATAACCCAACCAACATTTTTGGAAAACAAAGACATGCGTTAAGAGATGTTTGTTTCATATTTAATATTTATTAGATTTTGGTCTTATTGTTGCAAGTTTGGTTGCAGGTGGGATGGCGGGTTGTAATGAGTGGGAGAGCGGGTGGGTGGTGGTGGTGGGACTGAAAGACATGTGAGCTATGAGATAGAGAGAGAGAGTGAAAGTACTGTACCAATGAAAGTGATGCTTGCTGCTGTTTCCTGCAGTTTCCGTTGTTTTGTTTAGTCTCATGAAGGAAGTGTTGTGCTTTGTAGGTAATTTTGTAATGCATTTTAATGTGATTATCTGCAAAAAATAACAATTATTCATTTAGTTGTATAAAATACTCCTATCTAACAAAAATAAAAGTAAAGGCCCGTTTTTAACTTATCTCTCGTAATCGTTTGTACAGGATCTTTGCAACACCTGTGTGGAACACTAAGCCAACAGCTGTGTGAAACACTAAGCCAACAGCTGTGTGAAACACTAAGCCAACAGCTGTGTGAAACACTAAGCCAACAGCTGTGTGAAACACTAAGCCAACACCTGTGTGAAACACTAAACCAACAGCTGTACCTAGTGTTTACCCGGCAACACAGCCTCGCGCCTCAGTGTTCTGGAAATTCAATCTGGCAGATCCCGAGCTCCGGACTTACGACTAATCTTGTTCTTTTATCAAGAATTTTGTGCCGTAGAACAAGGTGTTGAGACAGATAACAGAGAAAACAGAATCGTGAATAAGTGATGGTAAATTAGTAATTCGGAACTTATGCCTGAAATATAATTGCCTACTCTGCGTGACTAATTGCCCCGTTTGGACGATGAAGTTGAGTCACGACTGTTTTTAGCAAATACGTGTAAATATAATTCTATATATATATATATATCCAAATAAACTTAAAAAATTGGCAGACACGTCTCACAGTAAAAGGTCTGTATCAACATAAAAAAAATAACATGAATTTAGACGGTACTGACCAGGCAGGCTAAATGTAAACCGTTAGCAGCGGTAAAATAAAGTCATGTTGATTTCCATGTTTAGGAAAATGCTAAGTATTATGGGTGGCGTCCCCACTTCAACCTGTCCTAAGGGATAAAATCCTCTAGCGGGAATGGATTGAGAACGGCTACATAAGTAGTGTTATTATCTATTCTCTATCTAACGATAGGTTAGGGTTTATTACGTTTGGTTGTTAATATGGTGTATTACTGATGTGAAATATGGAATTCGAAAACTATTTCAGCGTACCCGAGAATTCCGTTTACAGAAAACTAAATTCGTCAAAAAAAAAGTTTTTCAACATTTTTAAATTTTAAAGCAACTATTTGTATTACAATAAAGTTATAACTTAAGAATACTTTGCTTACTATGAAGATTCATTTGTCAGTTTACACATAGACTATTACTGGAACCGTATTATGCTGTCAGACCATCACAAATATCTAGAAAACTATCCAGGTGGTGTGAGGGGATTTTGTAGTTTCTCACGGTAATGGGTTTGCTCTGAGGACAGGCTTCCTCACTTTTACTTTTTCCTGGTAGTGTACTCGCTCAATTGTGCTAGTGGGGGTTGCGCATAGGTTCTTTGATGACCAAATTACACAATTGTGCTAGTGGGGGTTGCGCATAGGTTCTTTGATGACCAAATTACACATCAGAAAATTAAAAAAACGACGACATTTCTTCATTTTCTGATGAGTCGTTTGATCATCATATCTTCAGCCACGTTATTTTATTTTTTGTTTTTAAATTTTGCCCCGAGGGGCAAGTTTATTGGGCAGCGCCACTCATCTTGTGAGTGGACATAACGCCATAGCAGCATGTACGACACTCCCCAATAGGAAGAAAACCCGCTGGGTTGTTCATCCTGTCACTTGTACCCAGACACAGCTGGGACTTGCTTAACTGTCTCAAGTGAACAGCTCCTCAAACAAGAAGATTAACATCTATCAACCCTTAAAAGCTTACGTTATCTTGCGGGTGCAAAATGGGGAATTATTGTGATTCATCGACTGCATTCGATTCTTTGTTTTCATTGCTGGATGCGATGGACAATCCATAATACTAATAACATTAGAACTGTAAGTTTGCTACAACTGACCTTTCTTAACGTCGTCGTCGGCGGTGTGGTCGTAGTGGGCCTCGACCTTGGTGGGAGACGGGTAGATGGGAGGATCATAGTCATGGCTGCTGGCCTGGGACTCTCCCACGGTCCCCACCACACAGGCGCCCAGGCCAACAGCTACCAACACGCATGCGCGCACCATCACTCGTGTCTGACCAAGAACAACGTGTCATATACAGGCGATGAGTCACAATAACGTGGCTAAAGTATGTTGACCAGACCACACACTAGAATGTGAAGGGATGACGACGTTTTGGTCCGTCCTAGACCATTCTCAACAATCGACTTGAGAATGGTCCAGGACGGACCGAAACGTCGTCGTCCCTTCACCTTCTAATGTGTGGTCTGGTCATCAACGTGTCATATAGTCCCACCATGTTAACTAACAAGCGCCATGAGACTCATTGTAATGTATAAGTATATTTTCAAATATATTGAACAAATTATTCACTGCCATTCCATGATACTTATAATTAGTTTCCTGCAGTTAGCCTATTTGTTATATAATACACTCTGGTCTAGCTTAGTGTAGTTTTCCTATTACTGAACATTACAAGCCAGTTGGTGTAGTTAGCCTATTACCACACTCTAACCATTTTAAAGCTTAATTGTGTAGTTAAAAGTTTATGATTGGAGTCTGATACCTGAACCCATTCAATGACTTTGGATCCGTTCTGCTAGTTACCCACAGGATGGGTATGGACTCCACGATAGACTAATTATACTAAAGATCCCTCCATAGTGATCAGTCACTGGGTCTCGTATACTATTTAGTTTTCCTAACATGCACTTCCCTCCAATTTGTCTTCCCACCATACACTTCCTTTCAGTTTTTTTCCTTCCCAGCATTACTCTGATACATCTCAAGCTGCGCTCTCTGAGACGTGTTCCTACATGTCACACCACCACGATAAACACTTTCATTGTCAACATTTACACTAACAACAAATTATTTTAATGGACATTCAGGTAAGTATTTAAAAAATAAATGTGACTATATAGTAAAGGCCATACAGGGACCCAGGAAAACCAACCATCATGAAGACTTGGTTGTGATGTCTAGTGCACTTTATCGATGTTATGGAAGGTTGATATCGTGTCTCCTGGCTGTCCTCTGTGACTCTCCACTCTCCACCACTTCTCGCCTGCAACTGCCGTCGAAGCCTCCGAGGTTTCCTTAAATCCTCAGCCAGCGCGAACAAGAAATTCAGTGACGGGACGGACTTTTGTTTGGTCCCGCATGGCCGCCATCTTGCCGGGTGCCGCCCGTCATTGTCTTGTTAGCTTAGGCGGGAACCCTCCACCGAGGGGATTTATACACCTAAAGGTGTAACCTGTTTCTCTGTAAATAATATACTGAGAGTTTACTTTAGTCCTGAACCATGTTCAGCACTAAAGTATACTTGCTGAATGGTCAATAAGGTAGTGGCATTAATAACCCTCCTGTGGTTGATAATCCTTAAGCCCAACACGAAACCAAATTGCGGACCGTCATGGTGGACAAGCGGGCCTTGCCCCTCAAAGATTGACCTTCCCAGAGCCGCATCTCCTGTGCTGGTGTCCAACACCAACTGGAGAAAAATCCATCAAGTGTTAAATTTCCTGCTGATAGCCAGCCCAGCAGTCAAATTTTAATACTGAAGTTTACGTCGTTCTAGACTCACAAATGGGAATCCCGAGTTCGATTCCCGGGCGGGACAGAAATGGTTGGGCACATCTCTCTTCACCTAATGCCTATGTTCACCAAACAGTAAATATGTACCCGGGAGTTAGCCAACTGTTGAGGTTGAATCTTGGGAAAGATCGTAGTAGCTCGATCTTGAGGCAGTGGGATACCTTGATGTAAGACAAACTAATATATACACAGGCTTCCTGTCCCCAACAACCCCGCTCCTGTGCCAGGTAAGTTACGGGTTCACCATAGCCCGTGCTACTTGCCCCGCTCCTGTGCCAGGTAAGTTACGGGCTCACCATAGCCCGTGCTACTTGGAACTTGTTCCGAGTAGCTGAATCTATAACAACAACATCCCCAACAAAATGAATTATTAGTACACTGTATTAAAATTAGTTTTGTCTTTATAAATTGCACCTACATTTTAGATTAATCACTGAATTTAATAATAAGAATTGAGTATGCAAATTAATTTTTTAGGCATCAATTTACATTTAGTTCTTCTCTTATTATAAAAAGCTTCCAGAGTTAAGGCTCATTTGAACACCAACGCTTTCCTAGCATAGAAGGATTTAACTTTTGTTGAAATACATAAGCTGCAAAGTGTTAATCTGTCCACTAAAAACAAACAATTAGTCAATTTAATAAAAATTATCCACTAATGAAGAACACATTATTATTAGTCCTTCTAATTCCTTCCAGTTCCAGTTGTTGGTATTAACTAGTGTTTTCCTGTTTGGATTCAGACCTTAGAAACAAGTACTAGAGCCATATATTAACACTCGCCTGGAGGCACTCGCCTAATAGTGCAACTTTAACATACAAATACAAAATACAAATACAAATATTTATTCAGGTAAAGTACATACATACAAGGTGAAATACAAAAGTTGATGGATTTATAGATAGAGCTAGTACATACAATGCCTAAAGCCACTATTACGCAAAGCGTTTCGGGCAGTCTTAGAATCCTCGACATCACTTAGAACTCTAGTAATTATGAGAAATATGATTTAGAGTTGTTTATTGAGCATCGTGTTTTCCCTTCGATCACGATCTGACACTTACACCCAGGCTGCCAATTACTGATGGTGCACAGAGTACCATGACTGTTGACATGTTGCAGTGACAACCTGTAAAATCAAGTGCAGTGTAGTGGAGACAGACATGGTGAAACTGATAGTGTATGGGAGGTTCAAGGCGGACACGTGTGAAGGGAAGTTCCAGGAGAACCAACGCGAGGGGAGGCTCAAGGCGGACCTGTGTGTTGGGAAACTCAAGGAGGACCCAAGTGAGGGGAGGTTCAAGGCGGACCTGTGTGTTGGGAAACTCAAGGAGGACCCAAGTGAGGGGAGGTTCAAGGCGGACCTATGTGTTGGGAAACTCAAGGAGGACCCAAGTGAGGGGAGGTTCAAGGCTGACCCAAGTGAAGGGAGGCTCAAGGCAGACCCAGCTGAAGGGTTTGGTTCAAAATGTAGTGATTGCAGTAGTAATTAATGATTGGCTTTCTGGACAATTGCGTCCCAACGGCGACATACTACTCCAGAATTGTCGTCTAAAATTACCAGAGGACCACTAACGCTCTAGTGGCCTCGACGAGGACAGAAAGCCGGTGGTTGTCAGTTTCAAAGGTTCCTCCATTTGTCCTTATGATTTGGATTTTAAAGTCCAGCAGAGTTTTAGGCGGTTCCATGGGCTTATAACCTTGTAGGTGAAAATGCATCTGTTTTCAGTCCTACATTGAGGCTTGTTGAGCTTGAAACCGTTGCTTCTTGTTTGTGTTAAAACTGACTTTTTGGAGAAGTTGTCTGGATCAACATCCTCAAAGTTATTCAGTATTTTGAACGTTTCGATGAGATCAGCCCTGTCATGTCTGGTTTGCATTGTTGTTAGCCCTGTGGCCCTCAACCTTTCTTGGCATGAGAGTTGACTTGGTTCTTTAATTATTTTTGTTGCACGGTGCTGAACTTGCTCCAATGAAGCTATATATTTCTAAAGATGAGGTCTCCATGCCTGGATGCAATACTCCAGGTGGGGGCGCACCTGGATTGCATTACGAAGTGATGTGATCGAGGCTGACTCCATACACAGTTTCAAATGTAGATATGATATAGCTCAATAAGCTCAGGAACCTATACACCAGTAGATTGACAGTTGATAGGCGGGACCAAAGAGCCGAAGCTCAACCCCCGCAAGCACATCTACGTGAGTACAGCTAATTTTGCCTCTCGACCAATGACCCGGCGGCCATCTTTGCAGCCTTTTGTTATGCCTTCGTGTTATTGTCGTCTTCTAGGTATTTTTTGTCTGTGCTTTTTACGTGTTGCTTTAGTCTCCCCTGGAGCTCATTTTCTGTCACGTCAGGCAGTGAATTGTTGTAGTTCACAGAATAACACGACGGCGTCTTCCTCGTCTCTTCCTCTTTCTTTTCGATCTCTTCGATTTATACATTTTATTGATTTTAACCAACTCTCTCTTCCGCTCTTATTTGTTATCTTTCCTTTGACTTTCACTCTGCTGATTGTTAATAATAATAATAACTGTACACATTCTATGAATAAAGTATTGAGAGCATAAGACAGGGACAATTGTACAGATGTGCATATTACCTAAATTTACCTGAGGGTAAATTAGGCCCGACGAGAACAGGAAGCCAGCGGCTTGTCGAAGGCCCCCTTCCTTCATTTGCCTTGATGATCCTTTCCAGTTGGACTTTAAAAATGAAGAGAGAGATTTGGCATTTACGGCTTCAGCGGGTAGGCGGTTCCATGGGTGTGAAAAATCATTTCCGGTTCTCAGTCCTACATTGTGACTCGTTGAGCTTGAAACCGTTGCTTTACAAATGACGCCATTACCACACAACGTGTTTCGGGTAAAACTTTGAATAATTTACATAAAAAGTATCTATAAGGGCCAAACACTTTTTTCCCTGGAAACACAAACAGAAACTGTCTCTATTTTCCGTTTGTTACAACTTGTAATAAAGTTGTTACATCTTGGCTTAACGTGTTTATGACGTATTACAACGTTGTTACAACTTGCTACATTGGTTGTTATAACTGGTTAGGAAGTGTTAAAACTTGTTCGAACGTTGTACCAACGTCGTAGTTTCGGTGTGTGTTTGGCGGGTTATTACTAAATAAGAAGTACGCTAACAAATGAGATGCTCAAGAGAGAGAGAAAATTATATACAATATTAAGGTGATAGTGATGACAGACACAGGCTACTGCATTATGGAATTTGTAGTTTCAGCGACAGTACATTAATAGTTTTAGACATAAGTAACAGCAAGGATATACAAAGGTACATTTTTAGTAGAGGACTTACGGTGCTGGTCGAAGCCTTGTACTGGACTGGGGAAAAATGTGTATATTCTAATGGTTTGGGTTGAAGTAAAGAAACATGTTTTTATAATAAGGTTTGACAAATGCTTCTCTAAAACTATATAGATTACTAACCATTTTTTTTGTTAGTATCATTTGTTGTGTCCCGTTTACAATGTCGTTTATTGAAGCTCATCCAACGTGTTTGAGAATAGGTTGAGGACGTTTCATCCACATAGTGTTCATTTGGTTTTGGTGAGACACACTGTAAGACGCCCACAGTCTGTGAGTAACTGTTGTTGACAAGCACGCCTCCTTGGTGCCACAGCCTCGAGCTACACTAATTGTGGCGGTCGTTAGTTACTAACTAATTTGCTAGTTACGTCAAGGCATTTATCTTTGATGGTCTCCTGTAGACGACGATGGTCGTGTTCATATTTGACAAGAGCATTGATCAGTGAACCAATTGAACAGTGTCCAAGAGGGTTTGACAGGTTAGTTATGGTAATTATCAGAAAGCACCAAGCAATTATGACTATATAGCACTTGGAAGGGATATGAGGGTAAGGATTTAGGATAGGACGAAGGAAATAAATGGTTGCCAACCACTGGACGGTCGGAGATTGAACGCCGACATGCAAAAAGCGAGATCTACCGTCCATCCCAAGTGGTTAGGTTGAAGGCTTGAAAACGGTTGTTAATGCTTGTTTCGTTGGTAAATTTCACTACAAACTTTTGCTAATACAAAAGTACTGTAGACATATTGACAATATTTTGTTAGTTTGATAATAGTCTACTCTCTCTGAATAATAGGCTAATGTCAGTGATTGATAGACTACTGGCAGTGAGAATTGTCTTAGTTTCATACATCTATAAGTGTTCCACAGAATGTCACACGAGGGGCTCAGAGTTACACCATATACTGAGCGAAAGATTCTCTTAGCAGGGATGCGGAATGAGGCCTAAACTAATGCGAGCTGAGCCAGTTTATAATGGTGATATAGGGTAGTTGTCCACACGGAGAAGGATTATGTTAATACCAGTGATGATTACGCATGCGTGATTGTATAGTGGCGCTGAGGATATTAGCGAATTAAATGCAGTAGTTTAGGTCATATCCAGGATGTGAGAAAGGGGGGATGATGACGCCAGGGGAGGGGGGTACATTCTTCTATTCTTCGGAAAGTTTAAGTGTTACTATTTCAGCGCTGGCTGTGGGATTATGTGGTTAAGTTTGTTTATTTTATTTATAGTAAGTAGACTGTATATTTAAATACTGGTATTAAGTTTGAATGGACTGTATAACATAGGCAATTTAATTCTTCCACAGTGGGGTGTTTGGTGGTGTTGATTATAATTTATACGGAGTCGTGAACAATTGGAATGAATTTGGTAGGATCTCCGAGGATGTTGTTGATTTTATTCATGTATTGATCACCATAATCCTTCACCTTTGTATCTGCCGTCTTTTGTGGCCTTCTCAGATACAGGAAGACCGCGGCTTTTGAAGGTTTCTCTTTTGTCTGATGAGTTTTTTCAGGTGTATTTTCAATATTATTCGTGTCCTTGCTTCAATTCCTGCAGCGGTCACTGTTCCAAAGGTTAATTACACTCTGGGAAAGACAAATTTCCTGTTTTCTGGTTTGCATTGTTTCTTGACAATCTGGAAGTTGTTTCTTGTTGTTTGTCACATCAGACATCTTGGAGAAGTGGTTGGGGTATACAACTGCTCAATGTGTTAAATGTTTATAACAACAGACAAATTATTCCTTGTTAGAATTCTTATTGGTCTTGTGGCTTCGTGAAAACCTGTTCTGGAACGTAAGGCAACTTGATTTCCTGGATGATTCTCATCATGTTACATTAAAACTTAAACGAAGAAAGGATTTTCTATGAGAATGACTTCTATATGAAAAATCTAAATGAATACAGTTCTGTCCATATATTTAATATTTCTACATGCTGCGCTGTTTTATTTGTGTCTATTAGGCTTGCCTGAAACGCTATGCGTACTAGTGGCTTTAGGTATTGTATGTACTAGCTCTATCTATAAATCATTCAGAATGTTTGTAACTGCATCTATGTATGTACTTTTCCTAAATAAACTATTATATTATTATTATTATTATTATTATTATTATTATTATTATTATTATTATTATTATTATTATTATTAAAATTCAAAAATCAAAATTCAAATGTTTATTCAGGTAAAGTACATACATACAAGAGGTTATACAAAAATTTATAGATTTATAGATAGAGCTAATATATACATTGCTCTATATACAATTAATATATACAATTATATATACTATATACAATTAATATATACTTTGTATTTGTTTAGTAATATGCAGGCAGTATAGTAATTTGTCACTGATGTCTCCGTGATGCGTGGTCTTACCCGTGTTCTACACTGACTGGTATGTACTCTGGTAACGTGTTGACACTCCTCGGTACATATACCATAACACTCCTAGAAGACCGTGTTATGTAACGTGTGAAGTTAGTTGTAAGCCCTGGTTTCGTTCGCATTTTGATGATGTATATAAATATATTTACATCAATATCGTTTATGTAGGTTACAAACAAGGATGGACCCAGAGTGGTTCTTTGAGGCACTCCATTCGAACTTTAACTCTAGTTAGATACTTCTATATTTATGCCAACTGTTTGTAGCGTTTAAGCCATTGTCGACAGGTAGGTAAGTACTCCCAATCTTCTCGTTTTTGTGTTTTATTTTATTCGAAACAATTTTATGATTAAAAGTGAATGAAGGTCATGGGAAGTGAACCTGAGAAGAAGGTCAATGGAAGAAGGGTGGACGGCCTTGGGGGGGGGGGGGGCTTCAGGGGTACACCATGGATTGGGTGGAGCTGGAACTCGAGGCCGACAATCGTCTTAACTAATCCATTGTGCAAATATCTGTTTTCTTCCATATGTATTCCACCCCTCTTCCACCACCTTGACTGCCCTCAGGTCTGGTGCTGGAACCGATTAGGTTATTCAACACCACGCGCCGTCAGAACAGACAACAATTGTCCGCCAAACACGTCGTCCAGATCACCTGCGGGGGTCCAGAGACCCTCGGGGGGTCCACAAACCCCCCTGGGGGGTCCAGAGACCCCCTGGGACATCTATCTACTGGCAGCGCTGCTCCGGTCATGTGTGAGGCAACACCTGGGAGCATTTGTTAGTTATAATTAATTACATCCCCAAATTGTGAAGCATCCCAAAAATATGTGAAAGGTAATAATTTGTCAAGCGCTTTATATATTACGCTAGGAAATCAGAATATCGTGATATTCTGATTTCGATATCTGCTAAAATCATCGAGGCATGTTGGGCGGGGATCCTCATCTCGCAGGATGGTTTGCCATTCATAGAGTTGAGACATTTATAGGCTAACACTACCTTACAAATTTATTACAATAGAAATAAGCTTACAAACACTAGTTTTACATGAATTATATGGATACATTAACGTACACGAACATAGATCAATTATACAACCCATCCTCAAAAAATTATTGTATGTATAGTGACCATGAATTGAAGTATGGATTGTTGCCGCCAGTAAAATACACGTTTTATAACACATTTTGTATACTAAAGTGCTTACTCTATTGTATACAATCGAGTAAGCACAATATTTGCGAATATTGTGCTTACTCGATTCAAAGAATGATGACCATGCATTTCTTACAAAAACACTAGTCTTTACATGCACTTGTGAAATTTAATTAAAATATCCATGTAGTGCAACAAATTTACTGGCGTGAGCAAATATTTGTATATAAGTCATTATGATATGTACATCATTTATTATGACAATAATTTATTCTAATGTGAGTGTTGGCATGAGAGGCTAGGCTTGTGCGTGTCTACCTCTACCCTGGCGCCTGGCCAGACCATCTCCAACAGGGGCAGTCCTCTCTCTCTCTCTCCTCGCTCAGAGCTCTTATCTCACAGGTATTTCAAACAGCCAGTTAACACACGCTCATTTTAAGTCACCCGTGACTTTCACCTCCATTAGCCGCAATATTCGCTAAATACATGTTCAATCGGTTGTCTGCGAGGTGGTGAAAAAGTGCACGTTCAAAAAGTGTCATAGACACATCTCTCCGTTTTCTATTAGTAGTAAACACGTGCATGGTGTTGTACGAATTTTAATTGTGTATTCGCCGTGATAATTGGGATTTCCTGGTGTGTGTGTCGGCCGGGATTACAACTACCTGTGTGTGACTCCGAGCAGTGAATGACATGAGTCGGGACGCAGACTTGCGGAAGACTAAACCAAACCTGGGCCTCATATTATGTCATTTACAAAAGCAAGTTATACAAGCATATTTGATCGTACACGGCATTGCATTGTGTTTTGTGTCTTGAGTTTCTAGTGTCTTGTTTTTCCCGTGTCTTGTGTTTCTTGTGTCTTGGGTTTCCTGTGTCTTGTGTTTCTTGCGTCTTGTGATTCATGTATCTTGTGTTTCCCTAGTCTTATATTCCTGTGTCCTGTGTTTCCTGCACCTGATGTTTCCTGCCTCTGTGCTTCCTGTACCTGGTGGGGGATGTCGTTTATGAGGTGGTGTCTTATGGGTTCATGTGTTGATGGGGGTGACGTTGATGAGGTGACGTTGATGTGAGTGATGCGTTTTGATTCAGATGCAACAGCTTTTCAGCCAGTGTACCGTGTTCTGTATGTATTTCTTAATAACATTGATTAATATTATAGAATGACGGAGGCGACGTCAGGAGGCCGACAGTGGCAGTGTCACCTGGCGACACCAGGAGAGCGTCTCGCCTACCTCAGGCACTCGGGACACCTCTCCGACCTCACCATCACCTTTCCGGGTCACCATAACATCATACAGGTGAGCACCACGTACACTGTATAAGTCACCATAACATCATACAGGTGAACACATCACTGTACACATTGCCGTCATACCCCTTCCATGTGATGAATACCCGTTCTGGCCTAACGCAATCTGGACATAAATTAGTGTAACTCTTGGCTGCCGGCGCAGGCGCACCGTTGGGTGTTGGCCATGAGCTCCCCGGTGTTCGAGGCCATGCTCTACGGACCTCTCGCCGAGGGGGAGGTGCTGGCCCTCCCCGAAGACCCGCCCCAGGCCTTCGAGTGGCTTCTGGACCACATGTACCGCAACCAGAGCCAGCTGCCGGGCGTGCAGCTGGCTCTCCAGGTGTACCAGCTAGCAGCCAAGTATCAGATGGACCCTCTGTGTCAACTGTGCTCGCAGGTGAGGCTTCCTCAGCTCTTATTAAAGTTCTTTTGTTCGTTTGTTTATAACAAGCACTTACTGATGACATTTAAATGCAGTATTTAATTTATTTATGAAAATAGTAGAATGATACGTGACTCCATCCGGGTCCATTGCTCCCTCTTCCTGCCCATCATACAGATCGCCCTCAAAACACCAATCTTAAGGCTTATCTGATACGCAGAGCAGGAATAGTGGCAGTATAAACAGCACAGATACCAATGACTTCTTTTAGTAATCTGAAATCTTTTATCTGTAAGAGAAAATGTCTGTCCGAGGCTGGAGGCCATACGCTCCGGGCTAGCCTCATGCAACTTTTACAAATGAATCATGTGGGAAAGGTGAGTTGGGGGCGGCCCGTGTGAAATGCTTTAAGAAATATTGGCATTTATAGAGACTCCTCTCCCAATGCAATTTTTCATAGTCACTTAAATTTTGGTTGTTTCCCCATACTTTTTTTTTACATTTTCATTGTTTCATAATAATAAATTTTCTGAGAGAAGAGGGAGGGGGGTGGGGGAAGAGACCCGGGTACAACCGAGGAGGGGGGGGAAGCAGAGGGGAAGATGAGGGGAGAGACGAATGGGGGGGGAACAATAGGGAGGGGGATGGACAAAAAGAGGGGGAAATAGGCCCGGGTGCAGCCAGGTACCATTCTACTATTTTATAAATATATCATCATTATTATTATTAAAGTTTGAAATAATAAGAAATTCTACCCACATCTGATGCCAGCGGGTGTGTAGTTAATGATTACCTTCCAAGCCTTGCAGTAGAGACAATTATATTAAACTTGTACTTTTTAGTGAGAATGATTGAATATACTGTATTTGTGTGCCTTGGAACCATGACATACAGTAATAGGCTACGGGTTAATGACACCACCACTATCATGATTAACACCACCACATCCCCCTACCACCATAACTACCCCCCAATGCCACCACAACCACCGCAAATGTCACGACTACCATTAACACTACAACCACCACTACTGCCACCTACAATCACTGTTTTATCGTCACTGTTACCACTTCCACTCCCACCACTATTATCACCACACATACCACCGCAACTTCCCCCCCCCCACAATCACCACACACACACAACCGCTACCTTCACAATCACCACGCATCACCGCTACCCTCTCCACAATCACCAAAACGACCGCAACCACCAGAACCAGCACTACCACAAGTAACACCACTGCTACAATCACCACCACAATTCCAACCAACACCGTAACCACCATAATTGCTACCACCGCCATCATCACCCACCATCTCTGCAATTTCCACCACCACCATCAACCACCGATACTCTTCACCACTTCCACCACCACCACCAAAATCACTACTACTACACGATTACCACAACTACTACCATTATCATTACCACTACCACCATCATCCCCACAACCAACACACACGCACTAAGAGACACAGGTGGAAACAGTACCCAAATGAGTCATAGAGGCATTAGAAATTTAGTTTTCAGTGTCAGAGTAGTTAACAAATGGAATGCACTAAGCAGTGATGTGGTGGAGGCAGACTCCATACACAGTTTCAAATGCAGATATGGCAGAACCCAATAGGCTCAGGAATCTTTTATCCAGTTGATTAAAAGAGTTGAAAGGTGGGAATGAAGAACCGAAGCTCAACCCCCCTGCAACACAATTAGGTGAGTACAGCCACACATCCCAAATACACTCCTACAATTCCTCTACACCCTCCCCACACCTAACCACCGTTAACACCTATCCTTAACAACACCAACTCATCCCGCCCTTGCAACTGCTGGTCATTATTATACAAACCTTAACTCATTATACTGTGACCATTATAGCATTCTATGCTCATTATAACACCCTGCACTCATAGCAACACTGTACTCATTGCTACACCTTTCTCATGTCGTAAGAACATGTCAGTCTTGGGATCTCTCTCTTATTCAGCTGTGATCAAAACGTACATACTTAAGATACACTTTAACTTTTGTTTTCAGTATCTGATACAAGAAGTGACACCGGAGTTCTTCCCGGGGGTGTACGAGGCAGCTGTGTTGCTGGGGGACGAGCAGCTGCTTAGCAGGTGTGCGCAGGTGAGTCCACCACCAGAAAGAGTTCCTCTAGCTCTTCTGAGTGTACACAAGAGGAAATGAGCAGCAGGATCTGCACTTCGCGGAACCCAGGATATACTAAACAAAGAACGCCGAAGGCAACGACATCATTCAGAGGAGCCTCGCCTCCAACAAAGAACCTTGTTCTCTAATGTTCTGTAATTCTTCTGCTCCAGATAGTCCTCCAGATGGGATTACATAACCCCCCTTCCCCACACTTATAGGAATGGCAATTGGTGTGGGATTCTACCCGAGTGGCTACCTCGAGGCTGTAATTCTTGATTTGTCGGCTTTCCTCTATGCGCTCTTTGTCGGTAAACACTATCTCTCCTCATGAGTTGGCAGAGTGCAGGCACCTGGATGGCAGCAGGAAACTCCGAGGCCACTCACGCAGCGACTCCTCGTACACAATTACAACTGTAGGCTTGTAACGAGGTCGCCCCCACAAGGTCGAACTACTGACCCCTCTCCAGGATGCAACCCCAGAACAGGTGTCCTATTTCCGGGTATTTATTTACTGCTAGATGAACAGCGGCATTAGCTGAAAGTATACGTGCCCAATAATTTTCGTCCAGCCCGGAAATTAAACTCGTGATCACCCAATTGTGAGGCTAGAACTATGCCAGCTGTACTTCGAGACTCCTTAGACTGAATCGTAACAAAATACCTTTCAGGTATTGAGAGAGGGTAAGCGTGTCACGTTAGTTTACACACGCCGATAGTGTATACATATGATACGATTGACACCAAGTTAAAAGAAGACTTTTGAGGATAACGTTGAAGATAGTAAGGATATCTCAGAGCGGACGACGAAGTCTTACCAACGACGGCCATCCGTGTCATGAGGATACCGACGACCTTCCATCTCCAAGAGATGGAAGGCCTTCAAGCCAGTATGAGACAGAGATGGAGACAGCCCTCCATGATACATAGAGATAGCCCCCCAGGTGACACAGATAGAGACAGGTGACACAGAGGCAGTTTCTATCTCATGACGCAGATAGAAACAGCCCTCCATGAAACGGATAGAGAAACAGCCCTCAATGAGATAAGAGATAGAGACAGCCCCCACGAGACGGATATGGAGGTACCTTCCACTAACCGGAAACGGTGTTTTCCTCGGTGCTTTGGTCAAGTTTGCAAGAGAGGGTCGTCATGTTGGCCAACCTTAAAGTGATTTCCTTCAAGCTTTTATCGCAAATAGTTTTGTATTATTGACACCAGACATCACACGGTTAATTGCACAAATCTAGAAGGCATCTATTAAGATCAGAAGCGACAGCAATACGGTGGACTTGGACAAAGCCCAGTGACTTCACTTTGGTCTTTACACAATTTTCACAACCCTCAAAAATGTGCATTTAATAATTATTAAAAAAGAGTGTAAATGGGCAAAAAAAGGGGGGAGGGGCTATGTCCAGAAATGCGTGAAAAATTATTTAGATTTGGCTCATGCTGGTATTTTGGAGAGAGAGAATGATGGGGTGTCCTCTTCTGCAGATGCTGTGGGTATCCTCGGATAGCGTGTTGTCATCCCGGAACATTGGAGTGTTAGGGCGCGCGTCCCTCCGCCAGCTGCTTCACCACCACCAGCTGGCCGCCTCCTCCGAAGCCTTCGTGTTTCGTGCTATCGTTGCCTGGTCAGGGAGTATTCCACACCCTCTTAAACACTTTGTTGATGTGATACGGAGAGGGGGTGAGGTCGTAGGGGTAGTGTTACCTACAGTAATGTTTAACACTGTGTTCAGCTTATACGTCTTACACATCACGTTTAAATTCAAACATCGCATGTATTTAATCCAAACCCCTGAAGGCTATTTACGAAAATTAAGTTTTAGCTTCTGGATCCTGTCAATTTACTTGCCTGGAGTCTAAAACAACGCCCCCCCCCCCCCGCGACTCTATTTTTCATCTTATTAAACGGATTCACATGCCGCCTTATTTTCTAATTATCTTTACTCCCCATATGCGGAAGATATGCTTCCAAATGTCTTGCTGACTGATCTGAATTTCCATCTGTGGCCTGTCATTCTGTTGCCCTCTTGTTATGTTGCTACCCCCTTCTATTTCTTTCTGTTGTTAATTCTACCTTCGCGTTCTGCTACTGTTGCTGCTCTTGATCTCTCACTCTGTTGCTGCCTTTGATCTCTCGCTCTGTTGCTGCCTTTGACCTCTCGTTCTAGTCGCTACCTCTAACTTCTCATTTTCTTGCTACCTGTGCTAACGGTTTCTCTTTCACTGCCTTGGCTGAGTATCTTGTATAGTGTAATCTGGTCTCCTCTACATCTCTCTCATGCATCCTCGTCGTGTTTGTATTGCTGGGTGTGTTCGTAGGTGCGTGTACTGGATTGCAATGTTTGATAAATATTTTGACATTTTTACTTGTAGTGTGCAGTATAAGTATCTTCTGCGAAACTTTGAATGCCCTTAAGGACAACTATATTGATATGAAGTGAAGATGTTTTACTAATATAATGTTTTTCTCAGGGGTCGGGAACACGCTAAGACGCATGGTGAAGGAGGAGGAGGATGCAGAGGCCAGCACCCTCACCTAGTACACGTCCGCCCACACTTGTCGAGAGCCCCTCCAACACCAGCAGCAGACCAGGTCTCGGCGACCACTCTTAGTCGTAAAGTGAAACAGTTTCTCCCACAAGTGAAGGTGAATGGGGAAAGAGAGTCTCCAGAGAGGCTAGCCCAGACGGCTGGAGGCTCCAGTCGCGCTTCAGTGAAGGACACATTACAGCCTAGCAGCCTTCTGGAGCCTCTTCCTGTGAGGCAACAGCAGTGGATGACAGGCGAGGAACCCACTGGTAGGAACCTTCGTAAGATGGTGGATGAGTTCCTGCCTTGTGTCCGCTTCCTTTCAATGACGACTGATGAATTTGTTGAACACGTGCTGCCCTCTGGTGTCCTGAGCAGCGACGAGAGTGTGGCTATTCTCATGAACATTAAAGATATCCCAAACGTCCCCATGCCTAGGTTTGCCACATCAGTTAACAAAAGCAAAAAGAACAGATTAAAATCTGCCAGTTTGTTAATTTGTGAGCACCACTACACAAGTAACGATCAAGAAATTCTACGTGATTTCAAAGTGCCTACAACAATATACTTAACACAACTTACAGCTCCCGGGGTGACCAGCGTGAAAGAAACAGCAGTCAAAATCTTGTCGGCAGCAAAGACAGTCAACGAAGGGCGCTGGCAGGGGATAGGCTGCAAGTTCGACTATCCGGTGAAGTTGGAAGCGGGCGCTTGCTACTCGGTGGTGGTGGAGGGGGCGTATGGGCCTTGTGCAGGATGTGAGTGTAGTGTAGCCAGCAACCTCGATGGTATGGAATTTACTGGCAAAACCCTGGGCCTCACCCCTGTCTTCCTTGAATACATGGAAGCCCCCTAGACACCAGCATCTTTCTCAGTAATATAGATTTCTTGTGTTCCTGATCTAGTCATCCGATTCGACAGCCACATCACATCGGACCCTAATGTTAACGTCTGAAAAACTCATTATACAGTATATGTAATGTATTAAGTTCGTCAATTTGATGTATATATGTCTATTGATTACAACATTTCACTGAAGATCCCTTTTCTTCTTACACTACTATTAACACACAAATACGTAATTTCCCTGATAATGTTTTTATACTTATTTAGGATAAAAGGTGACTTTCGTTTATTATATAAATCAAATTAAAATAATTGTTGCGCTCTTTAGGCATTATCAATTGCAACTTGAAGCCTCAGCTATATAACTTGGGCAAATTATTATATGGTTTACCCTACGCAACCTGGTTGATACCTGGTTGATGGGGTTCTGGGAGTTCTTCTACTCCCCAAGCCCGGCCCGAGGCCAGGCTCGACTTGTGAGAGTTTGGTCCACCAGGCTGTTGCTTGGAGCGGCCCGCAGGCCCACATACCCACCACAGCCCGGTTGGTCCGGCACTCCTTGGAGGAATAAATCTAGTTTCCTCTTGAAAATGTCCACGGTTGTTCCGGCAATATTTCTTATGCTTGCTGGGAGGACGTTGAACAACCGCGGACCTCTGATGTTTATACAGTGTTCTCTGATTGTGCCTATGGCACCTCTGCTCTTCACTGGTTCTATTCTACATTTTCTTCCATGTCGTTCACTCCAGTACGTTGTTATTTTACTGTGTAGATTTGGTACTTGGCCCTCCAGTATCTTCCAGGTGTATATTATTTGATATCTCTCTCGTCTTCTTTCTAGTGAGTACATTTGGAGGGCTTTGAGACGATCCCAATAATTTAGTGCTTTATTGCGTCTATGTATATAGGCAGGAAATTAGTTCATTAGTATTAAGAACAATCTGTTCAGTGGTTTAAGAACAACTGCTCATCGGTATTATAAACCATCTGTTCACTGGTATTAAGAACCATCTGTTCAGTGATATTAAGTATCATCTGTTCAATTAATATTAAGAACTACCTGATTACATTTCTCAGGTAAGTGCTCACATCTCTCTTATAAGTACCCACATCTCTCAGGTAAGTGCCCACATTTCTCAGGTAAGTGCTCACATCTCTCATATAAGTACCCACATCTCTCAGGTAAGTGCCCACATCTCTCAGGTAAGTGCTCACATCTCTCAGGTAACTGCCCACATCTCTCAGGTAAGTGCTCACATCTTTCAGGTAAGTGCCCATATCTCTCAAGTAAGTGCCCACATCTTTCATGTAAATGCTCACATCTTTCAGGTGTGTCCATATCTTCCATGTAAGTGCTCACATCTTTCAGGTACATGGGTAGTTAAAATGAATGCTGGATAGAGTTTTTGAATGTACTTATGTTTCCTTTCTTGTAGGTTAATTTGGGTGATGTTAGTGGCTAATCGCCATCGAGACACTCATCAGTTAACCACTTATCATGCGCGACTGAAATCCATTCCTTATTATGTTAAATATACTAGAAGAGATAGCTTGGGGTTCTACGAGCTACGTCTATCTCAAATTCAATATTAATCTATACAACTCTGCAATCTTGACCACAACGAGCTCCGACATACTTACCAATCTAATCTTTGAACATCTTTGTTTACTGTTTGGTTAGTGAAAATGGTTACAGGGATGAAGGGAAGGCGGTGAAGAGTAGAGAAGGTGGTAAAAGGTAGGTGAAGTTGATGAATGGTAAGGAAGATGGTGATTGGTAAGGAAAATGGTGAACGGGAGGGAGGGAAAGTGATGAAGGGTGGGGGTAAGATGGTGAAGGGTAAGGAAGTTGATGAAGTAGAGGAAGGTGGTGAAGGGTAGGGAGAGTGGTGAAGGAAAGGGAGGGTGGTAAAGGTTAGGAAAGGTGGTGTAGGAGAGGGAATGTGGTGATGGGTAGGGAAGGTGGTGGAAAATACGGAAGGTGGTGAAGGACAGGAAAAATAATGATGATGATTGTAGATGGGGGAACACACTGCTTGGGTAGTGAAAATGGTTAATGTGATGAAGACACTAAGTAATGAAGATGATTACAGTGATGAGGATGGTTGTGTGTACTAAAGACGGTTACAGTGGTGACATTATGTAGTGAATATGACGACAGTGGTCGGAAGACTGGGAAAAGTTTTCAGTATCGAAAAATGCAAGTCTGTGCATATGGTGCATAACATTGCGCATCGAAACTATCAAATCAACAACATTACCTTGCAGCAGATTGACGAAGAAAATGATCTTGGAGTCAGAATCCATGGTTCACTGATAGTTGTAAAACACGTGGGAGCTGCAGTAAAAAAACAAAAGGTTATCAAACCCAAGGAGTAATCAAGCATACCTTTGATTTAAGGAAAAAAGGATAGTTATTAAATTATATAAATCTCTGGTGCGCCCCAACTTGGATTATTGCATTTAAACACAGAGACCTCATCTTCAGAAGGAGAGAGCTTCATTGGAGAAAAGTTCAACACCGGGCAACAAAAATCATTCCAGAACTAAGTCAACTTTCATACCAAGAGTTGTTGAGGGCCACAGGGCTAACTACACTGCAAACCAGACATGACAGGGCTGATCTCATCGAAACTTTTAAAATACTGAACAAGTTGGAGGGTGTTGACAATTTCTTCAAGATGTCAGATGTATCACGAACAAGGAGCAATGGTTTCAAACTTAACAAGAGACAATGCAGGGCTGAAAACAGGTTATGCTTTTTCACCCATAGGGTTATAAACCCATTTTACTTTCAGATTGATGAAATGTTGTACTTTTCCTTCATCAATCTGCACATACTGTCTCAAGTTTATTTACTAGCCTTCTGGCATTTGTGTTGAAAGTCGTTTAAAGTTCTTCGATATTGTACCTTTTGGTCCGTCAACCATTACTTTAAAGCTACCAAAAATGGCCTCGTTTGTTTTCGGGGGTCCCTAGTTTGATTCTTGAGCGGAACAGAAATGGTTGGGCAAGTTTACTTTCTCCTAATGCCTCTTTTCACCTTTTTTTTTTATTTTTTTTTTATTTATTTATACAAGAGTTCTTACATTCTTGTACATCACTAGTACGAATAGCGTTTTGGGCAAGTCCTTAATCCTATGTTCCCTGGAATACGACTCTGCCAAATCGTTTAACAACCAGGTACCCATTTTACTGTTGGGTTAAACAGGCTACAGCTAAGGATTTGCGCCCAGTAAATCCTCCCCGGCCAGGATACGAACCCAGGACAAATCGCTCGCGAAACGCCAGGCGAGCGTCTTACCACAACGCCACGGGGACTAACCTAGCAGATAGGTACGGCACCTGGTAGCTGTACCTGTAGCACCTAGCAATAAATAGGTATCAGGGAGCAGTAAAATACCAGGCACCAGCAGTAAATAGGATCTGGAGTTAGCTAGGCAACTGTTGTGAGGTTACATCCTGGGAAGGGTCAGTAGTTCGACCTGTGGGTGACCCTTGATACAAGCCTAAAAGTATATTAAGTGCCTAAAGCGCCTGTTTGTCGTTAGAGGTGAAAGCATGTCTTCTCTCTCCTGTACCTCGCGCATGTGACGTCACAGATAACAGTGAAAAATCAGTAAACATAGATTGAGAACTTATTATCTAATCATCTTAATCAGTTTAATCCATGGACCTGACTCGGCAAAACTGATTAGATATTTTTTTTTTACTTGGCTATTATATAATATGGAACGAAGCAATTATTTTGTAACATTTTGGTTTAAGACGATACACAATACATAAAAATGTATTGTGTATTGTGGCACATTGTTCCTCTCTTGGTACAAATGGGTGAGGTTATTAATGTATGATCACAGCTGATGGTTTGTTGTCATATCAAGCTGGAGGACCTTTAGACCCCGGTGGTGGCTGCTGGCTCGCTCCTCACAACTCTCCCTCACTCCTCGTCTCTACCACACTCCTCCACATTCTGCTCCATCAACAACACTCGGGCAAGGTAATATGTTGTTGTTGTAAGTGGTAATAACCGACCTGAAGACTCGACAACAACAATAACATTGATCACTCTTGTGTTTACGTTACAGCCTCGCCTCCCAACATTCCTCTCACTGGGTGCTTGTAGGTAGGCCTGTTTTTCTTAGTTACAATATAATGGACCCATAATTGTAACTGGAAAGTGGTCTTGAGATCTGTTACTACCCAAGTACTACCCAAGTGTTTTTAGCATAAAGAAATAAATTGTGTTTTGTTCTGTATACAGTATATACTGCCCAATTCCCATCTTGTGATTAGTTATGTAATGGTCATAAAGGCATATATTTTATTTACAGGATACATATATGTATACATACCAGACTCGGCCTGATAATTTTAAATTAACGAAAGTACATCATTGATGAACTAATTAGAGGTAGTTAACATGTGCATCAATAGTCTATTTACATTTGTAGTTTAGCCTATCGAGCTTACTCGAGTCCAACACCCAAGTGTTTTGACCTTATCACTAGAGTAAATAAGGTTGGTGTGTGTGCTCAATGCTCATCTGTCATGTATTCTGTCCAGAATGGTACAAAAACATACATATTACTTGAAAACAGAGTGATGACACTTGTATGCTATCATGTTCACAATTTTTCATGAAACTATAAATTTTAAATTGTATAGCACAATTAACCAAACCTAAGCAAATGCTGTGTATTAAGTAAAGATAAAGGCAATTTGTTGGAAAACCCCATGTTGGTTATTGTTCTGCACCATTTCTGTGTTTACTTATATGTGCAAAGGTTCTTACATTCGTGTACAGCCACTAACACGTATAACGTTTCGGGGCGGTCCTTAATTATAATTTTTCCCCGGAATATGACCCACCAAATTGGTTAACAATAAGGTACCCATTTACTGCTGGGTGAACAAATAATAATAATAATAATTTTTATTTAGGCAAAGGTACATACATAAAGAGATTTTACAAAGTTTGTTGGCTTTATAGATAAGAGCTAGTACATACAATGCCTAAAGCCACTATTATGCAAAGCATTTCGGGCAGGAAAAAACACTACTGACTAAAGCTTAAAACTAATGGGTAAAAAGTAAAAAATGCGTTGAGTACAAATAAAAATAGAGGTAAAAGAGGGGGGAACATTGTTGAAAAAACAGCACAAATACAATTACAAATTATTACAGAAAATTACATTAAAACAGCGTTGATTTGAAAAACAAAAAAAACAAACAAAAAACATACATGGGTTGACAATAGAGGGGTAAGGTAGGTTACAGGGAATTTATTAGGTATACCTGTAGCTTCGTTTTTAACTTAAACTGGTTGAGAGAGGTACTGTCTTTAACATGGTTGGGAAGGTCATTCCACATTCTGGGCCCCTTGATTTGTAGAGCATTTCTGGTTTGATTAAGTCGTACTCTAGGAATATCAAAACTGTATTTATTTCTGGTGTGGTGCTCATGAGTTCTGTTACAACCTTCTATGAAGCTTTTGAGATCAGGATTGGCATTACAGTTTAGCGTTTTATATATGTATAGTACACATGAGAGAATGTGCAGTGACTTAATGTCTAACATATTCAAGGATTTGAGTAGGGGTACCGAGTGATGTCTGGGGCCAGAATTGGATATTGTTACCCCAAAGGCTACCTTTGTTACCCCAAATTGTTGATATTGTTACCCCAAAGAATTGGATATTGTTACCCCAAAGGCTACAGTTACCCCAGTCAATCCTCCCTGGCTAGGATAAGAACCCAGGCGCTCGCTAAGTGCCGGGTGAGTGCTTTACCACTGCTCCACGGGAACTGCCATTTTGAGAAGTGGACCTACTATATTTGGAAAATGTATTGTCTTTAGAGCAGGAACATGAAAATCATTTGAATAATGAACCCTTACCTGACACAAGGAAGTCATTATGGTTGGTAGCCTTCAAACACATAGGGTGCAGTGTATTTAAATTAATAAAGTAAATACACAGTACTGTACTTAGTTTAGGAAAGGTAAGGTAATTATCAAGGAAGTTGCAAAAACTAGAAGGGTTCATAATTAAGGCAACTCTCATAATACTGGAAAAACTAGAGTTGATAAATTTGCAGATATATAACACTTTCCAATACTATATTCACCAGAGTGTTAGTGGCCACAGGTAAATTCAGGCAAATTCAGGTAAGTATATTGAACACTTAATTATTGATCAGCAAATGTGTATACAGTATTTCAAATAACAATTCCAGAATATTGTTTGAGTACACTCACTAATCAGTGATCTTAAAAAAGATGCTATGATAACTGAGCTCATTTTCAGTGATAATGCTGCATGTTATATCACTACATTAAGTGTTTTATGTTTTATTTTACCTGTATAGATATTAGTGTTTTGTACCTTATGACCTGAATACACAGTCTGTGTGGTATTATATAATACGATATCCTGTATCCAAAATTGAGCAGTGCGCAATGAACTTTGGTTCTAGATAAAAAAAGTATCATCTGAGAACCACATGAAGAACATTGCACGAAGAGCCTATACTATGCTTTGCAACTTCAGAATTGCTTTTAAAACTGTACATGGATGGTAAAATACTAAAGAAATTGTTCACAAACTTAATGAGACCAAAGTTGGAATATGCAGTGGTTGTATGTGGTGCCCGTATCTTATGGCACAACATCAACAAACTGGAAAAGGTGCAAATACATGCAACTTAATAGTTCAAGGAGCTGAAAGTCAAGAGCTATGAGGAGAGGTTAAAGGCATTAAATATACCAAAACTAGAAGATAGAAGAAAAAAAAAGAGGCAATATGATCACTATGCACAAAATAGTAATGGGAATCGATAAAATTGATAGGGAAGAATTCCTGAAGAATTCCCGAGAAAATACTTACCTGGCACAGGAGAGACAGTGATCACAAAGGCTGTTTTCCCAGGGCGAGGCTCGCCATTGCACTCCAGTGGTGCTGACCCTTGCGATTAACCCAAATGTGGTTAACTGAGGTACAATTTTTTTTTTTTTTTTTTTTTTTAGAGAAAATTTCAGAGATAATAAGATCAGGTTGAGGAGACAAGGTGGTATGCTCATGGGATGCAAAAAGTTGGTGTGCAGAAATCAGTAAGAGGATCCAAGAGGGTGTACAAAACTAAATCTTATTTTGAGACTGAGTGGTAGGGAGTCAATAATGGAGGTGCATAATAGTGTAAGTTTGTTTATTAAAAACTAATATTTAAGGACATAAAATTTGCTTGTCTTTAGTGTGTTACTTTATGCATTACATCTAGAAGGTTATAAATGAGTGAAGTTTTAGTCTAAGCAATGTCTATAAAGGCTATAATAGCTATATACAGATCCTGAAAAATATAATACTGATACAGTTGACCAGACCACACACTAGAAGGTGAAGGGACAACGAAGTTTCTGTCTGTCCTGGACCATTCTCAAGTCAACAATCGACTTGAGAATGGTCCAGGACGGACCGAAACGTCGTCGTCCCTTCACCTTCTAGTGTGTGGTCGGGTCAACTAACTTTAGCCACGTTATTGTGACTCATCGCCTGTACTGATACAGTACTTGCATTTTTTTTCAGTGGATGAGTAACATCTCTGCTTGCATCATCATTGACTTGGTTGAGAACTTGCTGTCTGATGTCTTCATGGTAATATAACTTCCACAACCTGCTGCCTATCAAGACAACTTACAGAATGAGTATTGTAAGTTCTTTTTGAAATATGTCTTGCTATAAAAGGGCTCCAACTACCTAGGGAGCCTCAGGGAGGGCTCCCTCAGTAGCTTCCCAAGGGTTAAGCATTAGGTAATCACTGTAGGCCTCAGACCTACCCCCTGACTTACTGGGAGCCAGCACCATATGAGGATGATTTTTTAGATTCAGCTACCTGGAACAAAAGATCCAAGTAGCATGGGTCGTATTGTAGTACAGTAGTATTGTAGTACAGTAGACACCAAAGCTACTTTTTATATATAAAATTATAACAATCTGGGATTACTAAATAAGAATTTTAATAATTTTTTTTTTAGAGCACAGAACTAACTCCGTCCAAGAAACCAAAGCATGAAGCCGTGTACATCACAAGTGGAGATGAGAAGACATTTCAATATGACGAAGATCTCCCATGTTTACCCGTTCCTTCCTTGAAACAAACTCTAGACAGGTAAAGAAATCTTCTTTCCACCTGAACTATGCTACTTTTATTTCCATGTGCATTATTTCACTCATCCACACAACCTGTTTTGCACCACTTTATTACAGTACTTGATTTTTCCTTTGATTTTCTGCTGAATTCATAATTCAGTATCTTTAATTCTTTTGAATTTCTTATTTTGTTCAGATTCATAACTCTTGAAACTTTTTATTAATAAATTTTTAAATTATTGTAGAGAGAACAAGTCTTTGACTTTAGACAAAAACCTCCTTTCTGAGCAAGTTACAGTACTGTACTTGGAACCAGACAAGTAAACATTTTGCTTCAGTTCAACTGGAATCTTTAAAAACTATCCTTCTAAGTTATGCTTGGACACTGAAGATAACTATCCAGCCTGGATTGAGCTTCAGAAGGTTAATTCATCTTCAGTCAAAATTCAGTGCTTCTCAAGCAACACGACAAAATTTATTTTTCAATAATTTACGGGCACGTAAACACTATGCTTACGCTGATGGCTCAGTTCAGCCGTCAACAGAATGCACTGCAGCAATCTGTAAGGTATACAAAGGTATACAAAATAACAGATGTACAAAGAGTATAGGTGTATGTAATATTGTTCACTTTCAACCAACAGTGTCTACTGGGAAGTGACTTGGACACACACACATTTAGGTACACTACATCCAGCTACTAAAGCGATGAGATACAAAATAAGTAATTTTCTCCCATTCAGAGTAAGCTGTTTAATCACTTGAAAACCCAACATATCAAATAAATATTAAGACTATTGTAACATCAATTACTCTAATTTTAACATTGGACATTATATTGTGTATGTGTGTGAAGCTGTAAGTGGGGACGCATAAGATTGGTACATGGGTACTGTTGCCCACCGAGTTCTTTCCATGGGGACATTTTTGAAAGTGCAATTTTTAAGATACTTTTCTCAATAGCTATTTTTTTTAACATTTACTTTTAAAAGAGTGACAGAGGACAATTCAATTTTGCAATTGTTCTGTAAACAGGTACCTTTATTGGGTGCGGCCACATGTGACAGATGAAGAGTTTGAAGTCACCAAAGGTTTAGTGGAGAAATTTGAATTGGGCATTGGAAAGGAGCTTCAGGAAATGCTTTTAGCTCATGCTAGCCAGAAGAAAAACTGGGTAAGATATTTCTTAAATTTGCTAGGCTGACCTGGAGTTTTCTGTAATAGATTATTAATTAAGGTTTAGTGTCTAAATTTTTGAATATTTAATGATAATTTATAGTTTAATTCAACAGTGGCCATATTTTGAGTAGAATAGCATGTGAGAAAGATTATAAGGTGTGCATGGTCTTTTTGGCGTAGCTAAAATATACAACAAAGTTAACAGAGAATTAATTTGGGGAGATATGATCGTGTATGGAGTTGGTTGATATCTGTTAAATGCTGTGAAAAATTACTATGTAGGAAGTAATGCCTGTATTGATAGTGCATCTAATGACTGGTTTGATATGAATATATTTGAATGCCTTGGTTGTGGGATGTCGCCTTGCTTGTTCAATATATACATGGATGCTGTATGTCAGGACAAACATATTACTGAAAGGTACAAACCAAGTGACCCATATATAAGTGTAGTGTAATCATTGTGTGCTAACTTTGATGTATGCAGATGATACAGATAATTTAGGATAGTAATGAGAGATTTATAGACTACTATATTTGACTTATAAGCTGTTCTAATTCTATTCTGCACAGTAGTTGGTTAATATATTTCTTGCAAAAAATGCTTTCACCTTGATTTTTAAGCCACACCTTGAAGTTAGGCCTTCATTTTAATACCCCATATAAAAATTATTGTAATGATCATTGTCTAAATTCCCTCGAGCACCTTTTACTTTTCTACCCCACATCCACGACCTCGTGTCGGAAAGAAAAATTGGTAAGATGGAATATCAATTCATTGAACCTTGGAAAACATCTCTTCTACTCCAGCCATACATTCTGCCGCCACCTGTATTCCTGAGTTTCATGCTTCCAAAGCAGCCTGCTCTGCCAACGTTGGAATTCCTGATTCCTGATGCTATGTTTTGTGATATCTCTGCCCTCAGTGTCCCACACCAGGATACAACTACATTCTTGCTTTCAATAGTCTCTCTAAATTATTCAGGAAATAAACTTGCTGTTATGTTGCTGTGTGCTTCATGCACCCTTCTACTTGGTTGAGACAACATCTTGCTTAACCATTTTCAGAATAATATTTCTGGTTTCTATAGAAAACCTTTTATCTCTCAGCTTTGGCAGAGCCTCTTTTGCCAACTTACTTTCACCTCCAGCCAACACATTCTTCCCTGAAGCTTTCTTGGTCTCTGTTTTGGGTTCTTTCCTTCTGTCATTTCCTCATTTGTTTGTCCCATTCAGTTCAGGATACCTATTAGGGCTGTGTTTTTGTTGGCCCATGCCACTGGTTTATTGGGTTGATGAGCTTCATGCTCTTCTATGGCAAGATTTTTCAGGAGTGACATAATGGTTCCTTGTTGCTAGCCACATTAAACAGACGATGAGTCGCAGTAACTTCACTGATGAATAGACACCAAACCCACAAATCTGAAATTAAGAATTTATGATATTTTGGTCTGTCCTAGACCATTATCAAGTCATATAATGGAAAAAAAAGATTGGAAGAGAAAGTTAGTTTGTAAGGCGAGATGATAGGTAAGAGATTGAGATGATAGGTAAGAATTCAGAGAATTCCACCTCAAAATTGATAGCAAAGAATTCCTGAGACCTGGAACTTCAAGAACAAGAGATCATGGATTTAAACTTAACTAAGCTGCTGAAGAAATATGTGAAAATTCATTCACAGAGCGGTAGACGATTGGAACAAGTTGAGAAGGTGGTGGAGGCCAAAACTGTCAGTACTGTAATTTCAAAGTGTTATATGACAAAGAGTACAGTCCTAGGAAGATGGGAAACCACGAGTGTAGCTCTTATCCTGTAACTACACTAAGGTAATTACACTTGGGTAATTACCACCATGCCAGCCGCCTGGTGGTGGAGATCGGTACTAATGAGTTTTGAGGTACAGTAGTGTGAATAAATTCCCCGTTCTGTGTGAATTGTTTTTGGAGTTGTTTGGCAGCATTGAGGCTTTATTGTCTGTGAACTCTCCAGTTGTCTGTAAAGCTTTGTCGACTTTCTGGGTGCTCTCCCGGTGGGGTGGCAAAGTGTCACTCATACCGTGTGCCTCTGTGAGGGGCCAGGTTCTGGTTCTGGGGCCAGATTCACGAAGCAGTTACGCAAGTACTTACAAATGTGTAAATCTTTCCACAATCTTTGATGGCTTTGGTTACATTTATTAAACAGTTTACAAGCATGAAAACTTGCCAATCAATTGTTGTTATTGTTATAAACAGCCGCCTGGTGCTTCGAAGCTCATTAACTGTTTAATAATTGTAAACAAAGCCGCCAAAGAGTGAGAAAAGATGTACAGGTTCGTAAGTGTTTGCGTAACTTCTTCGTGAATCTAGCCCCTGGTTCCCAGTATACCAAACAGAACTTGTGCAGCTGATGTGACCATTTAGCATGAAGCAACCTCAGCAAGATAGGAGCCACAGGAGCTCAACCAGAAGGAGGCACTTCATTACATTTAGCACTTTTTTTTTTTAATATCTGTAATTTTTTTTTTCAGTTTATTATTCACCTTTTTACTTTATCCAGACTGATGCCTTCCCAGCTTATGATAGTGCAAAATGTAAATAATAATAATAAATGTAGACTATATTTTGATGTGTACAAATTAAAGTATGTATGTGTTGCTCATAAAATTTGTTTTTGTTTTTTTGTGACGTTACTGGTCCTGTTGTGTGTCACTTATTTTTCTTTTGTTTTTATTCTTGGTATAGGTTGAGGACTGGTGGCTTCATTATGCATACCTGACACTCCGAGAACCCCTGTTGCCTACCATGAACACTACTGGTCCTCACCCATTGAATCTTTCCTTATGGAAACCTTCAATAGAAAATGCTCTAAAAGTGAGTATTGCTAGTGTGTGTGTGTGTGTGTATGTGTGTTAACATCTAAATTGAATTGTAATAAACTTGAGAAAAACTACAACTGCTTGTGTTTTGATGATAACAAGGCTGCAGAGGTTGTGGTCATAGATGCCAGATTGTTCTTGAATGATCCCTCATTTTTATAATATGACATTCCTTTCTCAGTATGGTTCGCTGTACCTGTATGGCTTCTTGGACTTCTACCTGCTTACTCGAGAACAACGTTTAAAACCACAAAAATCAAACGAGGTTAGTCTTGTATCAAAATTAGTTTTTTCTTTTATTTTGCTATTCAATTTTGTCAGTAAATTTTGTTTGTCTAATGATTTGTAGCTTTATTACTATTATGTCTTGTTTCGTTAGCTTAATTGCAAAAGTTGGTTGACGCCATCATTCAGTTCAATGGGTGGCATCAACCAAGATTGAACATTATCAGTGTTAGCAAAATCTCATAAAATATGTTTGTTTTACAGATCAGTAAGGAGTAGGGGGATTTGAATCAAGCTAACTACCCAGGATTAGGCCCCTGCCTCCTAAAAGAAAATGTGCAGGTCCTGGCATGTTCCTAAACATTCCTGTAGTAATCCCCCAAATATGCTGCATGTTGCAGCTTCACTGTTTTAGCCAATAGATGTACTCATAATACATGGAGGAAAAAATCCAGGGTTGAATGTAATGAAGTGCCTCTTTCTGAGGGAGGTGCCCCTCAGATAGTTCCCAGTTATTGTAAGTCTAACAGGAACTGGAGGCCAAAACCTGGCCACCCGCATAGGGTGCTGAGGATATGAAATCACTCGTATCCTCATGTCCTCAACGATATGATATGAGTGATTTCACTCTTTGGCATATGATATGAGTGATTTTCACAAGTGGCAACTCTACTATATCCGCAATTGAAGTGGAATCGGTGGACCCCAGAGAAGGTTCAACCACACCTAAGGCCTACTGAGCAACACTTACCTGACCCAGGAAAAGAGATAAAGGGACAGGTTTGGAGGAAATGGAAATGACCAACTGCTCTAAGTCAAAATCATAGTAAGACAAAGGAATGACTCTGGGGCAACCACATCAACATTAAGCCACAAACTATGAATATGGGAAGACCTTACCTGCAAAGTGGTAGCTGCCTGATAAGCCAAGTCCCTAGAAGGAGGCTCAGATAAGACCAAGACCCAATAACAGCACATATCGCAGGCCTCATGGTGGAACATATCGCCCACTATCGACAGTAAGAATGGTCATCAGCAAATAACAAAACAGGTACATCCTTCAAACTTGCACACAGTGAGGGCAGAATTGGAGGGCTAGTTCATAATAAACCCTGCAAAAACTGCTAAGGTTCCTGAAGGAGGATAGACTAAGCAGGAAGAGCTGGTTATGGGCCACTCTTTAAATAGTACAGACACCAAACACAGCCTCCATAGGGGGCTATGGAGGGCATCAAGTGGCATACACCATAAGAGCAAGCATTCAAGCACCCAATGTGACCCTTAGTATAAAACCCAGACTGCCCCATTCACAAAGCCTTGCAGAAGAGTCAAAGACCCTCCTTGCACTGGCTATGGTGAGGCTCTCTCCATAGGAGTATGTCTACTCTAAGAGATGGCCACCAAACCCATCAGGAACGGTAACCCTGCCTGGGCCAAGGCAACACAAGTGAGTGCTTAGAAATGATAACTAGTCACACACAGCTTGAGGTTAACAGTCAGAGCCCACCCAAGAAGTGAAATACACACATGTGAAATAGAAATACTGTACACACATGTGAAGGCAAATGCTAGAATATAATTTCGAGTACACAAGCAAATTGCCCTTCAGGACAAAGTCCAGTATGGCTACATCCTAACTGAATGATTGCGCTCCTATTAGCTAAGAGTGCAGCCACCTTGTGATGCGCATATATAACTAACTAGTGAACTGCTTCATGACGAGGTGGTTCATTCTTTCATTGTCTTGTTTTCTGTTTTGTTTACCTTGCTATTATCTGTATTTTTTGTTAAACACTTTTTTAAACTGGTGGCTTTTTCTACGTCTGAGTAATCTCATATTTTCAGCTCCCCATGCCTCTATAGAGGGCATAGGGAGCAAACATTTTGCCCCTTGTCTCCTGGTAAGCTTACAAAGACCTGCAAGGGCCATGCATGGATTGAATTTGGTGGAGCTCTCCAGGTAGCTAAGAAGAAGCCACCATAGAAACCCTCCTAGAAAAGATGGTGTACCATACCCCTTTAATATTGAATGGATCACATATTTAAAGCCACACTTGACAAAGTTTGGGCTGTGGGAAAGCCATTGATCATAGTTAAAATAAAATATTGGGCTTCATAATATTGAATGTTATTCAATATTGGGCTTCATTTTAGTTTGTGATGCAGTTTTGGTCATCCACTGGGCATAGTATAGAGTTGTCTTTTTGAAAACTGAAGTTTGAAGGCTAGGTCGCAGACCAGGACTGGGGACGGGGTGGAAAACGGGTCAAATTCCTTTTGTTATATATCCACAATGTCAGGGAATGAAATCATGATTTTCTCAGTAGATGTAAAATTAGAGTGTATGAAATATAATGGTATGAATAGTATTTTTAATATTTGCTGAAACATGTTTTTAAGCAGCTTTTAGATGGGAACACTAATGGAAAAGAGAGCAGGGGCCTTTTTTCTTTTTGTTTTGCTATGTCAGCATGCAAAGACAAATTAGAATGAGAAATGTCTTAATTTTGACCACACAAAAATTTGGAGTGTTAAATCTAACCTCACTTAATTGAGTGGATATGTTTTCCATTTATTGATATTTCTTGAGAAAGCTGAATATCAGTGAAGTGTAATTAAGAGTGAAATGTATATACTGTACTGTACTGTGGTCCTGACTAGCAGCAAACTACATTGATGTTGAATGATAACATTTTGTGGCAAGTTATTGTTGCTAAGGATTTTGTTTTTCTTTCTAGGGCAAACCTTTTAGTATGAAGCAGTTTAAGTGGTTATTTAACTGCACAAGAATTCCAGGTCAGGGTGCTGACAGCCTGTACTCAACTTGGAAAACGAGTAAGTTAAGCGTAATTAGTGTGTGTGTGTGTGTGTGCGGCTCATTTTGAATGACAGTGTTGAGGTGGAGTTAAGGTAGTGGATTACATATTCCTTTACAGCTTGTTAATCCCATTCCAAATCTTTTAAGAAAACTGTTTAGACACTCAAATATCTGGTCAAGGTTGTAGTATTAGAAATGTAACTTCATTTGTACCACTACAGTATTTCCATTTAATTTATAAGTGGAAATTTCACCTTTGAGTTCCTTCATATGGATCATTTTAATTTATTTAAGTATTTTTCATAAATTGAATAAGCCTGTAGAATATGGGCAAAGCTACAAAGAGCTTCATGAATGTTGCCATACATATAGTGACACCTCTAAATCTGCTCCCCTCCCCCCCCTTCTCTAACACAGTGTGGAGTGTATGTATTATAATTTCTTTCTGTTTTCCAGTGGATGAAGGAGATTGTCCCATGCATCTCGCAGTACTTTGCCATGGCCATATTTGGACAATGTATCCTTGGGACTCAGCAGGTATTATTACATCAGTAATATAACTGTTGTTTACATTAATTTGATATCTCTAGTAAAGATAACTTATGGGTGCACAATGAAAATACAATAGCTTGATATACCATATAGTTTTGTGGGTTATCTTTACCGGAGGGGACCAAATGGTGGCTTTCTGAAGCTAGCTCACCGAGATAGTTCACACAGTTGAGTTACTTGAGCCATTGGAGTGTTGAGTGGTCTACCAGGGACCAGGGTCTGAGCCTGACCCCAACAGAGGCACAGGGAGCAGGGCACTGTTATCATCACCCTTGCCAAGAAAATATCCAGAAAGAATGCAAAGCAATACAAACAACTGCAAGGTTCAAAGTGAAAAAAAGATTGAGGCAGCAAATGACTCACAAACTATTCATTTAGTAGCTATATCGAAAAACCTCCCCCTGTTATGGCTGGCTACCAACAGATTTTGGTTCTGGCTCCTGGTAGGAAAGGGATGGGCTTCAAATGTCTGGTGTGTTGGGTTAAGGCTTGGTGGTACCAAAGATAAACTTGGGGAGTTACCAAGGGCTCACTATAAAAGGAATTTTGTTTTATTATGTGCTTGATTTTTAAGTTGGCGGTGGTGTTAAGTGGTGTGAAAGATTTGTGTATGTTAAGCCAAGTAGTTTATCTTAGGGTTAACTGAAGTATTCTCATCACCACTGAGCTCCCCAACCATTTCAATCAGGGTGGTATGAGGATTGGCTAGGAATTGTCAAGGCAAGGAATCGCCTTTGGAATTACCTCAATGAATTGGAAAGGAATTGTGCTTCAGGGGTTCAGTATTTTTCAGAGTCTGGCAAACAAGAAGTGTTGTGGGTGAGTTCAGTGCATAGACATAGGGGTAGCTACTCTTTGCCCTTGGGATTGGGGCACTTCATTACACTATTTTTTTTATTGCTCTTGCTAATTTTATGATGTACTGTATTGTTAGTGTGTTTTCTCTGTATGAATTGAACTTACCATTCTTTTACCACATAGTTCATATGAATTATAAAAATGTTAACAATTTTTTTTAATTTTAGTATAATTAATTATTATTTTTAGTATAAATTTGTCTTTCTTTTAAACCTAATTATTTCTATATTTCTGTTTATATTGTGCCGTATGCATTTCTTTTAACCTCATTACTTATTAATACAGTACTGTACATATTTTAAAGTCTTTTATATTTCTTTACTTGTAACTGTAACTTATTACATAATTTTGTTGTCGCTGTTACTATATCTAAGAATGATTGGTTGTTGCCACCTCTTGGGTGAGATTCTTCTCTAGGACTGAACACACACTTCACTTGTCTTCTAGCCACGTATTGATATAAAATTTTAATTAAGGCAGCTTATTGCATTTTTTTTAATTTATGATTTTTATGTATGAAAAGGTAAGCCCATGTCTGCACCCGAGTTGGAAGTACAAATAAGACACATTCGTGAAACAAGTGACGACTTAGGCCCTGGACCCGGCCTCAGTGTTCTGACATGCGACACCAGGGAAAGTTGGGCTCAGGTATTGTTAAACTCTATAGTTAGTCATGTGGGGCTATGTGGATTATTTATTTGTTTAAAAGCAAGTGGACTTTATATTTTAATTAGTTGTTCCACACAATTTCCACAGTAGGGGATGATTTATTATATTAATTAAATTCTAGTGTTTATAGTCTTTAGATAAAAGTTAACTGGCCAGAAACAACGATTAGGACTAGGTTACTTGTCAGAAAGTAAGATGGAGATGTAGTGCTGTTTAGAACTAGCCTTTCAGCTTTTGACAACATGAGCAGGGATTGGTTTTTGTTCATTTGTTGTAGCACCAGCGAGACCTCTCATGTTCTCTGCAAGCCGCTTGCCTAAGATGGCCAGCCCCCCTCCTCCCACTCTGACATTAGTCAGTGTGAGGGTTAATAATTATTAAATTTTGAGTTGGGCTTTAAATTGGAGTTATTTAAGAATTCAAACTGGTATTAATAATTTTATTTCATTCACGTAATTATTTCATTCACGCGTGTAATTAAAATAATTTTGTTAGTCAAGGGTTATCCATTTTCCTCATTCTGATTTAATAACAAGACTTCATAGAAAACAATTACTGTACAGGTTTTGAATTGACTCGTAGTGAGGCAGGAAGAGCTGGCGACGTCCATTAAGGAAGTTGTATCGGCCCATAACATATTGTTTATTTAAGACTTACAAATTTAAAGAAAGGATGAATCTTCATAAGAATCTAATTTAATATTTAAGTAATATTTGTAGTTAAAGTTCTATTTAATGTACGATGTGGAAATTATTTCCAAGTCATGCTTCTAAGTGTTAATATGTCACTACTGTATTAACTATTGAATTATTCTGCATGCTTGTAATGAAGCACTTGAAATTTTGCCATATCTTATTCTCCATTGGTCATTGTTTGATGTATTCCTTTCAGAATCGTGATTGGCTGAAGTCGCTGAGCATAAACAACATGAAGAATTTAGAGCACATTGAAAGCTCCAGTTTTGTTTTTGTTTTGGATGACACTGCTCCAGAAAACTTTGATCAGGTAAAATATTCCCGAGTATAGTTGAAAACTAAAGGTTCATTTGCTCAAGTGTTGAAATTTTAATTTAAATTTTAATTTTAACTAAAGAATGTTAAAACTTAATACTGGGTAATAATAGATTGTCATGTTAAGTACATTGGATATTACTAGATTATCATGTACCTGTACAGTATTAATGAAATTCTAATTCTTGATTTATCAGCTCGTTTGGGAGGGCCTTTGTGGAGATACAACAAACCGCTGGGCAGACAAAAGTCTTTCTGCGATATTGACGAGGAATGGGTATGGAGTAATGAACAACGACGTAAGACATTTACTAAAGTACTGTATGGTCATTGTATATTGTTATTCTATGTTCTTACTGCATATGATTTGTGATGTGCTTAACTATCACTGCTTTGGTATTCCACAAACTATGAGTAGCCGACTGCTTCAGTCATCAGCAGAGGATTTAACCAAGCTCAGATTGTTTATAAATCAAGGTTTTAAAGTACAGTATTCAACACTACTGGTGATTTTCCTTTGCATTAAAAAAATATTCAGAGGTCCCTAAATTTTCCTCCTGTGCATTGATAAAAGACTGTATCTGGTGCTCCTCCTTTCAATTAAGTGTGCATGCACCAGCATTAACTCCATGCAAGATTTCAGATTTTGCAAGAGCTGGAAAATCTTAAGAGATTAAAAGAAGAGAAGAATGTCAGTGGGTAGTGACAGACATTGTTTAATCTGTAAATATAATGTTTTGATTTAACAGAGGTGAATCTGCCTTCTCATATGTTGTTTTTGCTATAGGAATTTTGTGAAATTGGGTTTTGCTTATAAACCATAAAATTAAGAAGATTTGATATTAATTTGGCTATTATTATCTAATAAAAAAGTTATCTTTTTATTATAAAACAAATTATCTCTTAGAGAAGAATTTTAGAGCATTTGGTACTTTTGCACCCACAAATATTTATTTAAAATATAGTACGTTATTAGGTTTCGGACCTTAATTATTTTTTCATTTACCCAAATTCGTTGTTCACTGAATCTTACAAGAAAAAAAATGTAAAATAAAGATGCAACTCTTTATTCAAATTTTAGTAACTGATATCAGTATCATAATGTAATTACAATAATTTTATATTCTGTATATTCAAGGACATACAGTATGTAGAATTTGTTTAATATATTAATTATTAAATATTTTGAATTCTCTTTCAAAGAAGAAAGTTTTTATATTTTAGGTAGGTGAAGATTTTGATGGTACTGTAGCTGCATTTTGAGGGTTAATAGCCTATTCTTTTCACTGTTATACTGTAGTGCAGTAATATTCTTTATCTTCATATGTTCCACTTCTTTATCACTTAATTTGCTTCACTCGTACAATCATTGCCTAAATTTTACTTCGTCTTTCAATGAATCTGTGTCTGGAAATAAAAGATTTAGAATGATCAGAAATTTGAGTTATTTCAAAGATTTTCAGAAATTTTATATCTCATTTTTTTAATTTTTGTTGTTGTCAGCACACTCCATATGATGCAATGGTCACAATTATGGTGGCCCATTACCAACACTTGATGCTGGAAGAAACGAATGGCAAATGGACAGGACCAACAGAAGTTCGAGATTTTCCCATGCCCTCTTTATTGCATTTTGACCTGGATGCCAAGCTTTTAGCAGCTATTTCAACTGCTAAAGAAATAAGTTTGTCATATGTAAGTTTAATGCTTGCTTAGTTGTGTAAGATACAAGGTTACTTTGTGGTTTACAAATGACTTGGTAGTGCAAATGAGACTGGTTTTTGCTGGTATAAGATGAATACATACTTGTTTACTGGGCTATTCCACTCAGGTCCTCACTAACACAATTGTGAAAGTATGGTGTTCTCTTGGCTAGACTTGTACCCCATAGCTACTGTGCAATGCTGTGTGCTGAGTACTAGGTATTGACTTTATCCAAGGACACAAGTAATTATTACTTAAGTATAGTTACAAGATGATACAAAACAGGACACTCATGGTGTCCCGTCTTCCCAATACTCTGTGTCATATATTGCTTATATGACAGAGTGCCCACCCACTGCCTTGCTCAGTGTTTGAGTGGCATGCATTCCCATTATTCCCCCATTTCGTCACATATGTGTGACTACTTCACCTTTTGTTCTCCCACAACTTTACCTTTTTCACATGTATATTTAAGATAAATTTGCACCTTGTATATTCATATCGTACCTGAAGATGTTCCAGAGTAAAACGAAACGTTGTAGATCATACTGTATACCTTTCAATAATCATTAGTTTCTTTACCATGAATTTCGGTAACTTGGTTGGTCTTCTTAATCCCGAGAGAAAAAAAAATATGTGAAGCAGGGATGAAGGATATCTTATTCTGAATTTTTTTGTTGCCTCTTATAACTGTTGGGGAAGACCAATGAACAACTAGAACCACATGTATAACATTGGTGTTCACACAGCCATATAAATCATCATCATTATGATAGCAGCATTTCTGTAAGACATCATGATATAATTACAGTAGTACTTCATGTGTTAATCAAATTGATGACATATTGCATATTTTGCACTGATGTTTGCTGTGTATTCCTGTTCCATATAGGCTTCAGGTTGCAAGTAGCAAGTGCTCGGAGGCCTGTTAGTGTGTGTGTGATATATATTCCAGTAAATTTCCTTGTACAGTATGTCAGTACATTCTTGAATAAATTTAAGAAAAGGGACATTAACTGTAACAGTCACCCCTGATCCAGTTCTGTTTTGTGTGCTGATCAAAGAAAGTGTAGTCTTTTACTAGTTGACCTAGTGAGTAGACATACTAGTTCTTGCATTTGCAGCCTTTATTGGGTTTAGTTATATGTAACTGGAAAGGAGGTCATAGTGTCGACTTGGTGGGCCCTCGTGTGATTTCTTGTTGTAAATGCCATTGTAATTGGCCTTGGACAGTGGGATTGCTCAGAAATTGGGTCTAATGAATATGAAACGCCCCTTTCCAAGAAGGACTCTTGGATGCTCCCGTTCTTCCTTGCATCCCTGATTCACCTGTGCACAGTTTTTTCTTTATATCTCTCAGAATGTAAGGAGGTTTGAGGCAGGGAACCCAGTATTGATGTGGATACTTCCACCTGGTGGCAGCGAAAGGTATGGTAGACAAACCTCTAGTTAGTGAGAAAGTAACTTGGCATTTCCTGTGATGCCAAGTAGAATTTGGAAAGGATATTGAGTGAGAAAGCTTCCAGTGTCTTTCTAGCACAAGTATGATCCAATATGGATAGTTGAGAAAGATCCCTGTTATACCAGTGCAGAATATATCCCTGTCCAGACTTAATATAAGGTATTGTCTAATTGGACCAGTGTGGCTCTTGTTCCAGCAAGCTTCCAAGTGACTTGCTTAGAAAGGAGTTTTTCATATTCAAAGCCTAATATTTATTCATTTAGTTATGTAGTACATGAATTTCTTAAAATATACAATAATATTATATTATACTTTTTTACTAGTTGCATGTTAAGTAGAATAAGATTAAAACAATTTGATGTATAATTATAAGAACGAAATATTAACTAATTTTAAAGCTGCTGAATTTCTCTTTTAATGTTATAATATTATGCTTACTTAAGTTATAAGGCTTGAGATACAGTAACTTACATAACATATGAATCTAATTAATTTCTTTTTAATTATTTATATATATATATAGCTCCTGCTGCTACTACTGATAAAAGCAGTACACAGCAGTGTATTTTTTTTGCTTTGTTTCATTAGTAACTTTGTCCTGGTTATGATTTGTACTGAACAGATGACTGGAGCTATGATATACATGCACAAATAAACACAAGCCACATCTTTACATGATTATTTAAAGGGTATTGTTTATTTCCTCCTTAGGTCAACAATGTTTGTGCCAAGCCCTTAATTTTCACTGAATATGGAAGAGATTTTATGAAGCCCCATAAGCTACATCCAGATGCTTTTATTCAAATGTCCATTCAACTGGCTTACCACCGTCTGCATGGCAAGTAAGCAATGTGCCAGTGATAAACGTATTAATTTTCTTTTGAATTCTTTCTCCCAGAACTGCCTAGAGCTTTGAGGGAAGGTTAGAGGCATTAAATATGCAAAAACTAGAAGATAGAAGAAAAAGAGGCAATATAATCACTACATACAAAATAGTAACAGGAATCAATAAAATTGATAGGGAAGAATTCCTGAGAACCGGAACTTCAAGAACAAGAGGTTATAGTAGGTTTAAACTAATGAAACAAAGCTGCTGGAGAAAGATAAGAAACTTCACTTTTGTAAACAGAGTGGTACTTGGTTGGAACAAGTTAGGTGAGAGGGTGGTGGAGGCCAGAACAATCGGTAATTTCAAAGTGTTATATGACAGAGTGATGGGGAGACGGGACACCACGAGTGCAGTGTTCATCCTGTAACTACACTTGGGTAATTACACAAATTTTATACAAAATATTGGCAAAAATGTCATTCCATTTAATATTACAAGCTACTTCAGACATTAATTGTGATGGGTTATGTAAAGACTGCAGAGCACTTTTATTCACAAAATCATTCCATCCCCATTGAGCTTAAAGTACTCAGTGGTTAGATAAAAGCTCAGTCTGTGTTGTGCTTGCCCAGTTGTTCAATTTCTGTGTACATGAGATTGAATCTCTATTTCATGAGATTGAAATGATCAGTCTCATGATCATTTCATTCCCTTTATATACTCCACATGCACAATCTGTTCTACAGTGCCCAATTGCTGACTGAACCATCAGTAAAGGCATAGGATTCAGTTGGATTGAGATTGTGAAGATAATTGTCAATTGCTTCTAGTATTATGCATCTCATAGTTTCAGAATTATAAGACTTGTTTTATGTTGATAGGTGTATAATGTATGGAGACCTGCACATCTTTACAAGGGGAAATATAGTGAACAGTTTTATCAGGACTGCATTTATCTGGACCTAACAAAAGGCTTTTGACAAAGTCCCACATAAGGGGTTGTTATGGAAACTGGAACATATGGGAAGGGCGACAGGAATGAAATATGGTACAGTATTTCAATATTTTCTGACATTCTCCAGTAACTGTAAAAATTAAATAAACCTTGCCCTACAGCATAAGATAATGTTTGATCCATTTGTTGAAGATATGATTGAATAGTTTTATCTATTTGAGGGAGGAGGGAACTATTGTACAGTATTCAAATTTAAGTCTTATGGAATGTTATGAATTACTTTTCTCACTTTCTCTATCCACATACCTGAAGACAAATCTAAAAATTTTCAGCATTTCCTCCCACTACCATATCTATAAAATTTACTAGTGATGGTTCTAGATTACTAGTTCACATATGTGTATCCTACGTAAAATAATTAATTGAGAATTTTGATAACTATACATTGTGTATGAACATTGTTTAATCACTTTCTATTCGTAGGCCAGCACCTACATACGAGACAGCAACTACTCGTCAGTTTTATGCTGGCCGTACAGAAACCATGCGTTCTTGTACACAGGAATCCGTTTCTTGGGTACAATCAATGTTGAACCCCAAAGCAACGGTACGTATGCTTTTCTATGGCTGATTTTCAAGATTTCTGATTTAATGTTTCTTTGATACACTGTTGAAATTAAATAAATTCAAATAGTGTAATTATATTTATACTGACAAAAAAGTATTGCTTCCAGGCAGCTGAAAAGCGTCGCAAGCTGATTATTGCTGTGGATACTCATGTCCAGCTAATGAGACAATGCCAGAAAAATGAGGGTGTTGACAGACACTTGTTTGGACTCTATATTGTGGCCTTAGAATCTGGCATGGATATTCCAGATCTATTTTTGGATCCATCTTTTACCAAGAGGTGAGACTCTTTAAATTGAAAGCTAGTAGTATAAATGTAAAAATATTGTTAAGACCACAATATTTTTACATTTTCTTTAACATTTTCTGTAGTGTTTAGTAAAACACTACTTCTTTTGTGAGCTGCATTTCCACACATTATTCTATATCTTGCATGATTTCTTCTGTCTAGGAGCTCTTCTTCACCTGTTGACCTGTACATAATTTGCTTCAAGTATTGAGTAGCATTTAAGTATAACAAAGAAACTCCTTCAAAAGTTCTTATCAGGTGAATACAGTATTTCTACATAGTTTTTCTGTGACATAGTGATGCGATCATTTGTGTCTTGCACCAAGCAACAAGAGTGTGAACAGTAATAAGGCTCTTGTCAACTAACATATAGGAGGAGAATTATTAAAGCTAGATGCAGGAAAAGGCAGCAGGTATAAGTACAATAATAGAGAATAGGACAAAATTAGATTGGAGGAACAATAGTCATTCAGATGACAATGTGGCAGGCAGTCATGTTGCTGTAGCAATAGAGCAAAAAAATGAATCTACAAAATGTGCGGTTCTTTTCACTTCCTTTTCAATATTTCATTCTTTGATGGCTTAACTAAGTGTTTTATTGAGTTACCCAGATTTATTAAATATTATTTCCTTATATACTTTTGATTTGATTGGTGGTCTTTATCCTGCTGCTGGTTAAGGTGCTGAAATTACTTGGGGTAAAGACCCCACAGGCACCAATGGGGTTGTGTTTGAGACAACATTCTCGAATTCTGGCCTATCTCAGTCAGCTAGTGAGGTGGATCTCACCACTACAGTATCATCCTCCTCCCTTGTTAATGTGGGGTTCATCACTTGAACTGGTGTTAGGATCGTGTTCCAGCTTCTGAACCCTAGGGCATTCCACTCAATATTCTAACTCTAAGACATGCTTTCTTATATTTATTTGGCTCCTGTGGATATTCAGCTTCCAATTGTGGCCCCTCATACTGGTCCATCTTGTCATACTGTTTGTGTTTCTGTCTGTATTGCTCTTTCATGTAAGGCAATAAGCATCACTGAATCCTGCTAGTACTTGAATGGGTTACTAGTAAAATTCAACTTAGTATACCCGTCTTATTATTAGGCAAGTTCTTAATAATACTGGATTGTTAAAGTATATGAAAATATTACATACAAATTTAATTAAATTTATTGTCAAATATTATAGACGAAATTTAATACCAATATATTTTGGTTTCAGTGGTGGTGGTGGCAACTACATACTGTCGACTAGTACTGTAGGATTCACCCCCGTTTTTGGAGGTGTGGCTGCTATGGTTCCTCATGGCTATGGTTGTTTCTATAGTATGCTTCCAGACAGGTAAGGGTATTGGTTGGTCATTTTTTAATTTAATATATACAATATCTTGAGATGATTTCGGGGATTTAGTGTCCCCGCGGCCCGGTCCTCGACCAGGCCTCCACCCCCAGGAAGCAGCCCGTGACAGCTGACTAACACCCAGGTACCTATTTTACTGCTAGGTAACAGGGGCATAGGGTGAAAGAAACTCTGCCCATTGTTTCTCGCTGGCGCCTGGGATCGAACCCGGGACCACAGGATCACAAGTCCAGTGTGCTGTCCACTCGGCCGACCGGCACCTGACAATACTGTGTATTGAAGATTTTAAAGTCCACTCTTGACATTTATATACATTTAGTTTGATTGTCAGGATTTGATGATATTGTTAATTTTGAATTACTGAATGAAATGGTTTTAATTTTCATGTTAATATATTCTCTTTCAGGCTGAATTTCTTCATCAGCTGTTTCAAGTCATCAGAGGAGACCAGTGTGGAGGCTTTTATGGAAGCTCTTGACACATCCCTGTGTGATATGAGACATGTGTTGACCACACCTAGTGCAAGTCTCTAGTATAAAAGCTACGGTTTTATTTGTTTAGTTTTAGTTTTCATGCTTCTGTTATTTTATATATTTTTACTAATATTGTTTTATTTTTCACATTTTGTTTTATAATATTCTGGTTAAGTTTAAGAGATGATAGATGTTACATATTGTTATACTACAATAGTACCAGTATTATGACTTTTAACTTGTTGTAAATATTCTGACTATTTCTATCACATAAATTTGGTAAGTGATTTGTTTATATAATAAAACAAACACTGAGTGCAGGCTTTTCCAGGTATAAAGGTGGCAGCTCTATCACAAAAATATGCCTATACAGTATGTGGGAAACAAGTTTTTCTTGCTTGCATGGAGGGGTTGTGTCTACCCTAATGGAAATGAGAGTTGTTGGTATGGCATGAGCAGAAATAAATGTGAATTAGAGCAGTAAAAATAGACGGAGATGCGTGTGTGGCATTAGGAGGAGAGAGAGAGAGAGAGCATAAAAATGTCATGGATATACTGTACAGTATGTGCAATGCAAAAGTAATTGTTCTCCTGTTATATCTTGGCAGGTGTTTACCCCTTCATGAAAGTGGAAACAGGTGTAATACTTATGATCAATTATAATTAATTATTTTTTTTCAATTTGAGAAGTGATCAGAGTTTTTAAAATGTAGTGACGTTCATGTATTTGCCTAGTTGTGCTCACCTAGTTGTGCTTGCAGGGGTTGAGCTCTGGTTCTTTTGGGCCCGCCTCTCAACTGTCACTCAATCAACTTTTTTTTTTCTTTCCCACAACCCCCTTTCCCAGGAAGCAGCTCGTAGTAACTGTCTAACTCCCAGGTACCTATTTACTGCTAGGTGAACAAGCACATAAGGGTGAAAGAGACTATGCCAATTTGTTTCTGTCTCTGCTGGGGATCAAACCCGGACCCTCAGGACTACGAATCCCGATGGCTGTCCACTCGGCAGCGAATCCCAACTGCTGTCCGTGTGTGTGTGTGTGTGTGTGTGTGTGTGTGTGTGTGTGTGTGTGTGTGTGTGTGTTATACTGACCATACCCCCCTCCTTGTTTTTAATTTATTACATAATTCAAGGTTAAGCTGTAATAATTGCAATCATCTTTCAATGTTCAAGCTAATTATTTAATTTATTAGTACACTATTCCCTGTAATCATTACTTATGAATCAGTTACCATCATACAAAGTCACAGTTTTCTCCAAAATATAAATAATTATATTAAACATTTCCTGACTCCATTTTCATGATGGACAGCTTTTAGCCATTTGTAAACATTAAAAGACAATCTGTGTATTATGGTTAGAATATTTTAATTTCTCGTGAAAGATATCACATGCAATGGTTATTAAAATGCCAACAAAACCATCTATTTTTGTAGCAGTTTTAATGTACTCACCTAGTTGTGCTTGTGGAGGTTAATCTTTGGCTCTTTGAGCCTGCCTCTCGACTGTCAATCAGCTGATTTACAAATACATACTGGTGTAGACGTATAAAGAGTAAGTTTTATCATGTCGGTACTGTACATTTTTTGTCTCGAGTTCCTCTGCAGAATCTTAAGCTGATCACGTTCATGTGAATATTTAAAGCCACCTTGAGACATGTACGAAAATAACTGGCACACAATACAGTGCACGCTGTAGCTGATTCTGCCTTGGCATACCTTTAGAGGGAACCTCCCAAGACATCATAAGACAGTTCTTTGGTTTATATGAATGAACAAAAGGACTGCTACAATTACTGTTTTCAATTTTTTAGATATTAATATGTTCTTTTATGCAATACTGTTATAAGAATTCTCCAAGTTACAGTCATTCAGTCACTTAGGCAATGTACTGTACCTCTTCCTCTTGAACACAGCATAGAAATGGTTAGGTCAATGCAATCTCATCAAGCTACCCATGCCAGCTCATAAGTGAGGAAAGGAAGATACTTTAGAATTCTCAATCAAGATCAGAATGACCAATAGAAGTTCATTCATCAACTCTCTTAAAGTTCTCCTTAAAACAGTTCTTAGGTTTAGAGAAACTGCCAGATTTAAAAAGACCACAAAGTACTGCTCTGCTAATTACTACAATGTCATCTAGCTGCTATTTCATCCTAGCATCAGGTGAGAACCCAGTACTGTAAACAGGAACTGGGGACCCAGCCCTCACTTACTTCCCTAGTTCTCCTGAGCATGGTTCACAGGACAGCAGGCAACCCCAATTTCAATTAAGTCTAATATTCAGTTGGCCTATGCTTTATTCTTACAGTACCTTTCCATCTGGGTTTTACCTCCTTTGGTCATGGCGATGCTTTTGTGCATCACTATCTGGATCCCTCATTGTAATTTGGAAGGGGTCCTATCCTGGTCCAAACTTGGTTTGTCTAGCGTCTTATATTTTGTGTCCTGTGGTGGCACTGCACAGATGTCCTTGGGCATCCTGGAACTATTCAATTCCTTGCCTTTCACCCCTGTGCATGATTCCAGGTGTGTTCTAGAATCTAGGGTATAGCTGTTTCTATTGATATGCAGAGTAGTGAAACTAGGCTACTGGTCTACCTCTATGCTCATGATCAATGGAGGTTTGCCACTCTTTATGCATTCTTGTTTGCTGTGTTCTGTGCTACATCAGGGCTCAGTTTTTTTTTAGGACACACTGTTTGTATCCCACCTTCTGGTTTGGATTACCTTCTTTATCCATCAGTGTGTGGTAAAAAAAATTTCCTTAAAGTTTCACTTCTGGTGCTGGTCTTTGTTGCCCTAGATATCGGGTACTTCTTTGATGCAGTTCACCATCTCCTGTGGCAAACATGATCACTAGTTACGTTGAGTTCATAATTGCTGCATTCGTTTAGCTAATATGGTATGATCTTAGCTTGCTCACTCATTCAAAATATTAAGTTTTACATCGATTTATTCTCGAGTCAAAAATTAGTGAATGATTTAGAATTATTCATCCCAGTATAGTAAAGTTTGTAAGCTTAATTTATTTGAAGTTTACTTCACATACAGTGTACCTGCTCCTGCAGATCAAAGCTACAGTATATGAACTCGTTTGTTTATGGTAGAGAAATATATTGTGTAGTAATGTTCTTCAAGCTTTCTGTTTAAGGATTTCTTTGGTAACTGATGTACTGTACTTCTAAAAGCAAATTTGATGATTCAGTACTATAATTTATATACAGTATATTATTGTATACTCTATATGCAGCTAATACTGTATTTCTTTAACATAGCTAAATCAGCTATTTACAAAATAACATTGTATTATATACTGTACATCTTTTGTAAAAAATTATCTGGCTTGACCTTTATCTCTGAACTTACATAAGGCTCCGTTTTATTATGGGGTCTGTTGTACGTATTCAAGATACAGTACCTGTTTTGTTGAGGTTTTTAGTTGTTAACATGTCATTACTGTTTATGATTGTTTAGACTACCAGAAAGTGTTGTTTTGCAAGAATACTGTATAACTATATTTTATAATATTTTAGGTGTTCCATGAATGATTCTATTTTAAAGTAAATGGTATATTTTGTAATGTAACGGTGCAATTTCCAAGTTTGCTTTTGTAATGTAGTATAATACATAGTTAAAGCTAAATACATTGTATTTTTACTCAGTATAGTTGTATTTAATAATAATAAATGTAAAAATATAGCCTGAAATATCCATGAAAATAGAAAAGCTGTGCATAAAGTGAAAAAAAATACAGTAATAGGGTAAATGTAGGCAGACATTTGAGGTGTGCTATAGTATAAGTACATGTCTTGGTTAGTTTGTCTTAAAGCTCAATGTTGGCAAACTTTGAGGTTAAAATATTAAATGGCCTTACATAAACTGAAGCTTCACCATAGGGCAAAGCTGAGACCACCTTGAAGTGGTAGGGAATGGAGGAACCTTGAGTGCTTCAGTATTGCTATGACAGGCTTTGTTGGAGCCAGTCAGAGTAATATTGTCTGACCTTGCAAGGTACCTTGGGGTACCTTGCAGGGTCAGAGTAGTACCAAAAAACTACTAAATGTTTTGGCAGTTTTGACCCCTTTGGAGGTCCTTTGGCCCCAAGGTACCTGGCGGTCAGGTATCTTGTGAACGTTTCAGGTCCTTAGTGGCCTTGTGTGGCTTTGGGTCATCTGTCACAGCCAACGGTCTCACCTCCACTTTGATACCACGGAGGAGGCAGCACCACAGGTAAGTGCCCTATTTTGTCCTTCTCCATAGGTAGTTAGCTTCAGGAAGCCTCAAGGTGCTTCCCCACAGAAACTAGCACTGAATGTAATGAAACGCCAATTTCTGGAAGAGCCCTGAGGCTCCCTGACACAGTCTCTTTCCCAGGGAGTCGGTATGTTCCATCATCATAAGAATAAAAAGAGGGTGGTGCAGCCTGGCTGACTCGATCTGCCTCCCTCCTTCCCCCCCAGTCGAAGGGGGGGGGGATAGGTGGGGCAAACTAGCTCACACTAGTTTCATGAAATTTGGGTTGTTCTCATAGTTAGGGAATTACTTTTGGCAGTTGTTGAGGCTGCAGTCTCAGTTTTAACCATGCAATGGTCTGTTTTGTTTCACTGACTTTCTGGGTGCCTTTCCTGGTGGTAGCAATTATGATTACAGTAATTGTAAATGTAAAGTGTTCATAGGCCATCTCTCTCTGCGCCTCTCTGAGGGGGCCAGGTTCTGACTCGTGATCCCCAGTAGGCCAATAGACCTCCACAACTGATAGCACCTTGTAGTTTGACACTGAATCAGTGTGATAGCTTCAGGGAGCCTCAAGGAGCTCCCCCCAATAAAGTGAACTGCAATGGTGATAAACTGCATGTGTTCGAAAAAAGTTAAGTTCCGAAAAAGACACTTGTCTGATTTTATTTGTCTAAATTTTATTAACTAAGAATAACTTAGACTACATTTTTCAATTTATAATACAGTATATGCTAAAGTGATATAAATTATTGGTGATCAGATAAGGTATGAAGTGTTGTGGTGCCTTTATTCATTTCAATTATGCACATTCCTGCAAAGTTTATATTTTTATACTGCTTTATAAGATGTATGAGATATTCTGTTTGAAACTGTAATCTGAAAAAAATAAACACAGCCTGTCATCTACTTACACCTTAGACATGGCATCTAATCTAAATAAGAAAGACATGAAACAGAGCATTGTAATTTTTCTAACATATACTCATTGAATATCATTGAATATTCTAATAATTAATGCTATCTAAGTTATCATATTTTTCCATATAACCCGTGCCGTAGCAAAAATGGTTCTTGTTTACTTTCGAATTTTGAACATGAACAAATGACAAAAGGTATTTTTCAAAATAGCGAAAGATAACGATGGCGCCTATCTTGTGGGAAGTATTTACCTGAACTTACCTGAGGGCCACTAAGACACCTAGTGTCCTCGACGAGGACAGGAAGCCGGCGGCTTGTCAAAGGTCCCCAATTTGCCCTTACGATGTATTGCAGGTGTTCGGTACCGTCTTTCACACTACAGCCGTCTTCTGATTGACGTTCTGGTTGGAGAATCCGTCAGGTAAAGGTAATAAAAATTATCAAAAGACGTCTCACAGGTGTTCTCTCTCTAGAATACTTAAGTGTCAAGGGTATGCCTCAGGCCGGCGGCTCCCTCACTCACTTGGGCTGGACGGTAGTCATTTAGTCATTTATTTTGGATTTAATAATTCTGTTGCATTCCCCTTTTAGAATTTTAAACATTACTTAGATGGTAAACTTTCATTTAATTATATTAATGTTCCTCCACGGATTCTTAAATGGACAAAAACTGGAAAAACATGTACCAGTATTTAGCAATAGCCTAGTCTAATGTTAATTGCATCAGTTTTAATGAGTACGTGTGAAAATTTATTCCCTTGTTACATTGAAATAATCATTATATTTTAATAAATTAGTTTATTTAGTAAAAAGTTTATGGTGCTACATAGCCTTCCCGGTTTGGTGCCTTCTACTGATAATTACTTACTAGTAAAAAGTAATAAATAATAGGAGGGTACTTTGCCACATGGCTCCTTGGATTTCTTATAACCTACAGCCACATTTTATTTATTTTTATTTATTTATATACAAGAAGGTACATTAGGTATATGAGAGTACATAGTTAATTCCAGGAGGAGTTGAAGAATCCCATATAATAAATTGGGGTAACAAAGTACTATAATTTATTTCCACTCACGTTCATCACTGTACGGATGTAACTATTACTAGTCGTTTGGTATCTTTGTATACATCGTTAAATAAATACAACCATTTCTTCTTAAATTCACGTATATTAATACACTTTTATTCATACGTGTTTAATAATGCACAAGTGCACATCAATATACACATACGCAGTAATATGCATAACTGAGATATCGACTGAATTCTGGCTGGTCTTTTTAAGGAGAATATCGGAATGAATCTAAATAATCACAGTAATTAGTAATTACAAAGCGTTGAGCGCACTTTATTTATTATGTAAATAATTAATGCAGTCCACAGTGCAATCAATTAACTATGTATCGAACATGTTGATAAACTTTTTTGTATTAACAACTTTAACTATATTCAGCAACATTGCTACCTTATTCTATATAAAGGATTACAAAGTATAGTTCAGAAACTAGTTATGAGTTCATCTAATATCCCCACCTCATAGGATGGTTAGTCATTCATGGAATCAGGCGAAAGGATGAAATTCGAGTCTAATCTATTAGTTTGCATTTGATAAAGCCTAACACTATTCCGTTTCTAATCGTTGTCACGCTGTTAACTGTAATATAAATTTTACCACCTAAGTTTTTTTATACCGCGTTATGACAAAATTAAGTCAAGACGCTATTAGACCAAAGCTAATTATAATACGGTGAATGATAAATTAATACGGTGAATGATAAAGCTAATTATATACGGTGAATGATAAATTGTCTAAATATCTAATTGATGTTACGGTAATTCTCCGTCAATCGTCAGCCAGTTTGGAAGCCACAGGTCGATATGGTAAAGTACTCTGTACGGGGGCTGGTCAGTAGTAGCCTATACTAGTGGAGATTGAGGCGGTCGATGGCGGGCTATACCAGTCATGCATTCTTGATAACACCCGACGCCCCGGGCCCACCTGCTATTGTGGCTCAGTTTGATGGTGGCGCTGCACCTGTAGTGATCCACCTCCTGACGGTGTGCCTGTAGCCTCGCTGTACCCGTGGTGGTCCACCTCCTGACGGTGTGCCTGTAGCCTCACTGTACCCGTGGTGGTCCACCTCCTGACGGTGTGCCTGTAGCCTCACTGTACCCGTGGTGGTCCACCTCCTGACGGTGTGCCTGAAGCCTCGCTGTACCCGTGGTGATCCACCTCCTGACGGTGTGCCCGTAGCCTCACTGTACCCGTAGTGATCCACCTGACGATGTGCCTGTAGCCTCGCTGTACCCGTAGTGATCCACCTCCTGACGGTGTACCTGTAGCCTCACTGCACCCGTGGTGATCCACCTCCTGACGGTGTACCTGTAGCCTCGCTGTACCCGTAGTGATCCACCTGACGGTGTGCCTGTAACCTCGGTGTACCAGCAGTAGACTCGATCACCTTCACGCTTGTTATTTTTAGTGAGGGGTGCGGTAAAAGCCTTACGGAAAATATCGGTATAGATTTGACTAGTGCGGTCAGTCATCACAATGGCACAGCTATTTCAAGTGTAAGTGTTGGTAAAGCGGCTGCCAGTCGCCATAGTGTCTATGGCACCAGTGGCACTCTGACCCTGCGGTGTCAACATCTTCACAGTACCTGCATGGCACCAGTGGCACTCTGACCCTGCGGTGTCAACATCTTCACAGTACCTGCACGGCACCAGTGGCACTCTGACCCTGCGGTGTCAACATCTTCACAGTACCTGCACGGCACCAGTGGCACTCTGACCCTGCGGTGTCAACATCTTCACAGTACCTGCACGGCACCAGTGGCACTCTGACCCTGCGGTGTCAACATCTTCACAGTACCTGCACGGCACCAGTGGCACCCTGACCCTGCGGTGTCAACATCTTCACAGTACCTGCACGGCGCCAACAACAGGCATGAACGCCAATTTAAAAGTTCCAAAGTAAATTTCAAAATGGTCCATATGAACGCTCATAGGTAAGAAATAAGTGTATCTTATGTAATTTTAATACAGGTAGAGGTTAACCCTTAAGGCGATTAAATGTGTTTATATACTGACGAACATTCATTGTTTTAACTTAATTATAATTATATAGGAACACTGTATTTTAATATTAACACTAGCATCTTGCATTGTGAATCGGCAATTAGTTTCTATATTTTCAGATAAATAAATTGTTATAATATGTGGTCTTCGTGACAATTAAATTCCAATCTAGCGTTTTTTTTTGACGCCATGAGTGATGTTTACTGGCCTCTGCCAGCCTAGCTTGTGTTTACTGGTTCAGCCAGTCCTAAAATATAAAATTTAGCAACCCTTCTGTCTCGTCTGATACCAGTCGTAGAACTTCAACAAGTTTTATCTGTATTCAGTTTGAGAGCAACCCGTCCTCGACTCAAGTCCATTACATCCAGCGGTCGACCCCACAGACGCATTCATAAATTTTAACATGCTGTTCATTCAAAACGGGAATTTTCTCAAGTATAAATTAATATTATAATATATTAGCATATTGTGTATATAAAGGCATAGGATAGGTTAGGTTAGGTGTTTAGGTTCTGTTGGCGATTATTTGTATTTGTAGTACGTGGGTGAAGCATTTATAGCGTTGTGATTCGAACAAAATTCGTCAGTGAAGCACTTGTTCTGGATATGTTCGAACATCAGCAGTTGTGAGTCGTGTGTAAACCGCTTTTCATTCATAAACAGGGGGTTTGGCGGGTGCATGGAATCACTTTTGGATCTTTGTTTGGAGGACGGGCTGTTGAGTTATGTACTCTCCAAGCAGCCCGTCCTCTTAAAAAAGGCTAAAATCCATGCCATGCACCCGCCAAACTCCCAGTTTATGAATGAAACACGGTTTATATACACACAACCCGTCCTCAGCCCAAGTCCATTCCATCCAGCGGTCGACCCCAAAGAGGCATTCATCAGTTTTAACATGCTGTTCATTCAAAATATGAATTTTATCAAATATAAATTAATAATGTTAAATATTAGCATACTGTGCATATTTAGGCATTAGTTAGGTTAGAGGTTTAGGTTCTATTGGCAAGTATTTGTATTTGTAGTGCGAGGCATTTATAGCGTTGTGGTTCGAACAAAAGTCATCAGTGAAGCACTTGTTCTGGAAGTGTTCATACGTCATCAGTTTTGAGTTGTCTGTAAACCGCTTTTCATTTATAAACAGGGGATTTGGCGGGTACATGGAATGGACTTTGGCCTTTGTTTGTGAGGATGGGTTGACACAAGACTCACAACTGATTACGTTCGAACACTTCTGGAACAAGTGCTTTGCTGACGACTTTTGTTTGAACCACAACGCTGTAAATACTTCACCGACGTACTACAAATACAAATACTCGCCAACAGAACCTAAATACCTAATCTAACTAATGCCTAAATATGAACAGTATTCTAATACATAATTTATGCTTGAGAGCATTCCTGTTTTGAATGAACGGATTTTAAAATTGATGGATGCGTTTTTGGATCGAACACTGGATGGAATCAACTTGATCTGAGGACGGGTTGACATGCCTGGCTTTAAGGCATGGCTATATCTCAGGCTATAAGCTGATGTTAAGCAGTATCCGTCACGACGTATTAGGCTATAATCTTCTAGGAATGCCTCAGTGAGATACTATCAGCACAGAGCGACTTGGTCGAAATATAAATTATGTTGGGCATTATACAGACTACGGTCATTACAATGGGTCAGATAATTGTCCTGAGAAATGTATAAGTACTTTACATCAACAAGAATCGATGTGTTGTGTACCTCCAAATACTCTACTGTATCATATCTAATTGCAGTATAATGCAAGGCGCTAGTTAAATACTCGTCGTAACACACAGATTGGCCGACAGCCAATAAGTGTTGCTCCTGAGACACTAACGACATCTTAATGTATAAGACACACTAGCGTTAGGGAATTTATAGCATAGCGTCTCACTGTTGCTCAATTTTTTTCTGGCGACAACGCAACGTCATCACTCCCATCGTCGTCTTGTCTGTGACGAAAAGAGGCTTGATAAATGTAAAAATATGTTTAATTTTAGTTTTGTTGGTTTTCCGTATTTTTTTTTTTTATTTAGAGTTGGCTTTCTTTCAAGGTCAGTTGGCACAGTACTCTCTAGTCGTTGTGTTTGATGGTATTGTTTCGCGGCAAGTGCTCTATATCAATTTTATATAGTATAAGTCGGGTCAGTAAACAATTGCGTACGTTGTATATTACTAAACTTTCATGATTAACAAGATGCGTAAGCCATGTTTTCGTGGTGTTGACTAGGCTACTAACTCAAGATTGATGGTTGTTGGTATGAGTACTCGCTTAATTTTGCTTGCTGGGGTTGAGCTTCGGCTATTTGGTCCCGCCTCTCAACTGGTATACAGATTCCCAAGCCTGTCGGACTCTGAAAAACTAGTTATAATCTTTCTGTGGCTCATTTGGAAACTCGTTTTCCACCCGTGTCCCTTTGTGCGAGTACCACCCATTTTAAATAGTCTGTATTTACCCTATCAATTCCCCAGAGAGTTTTGTATGTGGTAGTCATGACTCCCCTAACTTCTGTCTTCCAGCGACGTGATGTTCATTTCACGTAGCATTTCCTTGTAACTCGCAGTTCGTTGTTTTGTAACCAGTCTGTTCAACGGCATGCCACCATTCTCAAACTTCGTCTTATGCTTGACTAGATATGGACTCTACGCTGGAGTTGCATATTCCAGGACCGGTCAGATATAAGTGGTATACAAGGTTCTAAATAATTCCAAACACAAATTTGTAAAGTCAGTTCTGATATTAGTCAGGTTTGCGTATGCCACTAATATGTGGCATACTGCTACAGTACTACTATAATTAGAGGCTGCACTTTTTAATTATAGTAGTAACTGCCATGTTGTTTCTGTCATACTCCTGTCTTTGTCTTATGTCATTTAATGGGAGAGGGAAAGGGGAGTTGTATATTACTGTTACTACAGTCTTTGGTCCTCCCCATTATCATTGTGCCTGTTATGGAGTCTATGAACTCTTCGCAGCCTGGGATATCCATCTTCTCAAAACTGCGGTCCTTCATATAGCTCTTGAAATAGCACTTTCTCTGTAAGTAGCTGACATTGTAACTATAAGGTGTGAATGCTAGATGAAATTGTTATGTAATAATCTAAGATGAGGTCTGATAAAGACCTTTTGTGCCCTCTGTAATGCTTTTTTTGCGCTACCGCTCACAGGATGAGTATGGGGTGCACAATAAACTAGCCGCCTCCGGCGGCAACAATCAAAGCAGGGCCACTCCTCCTCCCTTTCCTTCCTCCTCTTTCATTATTACAAGGTAGTCTCGGGTAAACACTACATTTGACTAGACATCTGACAATTTCGTTTCAGTGAGTCCTATTACATCCGGGTTGTCATGTGCTCGTTTCCCAATTTACTTTATTTCTAATCCCATCTGTGTTTTGAGTACATTGAAGTTAACTTTATTATGTCAATCTTACCTGGGATCAATTCCACTGCTGTATTGGGAGCAGGGAGGGTCTGAAAGGGAATACAGGGAGGGCCCGAGATGAGGGTACAGGGAGGGCCTTAGATTGGAGGGGGGCATGGATGGCTTTGGAAGGGGAGTTGAAAGGGAGAATTTCCCTCTCACAATGAAAGAGGTCATGGATGGCTTTCGATGGGGGAGGGGGGACAGGGAGGGCTTTGGATTGTGGGGGGGGGGAGGGTATGGGATTGGGGGAACAGTGAGGGCATGACATGGGTGGGGGAATAGGATGGGCAGGGTTTCTATGGGATGGGAGGTGTTGGTGGTATTTGGGGAAGTAAAAATGTGTGGATGGGACGTTGAATGGACTAGTCTTCGCAGTGAGCTGCTGGCCGTTGGCATGGTCTTCGATCCTTAGCAACGTCTGGTGTGGTTGTCGATGATCGAGTGGACTGACATGTAGACATTAGAGATAACTATGCTAGGGACTGCTGGACTTCCTAGCTCATGTCATTGTTTATTTTTTTGTTCTCACCAAGTAGAAATTGAAAGAGGTCTATTGGGATCATCTTGACCAATTATATCATAATTGTGATTAAGTTTCATAGTCGTAAACCGTAACTAATAGACCGCATAATGCAATCAAACTAAAGTGGTTGGCAAGAATGGCAGACAACGCTGCCGGGAAGGCGTACCAGTCAATAAGCATACAGCATACGATTAGGAATTTTGTCATGAGTATTCCTATATACGTCACAGCTGAACCCGAGAACTTTACAATAAATTGTCCAAACAAAACAAAAGCACCTAACATTGATGTTTTGCTTTCAGGAAATATAAAGGTTTACACCTGGAAGAATGTGGCCACTTGGACACGCGATGTAAACAGAGACTAGTGGCCACTAGACTCATTGTATCACATTGCTTCCATCTAAATTTATGTATTTATTTTATTATTTATTTATATACAAGAAGTACATTGGGTTTGTGAGTACATGACATTGGTGTTCTTAGATTCGTGCAAAGGCACTAACACACACATAGCGTTTCGGGCAGAAACGGTTCGGTTTATAAGTTTTGAAGCAATAATAATACTATATTTTTGTTTTAAAGTATCTTAATAGTTAATAATTACGAATAAATATCGCGTTATTTTTTGTTAAACCATTGTCCTAATGCTGCAATTTGTTTAGCCGAAGGAATTTTCGGTTCATTTCCTGAGCTAATTAGTGCTTCAGTAACCGATCCACCAGCGATCACAAGATGGATATGCGGTGCATACTAAATCAACAAAATCTAACTAGTCGAAGTGTTGTAATCTCAAGATAAGCCGAGCAGCAACTAGTGGCGCAGCAACTGGTGGGGAACAAGACAAGTGCAGTGCGCAGTACCAGAGATCCAACAACACGTGTATCAGAAATTATCCTAACTCGTCCAACCTCCATCCATCCATCACCGTCAAGTGCTTATGTAAAGTCGAACATCAAGAAGCAAT